ACTTTTATTCAAATTCACGGGAAATTTTGAAGATGTAAATAGGTCAAAATTTCATCCGTAGGATGGTTGGGGTTGAAGGTTGATTTTTCTGAACTCTGGAGTACACCAAAAAATTTTATCCGAAAAGCCAATTCAGTCTCGCAATCTTTGTGAATGATCGTGGATGTAGAAGAGCTCATTACGAAACTGTAACTTTGAAAGAAAAGTTGTATTCATTGAAATTAATTTTGAAGTAGAACTGTTCCAAAAACATTTTAGTTTAATGGGAGGGATACACATTTTTTTATAAGAAACAGCTTGTGAGAAGACTCTTATGAGACGCTGAATTTAAAAAGCTAAGGAACTCTTTTAATTTGCAGTTTTGATTTTCTTAGTCTTTTAAAAGAGTTTTTGCATAGTCTTGTCCAGGGATTCGGGAAGTATGATGGAGCAAAGGGGAGCAGACTTTTACTCTATACTTCAATACTACACAGGATTTTCGATAACCAGATGCTAAAATTTGTTGTTTTGTAAAACAAATCGTTTTTTTAAATCTGGTGCTGCCACAAGAAATATTACTTGTGACGCTGTCTTATATGTGATTATTATTTTTCGAATTAACCCATTAAATTTCATCTTTAAATGCACATTTTTGTAAACTTGATTAATAATCTAACTTTTTGATTTATAATCTAACTTATAATCTAATCTAACTTAAACTTGAAAAATCTAACTTTTTACTCTAGCTTGGAAGGAGGCTCAAAAAAGGCATTTTCTAAAAAGAATTGAAAAAAACGCGTAAAGCCCTGACAAAACGACTAAACATTTCATTGAACATTCCACTCAACTTTTGTTAAGTAAAAAGTTTAGTTGAAATTTTATTTGTTTTGCCACCCTGTTTAGTGTTGTTTAGTCGTGTTGAGTGTTGTTGAGCAAAGTTTGATTCTAGTCAAAAATTCTTTTGCCTTGTTTAGTGTTTTTTAGCAAATGTTTAGTCGTTTTGCCAGGGCTTTACGTGCTAGGGCAGGCGCCGTAGCTGTGGGAATCCAAAGGTTTTCCGGGGTTTTTCTCAGTTTTCCTGTCTCTACGTGACCCAAAATCTCTAGAATGCCTTCGTGAGACATTTGCTTCATCTCTTTGTACGCTACTGTGTCTTTTTCAACAGTAAACTTTGTTATCGATGTGCTAAAAAGTAGTTTCTTTTTCTTTTTTTTATCAAATTCTTATTTTTACCCACTTCTTGCACTTGAAGTCTTTTATGCTAACATACAACAAAACAAACAGAAAGCAAATTCCTATGCAAGATCCCCTACAACCCCACAGCGTCCTACTCTCCCCTCACGAAAGTACCCGGACAGTTCGAAGATCGATTGCGCTTTCAGACGGAAACAAAAATTAGGCTGGCGATAACCACTTTTTAACTTAGTGATAATAATTTTTTGAGAAACCCTTCCAAAATAAACAGAGACATTTAAATGTTGCAAAACTCCTGCTCTTTTCAGCTGTTCTCATTTTTTGTTCAAATAAGAAGCCATTGCCATAGAAACGTTACGCAAATCAACTGATGTCAAATCAACGAAGCGCAGTAAAGTCAGGTGGTAAGAAGTCAAGTTTAAATTGACCAATGAAACAGTGTAATTTTTTTCAAATTCGTTCTTGAGAAACAAATATTTTCAAAAAAAGAGAAATACAACGTGTCTACTCTCAGTTTTCATGAAAACCGACTTTGAAATTTGTAAACAAATGTCTCTAACAACAGATTCGCAATTAAATTCGAATCTGTCCGGGTACTTTCGTGAGGGGAGTGTACACAGCAACACAGCTCGCAGTTCAAAAATGTTTAGTCGTTTTGCCAGTCACGTTTTGCCACCCTCGCTAAACTTCGCTCAACTTCACTAAACAAATGTCGAGTGAAAGTCGTTTTGCCAGGGCTTAAGGAACTTTTGGTAGCGAAATGGCCCAAAAATTGAAGAAACTGCCTAACTGCCCCGGACCTTAGTTTCTTTTAAAAATGGCTTTACTTCCATTGCAATTTCGAAATAATCATTCTTCCATACCAAAGATGCAGGGAAAAGTAATTTTGGTTTCAAGGGTTTTATAATTTTCGTATCTGCACAACACTAACAGAAATAGATTTCTTACAGTATATCTTGAAGTTTTTGAAAATTTGGCAAAGTTATTACGAAATTAAAAATATGACATGGTTTCCTTATTACATGTATCATATCATTCCCTTTCTTTCATTCAAACCATTATATTGTTATGTTTTTATTAAGTTGATTTGTCAGCTATGGTAGTTAATCTGACAACTAATAAGGCCAATCTGTTCACCCCGCAAAGCAGGGTTGTCAGATTGGCCTTTTCAGGACAAATTTTCCAATTTTGGTTATTTTAGAGTCATATCCTCTGGAAAATTTGGTTTATGCCTACATCTTAAACTTGGCCTTCCTATGCTCCAAATAAAATTTGTCACCTTAAGTAGCAAACAAATTTAAATGGAAAGAGCAAAACGACACAAATGTAAAGCTAAATGTCAAATATTATCACCTAACCTAAGGATTAGCGAAGGAATTATTTTAGGGGCGAAAGTTTCTCAGTTTCTCAGGAAATGTGTGCTATTTTTGTGCAAGGGACAAATTTTGATTACGCTTTTTAACACTAATTTTGGCCTGGGTTGGTCACCCGTCTGGCCTTCTTTTGCAAACCCTGCCTGAAAGCCGCATTTTGCCCCGCCTCTCAGCTTTTAATAATCTTTGCTCTGTTCGCTGTTTTCGTCGGCCCCCACAAGGACCGTCGCTTGCTATTGCGCTCAAGGGTGGTTTGCAGGTCCCCTTTTGCCGACACAGTAGCTGAGCCTCCTTTATTTGCCGACAAAATTGAATATTTGCCGACAAGATTAAATTTGCTGACTGAGCGACTAAGCATTTTTGGTGGCAAAAATCTCTTCGCTTTTCAATTGGAGATTGGAAAAGTGGGGGTGTCGCACCCCTTTAGACTCCCATAATGGTGGCCTTGGCCCCGCGCCCTATAATGTTTTTGGTGTTCCCGACTGTGTGCCGTGGCAGGTCTTAATATCAGATAAAGTTTTGCCTGGTACGAAAACTTTCCGTCGGATAATTCCCGTCGTCGTCTTCAAACCATTGGCAACACTTTCTATCTTAATTTTGAGAAAAATAAAATGTCTTTTCAAAATATCAAAAAAGTAAATTTTTCTTTGGACAGTCTCGAAGCCTTGAAACTCTTGTAAAACTTGTGATAAATTAAAGGAAACTTTGACAAGATCACATTTAGTTGTTTGAGATCCCAGAAGATCATTATTGGCCTTGAATTTAGCGAAAAGTGACACTTCTACAGCCGTTTTTTAATGACAACTTTTCAGGCACTTGCTTGTCACTGTTTACGATTGTTTATTGCAGAAAATTTTGTATTTTCATTCAACGAGGAGGTGAAATGCTGTTCTCAACATATTGCTGTAAAATTTGTTCCTCTGACAACATCGCAATTAGCTGGAAGAGATGGAGTTAACGGCTACTGATATTAACTGTGTGTAACGGCATATGTTTTATTCAGTGGCGTAGCGTGGGCGCAGAACTTAGGCATGCGGTAACACATCATACAAGATTCTGTGATACAAGTTTGTGTTGAATGTAAAAATTGCAATTTCAGCTTTTTATAAATGCAAGATGTAATTCAAGGTAACCGTGATTATTAATTGTGATTTTTGAAAATACGCTTGGGTTGAAGAACACTGTGGTACTTCATGTTCATTTTTTTCTAGGAAATAATTTTTTTCATGGCCAGAAAAATATTTTTTTTGAATTGTCCCACCCTGTAAGCCATCATATTCGTCAAGAAAGGCACCATCTAAAATTAAGAATTTCAAAGCAAGATCACATTGAAAAAGATCTTGTGGGACGTTTTGATGCTCTGAGGAACTCTCCACATGGCCACTCACAGGAGAGCCTCAGTGGACAGGAGCATAAGTTGTGCTCATTTTCTACCCTCATAGTTGATAAAAAAGGAAATACTGAGCTGTTAGAATTGTTAGAAATGAATATGCTTCCATGTGTAAAGTTTCAGAAACTTAATCCCTGGAAATCATCAAGTATTTGACAAGGCTTGCGCTCAATTCTACCGCATGCGCTGGTCCGTAAATTCTGACTATACTGGCAAGCCTTTTTACTGGAATTACGGAATGCGGATGACAAAAAGACTATGACTGAAAGAACTAGTGTATTTTTCCCTTTTTAACAGTCACAAAAAGAAACGAAAGAAAAAAATTTAGATTTGAAATGAGGAATCACGCAAAGAATATTCGCAAGAAGCAGCTTATAGGCAGAAAATTTTGAAGATTATCAAATATTGAGGAATGCTTGCGCACAGGCCTACCGCAAGCTTTAGGCCGGGAAAGAATGATAATCAGCGAAATTTTGAAATAATTCATCCCTGAATACGGAGACCGTCCTCTTTAACAGTTTGTAGTGATGCATTTATGTACGTATTCTAATTAACGGAAACCATCAAAAGGTGAACGAACTGGTCTTTTCTATTTTGTTTCCACTTTTCGATTTTAGGCCGGGCAAAAGTGATAATCAACGAATGTTGTTAGTCCGTAGTGCAGACTTCCGCTTTTCCTCTATGCTGCTGTCTGGTCTGTCTTCCGCACTGGGTCCACGGAAGTGAATATTTATGATATGGTTTGAGAATTTTGGCGTACTTTCTTGTTATATGACCATATTTTTCATATTTCGCAGAATTTCGTCTCGTTTCGTTGATTACAATTGGCCGTTACGAAATGGTATCCGAAAATAGGCATTTTGCAGTACGTAAAACGTGCGACCAAAACTTTTGAGAAATACTTTATTACAGTCAGAAAAATTAACAGTTTTGGGCAACCAAGCAAAAAGTGAGTATTCAGTGCCATCGGAACAAAATTCATATTGGGGGGGGGGGGGGTGTTGGCTGCCCATTGTTTTCCTCATCATTCACCATACTGTTATACAGGAAAAATGCTACAGTTTGACAATTATTGGGGGGCTCCAGCCCCCCACCCTGGTTCCGACGGGCCTTGTATTTCTTGGTTCTCCTTAATGAAATCTTACAGGTTTGTTCAAAGAAAGACCTTTTTTGTTGCAAATGTGTTACAGGTACTCCTATAATCATAGCTCAGTTTTCATGTTTTCGCAGTGGTCGATATTGCATAAGGGAAAAAACGAAATATTAGCATTTTTCATTTTCATTACTATACCTTGATAATTTTCCCGTTATTTACCACCTAAACTATCATCTTAAGACTTTTATTTTACTTGCTTTAGCTATTTGAACTTCGGTTTGTTACAAAAAGTTCTCGGTGGTGCGGCCATTTTGTGGGGTAGGGGGGTATTTGCAATACTTTTGCTCACCTAGTGTATGTATGGCAGCTACTGTTAGCTTTTGTTGTTAAAACTACAATGCGATCAAAGGCCAGTGTTAAGTTAGTGCCAATTTGTGTTGTTCTTGTCAACTCGAAAGGAAACTTTAATCTCTAGGCCACCTGTATTTGAATAATGAAAATCAGCTATTGCATGCAGCTAGATTGAACAGCACGGTTATCCCCCCTGCTTGACACTTCATTGGCTGATCATTGGCGAACTTCAGCACGACTTTCGCAGATGGAGTATCGAAGGAGTTTGGAAACTGTGCTTGAATTTTAGCATTTATAACTAAATCGAAGGCAAATGAGGAGGTACAAGTCAGAGCTGATCAAAATCGTAGCGGTTTTACTATTATTGCTGTTAGTCATAATTGGATACACCATTTATTTAAACGATCTATGTGATTTTCAGGACGGGTTGACTGCTGTTAGGACACCTGATGGCCGCCAGATTGAGAAGTTCAAACCGGGCGAGGCTGTTAAAACCTTTTCGTCACTTCCCGCGATATGTGACTATAAAAATGGAAAATTGGTCTGTCCCGATGTTCGAAACTTAGGAGAAACAATGCTGCGACAAACTCAGTTAGCTACGATCAGGATGCTAGCTGCATTTGATAAGATTTGCAGAAAGCACGGCATAAGATATTGGATGTGGAGAGGGGCCTTGCTAGGGGTCATCAGGCACGAGGGTTTTATACCTTGGGACAACGAATTAGATATTGGAATTATGAAAGCAGATTACGAAAAGTTTCGTATTGTTTCTCATGAACTGCCTGCTGATATATTTCTACAAAATGCCTCGAGCGACCCTGAATACGGCAGACAAAAACACACGATACTTGGCAAATTAAGAGATACGAAAGGTTGTTTCGGATATTGCGCTAGAACCGGCTGTCATTTTCACGATGGCCTAATGATAGATATATTTGGTTTTGAAGAGTACAAGGACGACTTTATTCGCGAAACCACAAGTAATAGTGTTAACTTTGAAATTCGTAAAAGTAATATTTTCCCATTGAAGGAAAAGACTTTTGAGGGTTTTCAAGTAATGGTTCCCATTGATCACGATACGTTGTTAACTAAAACATATGGATCTGCTTATGGTGAACTTCCTCCAATAAAACGAAGATGTCCCCCTGGTAAACTAATTGGATTGCCTTGGACTTCGTGCCAAGATTTGGAACAAATGGACACAAAGCAGAAAAGACTCCACCTATATTTGTCTACCATTTCAAACATCAAATATTTAGCCTGGTTTTTCTAAAATAAGCCGTATTATCGCAGACACTAGTTTTGTCTGCAACGATTTCCTCTTGGTGTTTTTCTTATATTTTATTGATCTCTGAAATCTTGGTTGGAGTTTGTTTACCTGTAGAAACGGTCGCTTCAAAGCCACGTCTTTTCGTTGTCTTCAAATTTTTTAATGTGAAAACAAACTCATTATCTCCTTTCAGAATGCGAAACAGTCAGGCGTTCAATTTTTGTTCAGATGCTTGTAGGTGACATAATTTATCAAAACAAAAGAATTTATGTTAAAAGGGAATTACATTCTATGTGTGAGGAGGAAGAACCGCAGGATAGGCTGTCCGCCGGATTCTGTGAATCTTGCAATGAGTATAAATACGAGGATAAAATTCAGGAACAAAGCAAAACGGCGACGAGTATCCAATGTTCTAAGAAAAATTTTCAAAATAAATGAAATTAAATGAATACTAATATTCCACCCCGGCATTCAGGGCTTCATCAGGTCATTTTGAAAGAAGCCCTGTATGCCGGGGTGGAATATTAGTATTCGTTTAATTTCATTTATTTTGAAAATTTTTCTTAGAACATTTGATTCTCGTCGCCGTTTTGCTTTGTTCCTGAATTTTATTCTCGTAATTACATTCTAAACGGTCTTTGTCCAAAACATTGTGCTTTTAACGCCCGTCTTAAAATAAAATAATGATGTTTACGTCGTTATAAAAACTCATTAAATCAAGATCAATTGTGTTATTGTGAATAGTTTAGTTGGTACACTAAACGACTTTTGCTTGATGTTTAAGCTGCGTAAATGAGTTTTGAAAATATCTTGTATAAAAGCTTGTTCTCATTCGTCGTCTCGATTGTGTGACTTCGTCAGTAACAGCGTCATTTCTGCATTCCTCTGGTAGGAAAGTGAACTGAAATTGAAAAGGCATTAATTTAATTCGCATTATTTAAAATTGTTTCCATGAAAGCCAGAGAATCGAACCGACCCCCGTATTTGTTTTATTTAGGCTACGTTCACACTGCTCCGGATATGTTTCGCTCTGTTTTCGTTGATGAAAACGCTGTCCGTTCACATTTATCCGTTTTCAAATGAATACGATCTGAATACGGTAAGTGTGAGTCATGATAAAATGGATTGGGTATACCCAAAGTTCCAAAATCCGCTGAGACGTCAACAACTGGATGCTAATATAACATCATACCGTAAAAGCCAGACCATATGCCCTAAGACCCAGGACCACTAGCCCAGGACCCTTGGGTACTAACGTCAAAAAGGACCCTTAACACCACGAGGGTCTTCACCTCGATGAGACAATAGTTGATCGCAGATGATTGTCATCATCGTACCACGAGGACATATCAACTGTCAAATGCGCTGTTGTGCCAACTACGGCGTTCTTCCGCATATTATCCGCATCAGCTTCCCCTTTAATACTGCTTGGTTTTTATGGTATGCCCTTTGATACTGCTTGTTGGTGGCCTTCAATACGCGCCGTATTCGAAAGTATCCGTTTGCGTTTTCAAACGACTCTGTTTTCATAGCAGAGTAATGCAAGGAATAAAGGGTTAGTTTGACTCCGTCTTCATTTGACGTTTTTGTTCAATGTTTACCAGATTTGAAGAGTTCTCCCTCTGTAAAACGGAAATAATTAGCAATTAACGCATTTTTCTTACGCCCAGGGGCGCCCACCCTGGAGGGCAGGTGCCCCCTCCTGACCACTTCCAGGAAGTGCAGAGGGGATAAGCAGTGCCCTTAAATATTAACTTCTAAGATAAGGAATCTTGTAGATAATTGATGACTAGTTTAGCCACTCTTATTATATTAATTTCCATTAGAAATTTCATAGAAAACAAAGAAACAAACTCCTTTTTTGATGTCGGTCTTTGATAAAGGAGAATTCTTTTTTAGAAGACGAACTGCAAGAACTAACGGCGTCTTATAAGATACTCACTTTTTTGCCCATTGCCAGAACGAGAATGTCACGCTTATTTAATGCCTTAATGTAAGCATAGAAGTACGCTGTAGTAAACAATTAATTGATCAACCTGTGTTCCTTTTTATCATTCTTTAAAATTCTAGTATTTGCCCTCAGCACCAACACTGCCCCTCCTGCCTTTCAGTTTCATTTGATCATCAATCTATACTATATACAATACTACACAATTACATTACAGATAATACAGTGCCAAATTAATAACATCTAATACAAGCAAAAGGGAATGACATTACATGATTGTATATGATGTACGCTGTACGCTGTATGCAACAATTTCAGTCCCCAACTACTGACAGAAGGCTCTCCATTCACTTTGCAAGGGAATTTTAACAAAAATTGTTGTATACTTTGAGGTAATCCTTGAAATGAATTAACCTTAAAGTCTCAGAAACCTTTGTCACCTGATTGTCATTCTTGAATAGGGTCGCACAATTCCCAAAAGAGGGATGCCAGACTTCCTTCAACTCGGCGAGGGCGGGGCAACTGCCCCTAGTTGCCCCCCTTAAATCCGCCACTGACCCTGGGTAATGTGAGTCTGGTACCCAGGGTAGCTCTGGCACCAAACAACCATTTCAAGCGAAAATCGGATTATCTTTGTCATACTTGAAAATGTATTCTCGATTTTCCACTTTGACATTGATAATGAGTTTTGTCAGAAACCAGTGCGCCCATGGCCTAAGTAAACGTAAGAAAAGCAAAACGGAAGTCTAAGATTAAATTGAAGTGGTATTTTGGTGACAAAGTCATTTCAGAATGCGACACTTGTCTCAGTATCACTTCATTATCCACCAGCAGCCTACTTACAGTAAATATAGTATTTAGTTAAACGGCTAATGATAGAACTAAGTAAAATTTGAAATGACAACAGAATAGAAAATGATAATTTGTCTTGCCCGAATATTGTTACAAAGCCTGAATGAGCCTGAAATTCGATAAATTTTTGCCTGATGACAGGCGGCATTCCCCAGTCCCTATGTCCCTTAACGCCTATGACTTCCATCTCTACACGCATCCCATATTTTGGGACAATATTGTTTTCGAGATTTTTAACAGTTTCGAAAGGTTATATTCCTTAAAGTCAAGAGCACTATCTGATTTTCTGCTATCACCTGCGTCACAAATTCCTGGATTCAGCCGTTTCGCTTGGTTTTTATTTAGGCCTAGGTGATTTTTATTTTTGGGAATGGACGTTGCTTTTAGTTCAATCCACGTTTGAAGAGTTCTCTAATTTGTTTCCACCTATCCTGATATTACATAATTTTTTCCTGGTAAAACAATTATTTATTGATTTCAAAGCAAACTTGAATACAGTAGAATGTTTGAAAGTTGTGATACCATCGATGTATACTTTGATTCTAGATGCAAGACTGTTTACCCGTGTGAACTGCTTCTTTATTTACTGGTATTAAGGCAAGAATTCACCCCGGAAATTGGTGCTGTTTCGTCATGGATGTTTTAGCGCCACTTTATATCAGGGTTCAGCACCAGTAAGCAAATAAGCTCAAATTTAGCTGATGATGCAAATCAACTGAGCAAGCATTTGGGTACTGCGCAATAAAAATATCAGTTGTTTTGACCGTGCTTTTCAAGGCATAGTTGAAACTGTCACAAAAAGATTTGTAAACGAATTCAAATGTCCTGACTAGTATCACGTGACATATTTCGAGCTGCAGAATGTAGTATCACGTGACATATTCCAAGTGAAAAGAAGTTAAAATTTCAATGTGTCTTGAATATTAAAGCCGGGTGTTTCTGAACCTTATTTACCCTGAACTATGAATGTTTAATGTCAATGAAACGGCTAGTGGCATCTTATTTCGGATTCCAGGAGAATTTGTCAAGCCTTAAAATGAAATATTGGGATTTTTCAGGCCACAAGACGAGTTATTGATGCCATTTCAGGCTTTCGGTGAAAATTTTTCGAGAAAGCGTTTTTGTTAAAGTTTCATGAAAATTTTATGCGTGTCAAGCTTGTTGCAAAACCGAATTAGATATTTTACCAATTCCTTCAAATTGTGTGTTTCTGCTCCACTTCAATTAAGCTTTTTTCCTCGTTTAGCGTTCTCGCCTATCCACTATTTTATATCTTATAAAAAATAAACTTTCATTAACAAAAGGAGCGTATATTTCCATCAATTGAAAAATTGAGAGAGAGAGAAGGAAAAATGATTGTTTGCCATGGATATTACGAAACTAGCCGAAAGAAAGAAATAATTTATCATATTTCCGATCATAGAAATCTTGAAAAACTTAAGACACATAAAAATAAATTGAAGCAAGAATGTTCATATAGTTATTGTATGACGTGTATAAACAAAAAGAAATGATATAAGATAGCAAATCTTCAACCGTAAACTTTTAAGATATTTGAATCGTTAGGCAGTTATTTTTTATAATGATACCTTCTTGGCCTTATTTCTTTATTTAGAAGATTTTTTACTTAATTCATTTTAATAAAGCGAGTTTATCCTACCTCTCGAAGACTCCTAAAACTCCAACCCCCTAACATTTTTTCAGTTCAGATAATATTTTTTATTCAGGACCTGTCTCGAAAGGAATGGTTTAAGAAAGCACTTAGTAGTGTTGAATACATGGTTTTGGGGCTTGTCCCCTTTTTAATGCCAAATATTGACCAATGTTTACTTTGTGCTATTACACTTTGTAATATTTTTTGAGAGCCCTCTTGCTCTCCATAAGTTCTCGAACGAGCCTTTCAATACAATTCGATATTGAACTATGGAATTTTTTAAAACTTGGTTATAAGGCACACTTTTGTTGCCTAAAACTTCATTAACATCTATGTTGTTACAGTGCAGCATAAGACAAAAAGTAAACAAATAATGAAACCCAGATAATTGCGTATTTATTATGAAATAATTGATTTTTATGAGTAATGTATGAATGAGTACGATAATAATATCCTTCCTTCCTTTCAGGAAACCGTGGGTTTTATTGGCCTCGGGAATATGGGTTCTTTCATGGCACAGAACCTGATCAAAACGGGGCATAACGTGATCGTAAACGATCTTTATCCAGAAGCTATGGCCACTTTGAAGGAGCTTGGAGCGCAAACTGTTCTTACCCCAGCTGAGGTTGCCAAGATGACCAAGAAAATAATAACGATGTTACCATCGAGGTATTGCTACATTTTCAATCAATAATCAATAAGAACTATCAATAAGCTAGTTCACATTGCTCCGGATTCCAATGAAAACGGTTAAAAAAGTATTCGTTTTCACCGTGCGTTCACACTGCTCCACTGCGAGAACGGAGACTTTTTAAAACGCACTTTGAGAACGGAGACTACGAAAACGCAGAGTGAAAACGAAAACGGATACTTTTGAAATTGATAACAACAGCAACAACACAGCAAGTTGCTTAGACCGCGCCAATTTGAACAACTTCTCTTAACATGGCTGATTCACTCGAAGTTAGTAAACAACTTGGAGGAATAAAAACGGATAAAAGCGAATACGGAGCAATGTGAACATAGCCTTATTCTTATCAGTTGTTTTAATCTGTGCTGTAAAGCCACTAGCATTTGCAAAAATATCCCAACACCGCAGCATTAAAATAGAGTCCATAAGTGTGACGCCACAAAGATACTATTTTTCAAATTTGACCAAATGATAATAAAGAACTCCACGAAGTACTTGCGAATATGCAAAATCAGGTGAATGAGTCAAAAATCGGGTAAAATATAGCTAGTAAAAGATTTGAAATTTGCTAACAGATCCCTGTTATATTGGCTCTGTTCATAAAGTTATGAACAGAGACAAAATGACAGAGGTTTGATGGGGAACGAACCTGTACTCATCCGGCCACATCTCTGCCAATTTGCGACACCATTGACTGATTTTCTATATTCAGAGGTATTTCACGATGCTCTTTCAGGGTATGGGATCAAAATTTAAAATTTCTAAAAAAAGACTTTCGTGACGTCATCACTTAAAAACTCTATGCAATGGCATATATAGGGAAGGACTCCGTTGAAGTATGTCATTGTTAAAAGACTCATTTGTCTGCAGATCTGCAGAGTACCATTAAAAGTCATTAGATTTAAGAAAGAAATATTTATGGTAGGGTATGCCAAAGTTATTCGCCAGTTATTTAGAGGTGAACATACGAAAATATTTCCGTTATAAAGGTCTCGTTGTTCAAGAACTGCCGTTAAAAAGTCTCAACTACTATGTATATAAAAAGCCTTGATACACCACAAAACATTTTTTTCCATTTTCAATAGCACCCGCCTCCTTCTTCAATAACATGATTTATTCCCATTTGACAGAGAAAATTTTCAGTGTTGCTAAATATTCGTCCTGGTCGCTGAACAGATTCGGTATATGGCTTCATCAATAATGTGCGCAGAAGAATTTAGTCCTGTAACTTAGTCCTCGATCTCTTTCTTTCAGAAATAATCTCTGATACCCTTCCTTGTCGATACACTTCTTTTTTAACGATATTTTAACTTGTTTGTAATTGTATCAAATGCAACTTTCAATTTGATTCTTTCGATAGACCCGTCAACAATATTATGAATCTTTAAGTTCAACGACTGTATGAATTGATGCAGCAAATTCAGCCATTACCATTTTACCTGGTTTTGCTGTTATTCTATAGGCTATCGTGTATAGCTTCTGCAAGTTTCAAAATATTACTTTCCTTTTAAGTATTCAATTGCTCAAGAATGTTTTTTAAGTCAAGTCTTATGTAATAAAAGATAAACAAAAACGACAGAAAACGACAGAGAGCAATCCAATGTAAACAAATCCAATCTTAAATGCGAAAAATTGAACTTGTTTTTTGATCGTTAAATTTTGGGTTCTTCAAATCAGATTGGATTGCTATGCATCGTTTAAGAGTTGCGCTCTGTCGTGACTCGATATGACGACGTTTTTAAACAACGAAGCTAAATGCTGTTATCATGAGGCAAGCATCTTTTTTAGCCCTGACGTTAAGGATGTTTACACTGGCGATGATGGAATTTTAAGGTATACTCGATTATTTATATGTAGATATTATGTTTTGCTATCAATATTGAACGGCTATAGTTTCCAAATATACATGTATTGTTCCCATTTTCCCCTTTTCAAGTGAAACGTTTGTTAAGAAACTTTTGGTCAAAAGCTCTAAATTTTGGATCTCTAGAAATCAAACGCTTTCTTATAATAAATAAGAAAATTTTGCGCACCAAAGAACCATAGCTTGTTTCAATATTTTTTTCATTTATTGTCTTGAATAATACCCCCTTCCCTTCCACATCCCCCCATAAATTATGTTCGACTATTCTGGAAACCAGTGAAATCCTACAAAAAGCAGGTTTCCTAACATTCTCTGTCAATTTTCCACCACCATTCTTTAAAAAGAGAGGTATGTAGGGGTTGTGAAGGAGCTCATAAACTGACATTATTTTTCAAAGACTTTTGACCATGATTTTGTAGCTTTATTTCAATAACAAAAACAAAGCCATGCCATTTTTCAGTGCCGTTCAAGAAGGGACAGTTATGGTTGACAGTAGTACAATTGATCCTTCAGTTGCCAAAGAGGTCGCAAAAATTAGTGCTGAGAAGGGTGCCGTATACATGGACGCACCGGTCTCTGGAGGTACTGTCCTTTCCACTTTGACTTTTCTGTAACTGTTATTTTATGGTTTTACCTACGGATGTAGTCACTGACCTTTTACTGACAAACAATCTCTATGTTGGATCTCCCTTCTATTAAGGCTTACGTTTTTGAAGAAGTATTATTTCCATGGCGAATGTTTTGCTTTTTGTACATCCTCAAAAGATAGTTGAAATATATGAGAAGTAACTAGGTAATAGTAAGCGTTTCTTGTAACAGGCGTGATAGCTGCCAGGGATGCGACGCTGACTTTCATGGTTGGTGGTGAAGAGGAAAGCTTCGTTGTTGCTGAGTCAATCTTGAAGTTCATGGGAAAGAATGTTGTCCACTGCGGAGCAGTTGGTACAGGCCAGGTATACAACCAATCTAAGCTAAGTGTGGAAAATATGTAACCATGGATACTTTTGTTTGTCTCATTTACTTAGGTTATTGGCATTTGATTTTGATTTGATGGACTAGGCCTACAATTATTCTGCAGACAGGTTTTGATTTGTTTAAACTGGTGGTGGTCATGCATAGAAAACATCCACCCTTGATCTAAAATCTAATGTCTGATATCAACACTTTCTTCAGTTCAATCAGATTTTTTGAAAATTCGTTTAATTTTCACTCAGCGAACTAAGGAAACTGATTTTGAACGGATTTTGTTGTGATCATTTCACCTGTTTCTACAAGTTTCATTGATTTCCAGTTGATTCGACAGTTGATTCGATTGTCTTTTGCTTTTCAGGCTGCCAAGATTTGTAACAATATGCTTTTAGGTATTTCAATGATTGGCACAGCCGAAACAATGAATCTTGGTACCAGGTACAAGGCTAAATCCTTGGAACAGCTTTCTTTATTTTGAACCTCTGTCTAAGTATAAGCTAAGTTGGAAATTTGTAAGTAAATATAAGAGAAGGAAATGCGCATAGAATATGACCTATAACACATTTATTAAGAACGTAGAGATAGCAAAACCCTTAAGCCTTTTTGCATCATTCGCTTTCCCAACTGGCCTTATGTCCTCTTTGACTCGCCCTGTCTTGGCTCGCCTAGCTGCCTATCTATCCACCAGTTAATAAATATTTGCACTGCTTGGCTAAGAATATTTCTTTATTATTGACTGTAGGTATAGAGGGAGGTAGGTACAAAAAAGGGGTTTCCTGAAGAGGAGGGGGCTGTTTATCCCAGCCCCGCAATTTTACAGGCCAAATCCCATTCTAAGTTGGTTTTGTCTAAACCTCCTTCGCGGTTCCGTAGCAAAATCTCAACCACACAATTGCCAAAGTCCCTGTGCTGAAATAAGAATATCCCATTTTCCAGTTTACCCTTTCAGCTCTCTCGATATAGCTGCCAAGAACTTTATCCAAGGTAACTAGGGAACTTGGATGTATTGTCTAGACATAATTGCTGTGTTTTTATATGTTTTTTGGTATGAAATTTTCTTGATGTTTGTTATTTAGACTGGGACTCGATAGCAAGATGCTTGCTAAGATTCTCAACATGAGCACCGGACGATGCTGGAGCAGCGATACTTATAATCCGTACCCGGGTGTCATTGAAGGTGTTCCATCCGGCAATAACTATCAAGGTGGATTTGGGACACAGCTGATGGCTAAGGTAAAATAATTTGCCAAGCTCCACTTGAACCTAAATACTACTTAAACCGATTGATTAAAGATACCGATTGAAGATATTTTCTCACAAATATATTTGACTTTTTCCTATCGACTGTGATATAGTTTCCTCTGCCCTTACCCTTCTCCTTGGTATGCTCTATTTCCTTCCTCCTTGTTCATTCGTTCCCATCTGCCACCCCTTACCCTTTCTTTCCCTAAATTTCCGTCCATCTTTTTCTCCCCATCTCCTCCTATTTTAGCTTGTCTTTCTTTTTCTTCTATATTCCTTCTCTTTTCTTCTCTTTCCAACCCTCCTTTAATGTAAGGCCACGTGCCTGATTTAATTATTTCTTTCTCTTAATTCTTTCGGTACCTTGATTCTGTCTATCTTTTTTCTCTAATGAAAATAGCCTTCCATATAAAACCAAACTGGTGCTGTTTTTACAAGATTTTTATCGTTTAGTATTACAAATCCAATGTCAAAGTCAATAGTAACAAAGAAAGATTGTATCTTTTGTAATTCGATACTCCCATTAAAGTTGTTTCGTGTCTGAACAGCTGATTATAATCACCTTGACAGACAAAATTATTTGCTTGTTCGTAACCTCTTTTATGAGGCAAAAATTTTCTACTTTGGGTTTGCAACTACAAGTAATTTGAAGAGAGTCTTATTTCTTGCTATGATAACACAAGATATAATTTTATTTTTTATTTACATTGTGGTGTTTTACTTGAATGGCTTGCTTTCATAATGGGCCTAAGAAATGATTACACAAGCACATGCGACACAAGTATCAAGTCTTTTCCTGGATCTTAACAAAAGACTCTTGATGATGCAATTAGTAGAACAGAATGATTTTCAGAAGAATGTTTTTAGATGTTTATAGGCATTTTAGATTTTTCTAGGGCTTCGATCTTAGATGTCTTTAGGGCATCAGATCTTAAATGTTTCTAAGATATTACAGTATAATCTCCTTTGTACTAGGAAGATCCACATAAATGTTTTTTAGTTCCTTACTTCCTTGAAAATTAAAAGTATCATTTTCAGTGTAAAACATATTGCCTAGAAATAGTAATCGTTGTTTTGCTTGAACTCAATTTTCTACTTTTATTGGTAAATTTTTATCTTGTTGAAAAAATTTTCTGTCAACTCTGAAAAATTCCTGAGAACCCAGTTTCTGGGCTCTGACGTCTTTTGCAAACCTAGTTCTCAGACACCTATCTTTTTTGCAATCAAGACCATCAGACTATAGACAAAGCGCTAGTTTTCCATAATGTAAAGCCTTTCTTTTGCCTTTTGTGTGAGAAAACACTTGGTCTAATCTTAAAGGGCCACTCCAGCCCAAAACTTTTTTTGCATAAATTGGTAGTTAGTCGAGAAAAAGAAGCTATCGTGAAATTTTTTTTCGAAAAGCTTAACTCGTTTTCCAGATATAGACGCTCAAAGTTGAGAATCACCGTAAAAATACGACAAAATTTTTTTCGGAAAAAGCACTTTGTGACGTGTGAAAGGGCTATTGTTTCAACATTCGGCGCTATTGTTATACGTTCGCACTGAAATTCGCACGACTCGGTAGAGGCTCGGAAGAGGCGATTCATGTCGGAATCTCGGTTGTCGTTTTATTTATTTTCTTCATTGCGATTGATGTTCAGCGGAGGCTTCCAGCCAACATGGACTAGTAATTCGACAAATCAAAGATGGAAGCTTCAACCTGAACTCATATCCTCATCTTGGCAACGCAGCAAGCTTTTCAATATGGAATGCTTCACGAATTTTCAGATGTGAATGGATTTCTGACCGAAGGCATTTCTTATCGTCGTGTCATCTCAGGGATTTCCAGGGAGCTGAATAATAGAATTGATGTCTCACCGCAGTAGAAGAAGAACCCCATTCACAAGATGGAAACTTTCCCGTAAGTCACAATTCATCCTTATTATCATTTTACTATGTTGAATGTTAGGCGAAACTGCAGGGTGTAGAGGTTTGGAGGGGCTCTAAATACAGGTTTTCTAACAGCCAGTCTTGTGAATTGTCCCCCAAATTGTCAGAAATGTGGTAATATGAAAAGTACAACAGGGGCTCTCAAGCAAAATGTCACATAAAATATTACCAAAAGTAGAAGTTTGCTACTTTTTTGTACCAACAAGGGGGCCTGAGCCTCCTAGCACTACATCCCTGCCAATGATCTGTGCACTACACCTTTGCCTGAGGTATAGATGTGTAAAATTTCCCAGGGTTTGTCTCCTGAACCCTTCTTCTTCATGTTCTACCTTGTTCTGCCTTCAATTTTGGAGTTCTGCCTATTTCATCATAAAATTGATGCACAATTTCAAAATTTTGCCAGATCAATATCCAGGGCAAAAGATCTACTACCCAAAAGAAAAAACATGGAATTTACACCCTTGATTTTGGAAAAAAGATGTGTAATATCCTCATTCTAATGTTTTAAAGGCAGAATTGTTTATATTTGTTAAATTTACCTTTGCTATTCTAGCATTGATTCATATAAGCATGACCTATATCATTTAAATTCATCTTTGTGTTACTTCAAGTTAATATCCTTAGATGCTATTTGCTATAGTAACAGTGGTTGCCCTTTCACCCCTAAATTTCTCTTTGATCCTTCTAAATATCTATACTCTGAATGCCCCTGAGTGTCCAAGTTTCTTTGATCATTTTATGTTTTAATATGACTCAAAAGTAAATTTCACTGGTATGTTAGTATTTATCCCTGTCAACCTTATTATTCTAGGCATAAAAAAGGTTACAAACTCTTTTATGGATTAGCAGAAAGGATCTTGCAAAAAAATGCTAGATGAAGGTTGGAGATTACATGGATCCTGTTATCTGGCTACTGGCTTTGTGGGAGTGATAACTTGCCCCTCTCTTCCATTCAAGAGTTACCACAAAGACCTCAACACATTATTCTGTTTTTGTATTAACATTTTCACAAAGGAGACTATTTTTCTAAAATTATCAAAATTTTATATATAATTTGGTCATATATAATGTTTGCAAATTATTTAAAGCTAGTAACAACATATAGGTATTTTCTAGAAGTTTTGCAATAGATTATTGTTTCATGATACTTTTATAAGAACATTTCTCATGTGCAATAGAAATTACAAATTGCTAGCTAGTTCACTGGCCTGATTGTATAATTCAATGTAGCCAAGTATTTAAATACATCAAACATGTATTTATTATTCATAAATATAGCAGGTTGAGATTCTGACAGCTTAAAGGAGCTGACAAGGCCCCTGTAATAGCTTAAAGGTTAAATACAAAAATTATATTTACAAAAGTATATTGAAAAAGTTGAATTATTAATATAATCTCAAATCCCTTTTTTGTTTGTATAAAAACAAATTTATAATTTTTGAAAAAGTTGTTTGACTCATGACTAATGGTAGGTTTTTAGTCATGTCTTGAAAGTTGTATACTTTCTTGTCCATGTCCTCATTTGTCCTGTTTTATTTCCAATAAGTCATGTTGATATGAAGCTCTTTATCCTAATGAATATGTTGTATCAATTCATACAGCTTTCATTCCCGGTATACTGGTTTTGTTTTCTTCTTTCCTCCCGAATTAATTGCGCGATGGTTTTTTAGCTGTTGCACTAAAGGAGGGGCTGATGAAAAAGCGCGAATCTTCTTTTTAAAATCAGGGAACTGGCCTGCCAATACAAATTGCTTCAAAAGCAACATTCCATGAAAGTCTGTCAACATCCTCATGTCTCTGTCTCGCTGGCCTACTTTGACAATTTGACTTCTCTGTCAGAAAGATTCGTGCAACAAAAAACTTCCATATTCGATCAGAGTATCAAGACTGATGAGCGATACTTGTCTCTTTATATAGATAAAAGTCTGGCCTTCTAACAAACATGCCGCTGCTAGGCCCTGTTTGCCATTTCGCAACATTCTCGTTGACCCTTTAAACAGCCGATGATACTTGCCGCGAACTTACCGAGGCCGAAAATGCCTGTGACGTCAATCCGAAGATCTCCGATAACACGGTTGAAAAACAATTCAACTCAATGACCATTTTACAAACGCTAATAACTACAAAACGGTTAGATATATGAAAAAAATAATAACAGATTCGTTTTCAGGAGGTCTGATTACATCGTGTTCTGAAATAAAAATTTTGGGCTGGAGTGGCCCTTTAATAAAAGATTACTGCGGATCATTTCTTTAATCACATAAGAAAATGTACTCTGAATAGACGATTTAGTTTGTGTATGACTGTATTAACAAGGCCACGGGAGTGTATCATTTCAAATAACAGGTCTAGTTATTATCCTTTTCAAGTAGCTTAGTGAAAACTGATATGTAAACGCTCTTTGTATACAGCATATCGAAAACTTTAGGTTACAGCAAAGCTTATAGATTATAGATTAACTTTAGTTGAAGACTTTTGATGAATTAACTGATCCTAGTTTTCCAATTTAATTTATAAATCCGTTAATGACATGTTGGGACGTCCCTGATGGCAAGTTTCTCTTGAGAAAAGAGCTTCAGATTGTTATAAATCTTCTTTGCAAACTATATCAGTTGTTATAAATTTTGCAAGAAAACATTAAAACAGTAAATTAAAATACTGCAATAGGTCAGCAGGGTTTGACTCTTTTACAAATGGCCTGCGTTTAGGCGAGCAGCTTTCATAGACCTTTCTTGATTTTTTAATAGTCATTTCTCTATTTTTGAATCCTTTAATCAATTAAAGAATAGAAATTTGATACGATTGACTTGTTAAATTTAATTAGAGCTATTTGTTTTGTCCTTGGTTTAGCAGTTTACCCTACGTTTTTTGTCGACTTTATCTGAAAGAATTGTCTGTAAGAATATTTTTGATCATTTTTATAGCCAAGTGTCTTTTATTCAGTTGTGTTTATTTTTCCCATATAGGACCTTGGTCTTGCTCAGAATGCCTCCACAGCTACGAAATCAGCTACGCCTCTTGGATCGTTGGCACATCAAATTTATCGAGTTATGTGCAACAGAGGCTATGCAAAACTTGACTTTTCATCTGTTTTCAAATTCTTAAGAGAGGATAAATGAATTTTCTTTAATATCTAATGAATAATGGCTGTGAATGATTTGTTAAAGCGTACAGATGGGTTACATGTTTTGCTAACTGCAAACATGAGTCAACCAATACCGATCTGGTATAACGTAGACATCTTGTCGTTAACCAAATCTGTTTATCTTACAGATACCCTGAAAGGTATCGTGTTTTTCAAGTCCATGTTTATCGCTAGTATTCAATAATTACGGCTCTTATCGCATACTTGTTTGCAGTATTATTGCGTATTTATAACTTTAGTTAATAATAGATCATCTCGGAGTTAATGGAGCAATAACTCAAATGGGGCAAATAAAAACAATGGCGGCCTTTTTCATAGCAACGATATTTAGACTTTTCTAAAGAAGTTTTACGACCAAAATATGAAAAAACAGAACTTGTTGCTGACTTGCCTCAAACAATAGAATCCCGTCAAGGCGTTACGAACTCCGAAATGTTCTAAACCATTGAAACAAGCATAACTTTCTTTCAATTATCCATAGTCAGCTATTTAACGAAATGTCAAGCTGTATTTTTGTAGGAAATCTTGCATTCCTAAATTTGTCACTCATTTTGAATTGATTGTTTCAATTTTTGCCTCTGTATTTCTTGAGTTATCATTTTTAAAGACGAGTTCTTTAATCATCAGTTTTATAAAGCTAATTTTCCCACTTGTGAGGCACATATTTCTATTAAAGCAAATTTTCAACAAAAAAAAGAATTGTTGCGTAAAAAAATAAAAAAAGGGAATAGTCATATATTACACTCACTGTTACAAGAAAATAAGTTCAAACTTAGCCCTCGGTTTCTTAATTTTGTTGTTGATTTCAGTACTAAAATTTTCTTGAAGATTTTTTAAATAGAAATGCTAGAGAGCTACTTTATGGAAACACCAAAACATAGCAGGAGACAGCCTGAAATAACACACCTGATACATCACAAGGAGCTTCTCTTATGTCAATTAAACAGGATATAGGTTCCTAATCTTAGAAAAGAATTACTTCCACCCAATCTTTAAAAGAAGGATTTCAAGCAGTTTCTTAAGGTTTAGGGTGATCAGAACAATTGTGTCTTTGTTGTTTGGTCATGTTAGGGCTCAGTTTCTTACAAACAGTTTCTTGTAAAAAAGATTAGTGTAAATCGATTATGAGAGGGATTAGTTTGTGATATCAAAATTTCATTTGAAGTAAAATTTGCAGTATGTTATAAGCAGTCATTTTGAGATAGCATATAATCTCTTTCCTATTGAGTACAATCTTTTCGAAAGGTTTGTTTTGCAATCAACTAACTACTTTATTTGCCTTTACACAAAGAAAGATTGTCATTAAATTAGGTCTGACATGAGTTTGTTTATTCCAAAACAGTTGAATAAATCCTGTTTTAGGAGGCTACAATGTCAAAAATAATATATCAAAAATTTTAATGTATCTGACTATATGAAGATGTTTGTTAGGATTGTTCTTTATGGATAAAGACAGATTTTGAAAGATTCTCCAATGACAACCACTTTTGATGGGGTACCAAATTCAAAAGAATCATCTTTGCTTGATTAACCTAATTACAGTGTTAATTGTTAATTCCACTAAACATCGTTTATGATTTGGTAATATAAAGAAAAATTGTGTCTAGTTGAAAATGAGCAGGTTTGATAAACATAAAAAATAAACAAGTAGTTTCTAATTCTGTTTAGCAAACTGAATCTACTGTCACACTGACTAAAACTTTATGTAAAAATCATCCAAACCAAAAATACCTTTGTTATTTGATAAAATTGCTTTGGTACTATCATTTGATTTAAAAAAAGCAACAGATCTAATTTAACTTCCATAAGTCAAAAGAACATTATTATCTGAGTATGACTACAAATGACCATTTTTAAATCGAAATATCTAACTTCTATTTTTGTTAAATCTACTTTATTTTAACTAAGCAGAAAACCCTTTCATGAATGTACTTTGGACTGGTAATGTGAAATAAATTTGAATGTGACTTTCACAAGAATATCAACATTAGAAACTTCTTACGTAGAAACAATTCATTTCCATGGTAAACATGTTTAATATTTTTGTTCAAACCATTTCTAATAGCACAAGATTTCAGCATCAAACTGAAATCCCATTCCTATTTATCAGGAGTAGACAGGCTGCACTTTTTCAATATATCATGCCTTTCACAGAATTTCTCCATTAACTAAACATACTCAAAACAATGAAATAAAGCTACACAATTTGAACTGAAATTATATAAACAATATTTTGAAGGTACTTGATCAATTAATTGCTGGAAGGTATTCACTGTCAACATGCAAATATTTTGTAACCAGCCCCTGTACATGACAACACATTGAAGGGTAGCAATGTGTCCATGTTCAATCCACTCTGAATCTGGCGCACAGTACATGGTACAAACACTCTCAGGGACAGTATATGTACATCTTCAAAAATGTGATTCTTGTGAGACATATCTTTCATTTTTCATTTATTTCTTTATTTTTACTACCATCCTGAAAAAAAATTCAAAAATCTTGAAAAATAAAGTCTTTGAAACTAAAGCTTTATTAAAGAAACTTTATGTCTACAGCAGGTGTTTGTGAAGAAAAATTTTTTTTTCTTTTCTGCTGTTTGGTTGCTAATAATTTTTGGAAATATCTCGTTTCTCATGTTTTCGCAGTGGTCGGCATGGTTTGACTATAACAAAGTATAACATGTATTTTCTTATTGTTCATTTTCATTACTATTCCATGATATATAACTTGCCATAGCTACCTGAAGTTTGGTTAGCTAAAAGCATTTGGCGGCAGTGCTGCCATGTTGTGGCAGGTGGTGTAATACTTTTCAAATGTAGAGTGTATTTCCTAATTTTGACTTTTTGATCAATATTCTGAAAGTTTACACTCTGAGAGTCCCATATAAAAAGCTAAAAGTGTGTTTATAAATATTTTGAAAGCCACTTTTAGATGTTTGAAATCTTATCTGTTTTGAACAATTTTAAAATCCAGGTAAATATACTGATTTTACACAAAAATACATTCTTATGATGCAATACCCTGTTTGACAAACTGTCTGGAGAGTTTACCAAGTAATTATTTACTCCCTTGTTCTATTATATTCGTATTCTATACTCCCTTGAATCAAATGCGTTCTTTTATTCGCTAAACATCAAGCTAAAATTTAGAAGTAAGAGAGAGGGAAAGGGAGGCTCCCCATATTCGTAAACTACTGATTGCCAAAAATGTTTCCTGTTGTGGTCTTACCAAATGCTGCAGTTCTCTCTCTTTTCGTTTCTTACGTAATATGTAGCTGCTGTGAATAAACGATGTTCCATAGTAACAGGTTGCACCAAATAAAAGAAACGTAACGGTCCTCTGTCCATATGTAGCCAATGTTGATAAACCTCCAGCCATCTCGCCCACAGCTATGTCTGATGAATAAGTAGTTGATTAACAATCCCAAGATTTCCGTAACACTGAAATTGCTGAAATCGAACTAGGCCGCCAGGGGAAAATAACCTCGATATCATGTATAGTCAAAACGAGTTATCGAATATTCTTTCAAAAATCCCGGATTTAGTCCCAGTTATCCATACACCATTTATCCGTAAAATCGCAATTTCAGATACAGCACCATGAAATTGAAGCTGTAGGGTGGGGTGGGGGGTGGGGGGGGGGTGCTAAGATTCAAGTTTAGTGACATATAGGAAGACTCATCGTGGTTGGGTGAGACGCGGAAGAAAATTTTAGAAATTGAGCCTTCCAGAATGGCTTAGCCTGCGTGCAGACTCTGTTGACAAAATTGAAAATATGCGGAAAATAATGCTCCTCTTTTAAATTTCCGAGTCTGCACGCAGGCTAGAATGGCTAGGAATGCATCATTTTTGTGTACTCTTGTCATTATAAAATAACGACTTTGTACAGGAAATGAATATTTGGTACAACGTTTCGAGCAAAACTCTTAGAGAATAATTGTGACGTCATTTCTCTTTTTGGATATCTTTTTATATCGGTATATATTTTTATTTGGATATCTAGGAATGCATCAAGTCCAAGTTTTTTAGTCTTTCTGCGCCCTTTTTTCGAGTGGTCACATCGAATTGCGGTTTTGCAATGCGGCGGCTCTTCTCCATTAAGTGGGATGAAATCAATTTTAAGGTGGAATTTTAGGCTGACGTTTTTATACCGAGAGTATCCGTCATTTTTTGTAAAACTTTCGCTAGATTTTCAGTGATAAAATCAAATTCGAGCTATCTTAGTCTAGGGTCTCAAAAAATTAAGTTAATCCGTCGAAAGATCTTCTGATTGATCCTTTTTAACTCTTCTATTGTTGATGTTAAGAGCCTTTATCTTTTAGATTTGATGTAGTACCTGCAAATTTGACAATATGAGAACTTTTAATGCATCCTTTTTTGGTATGAATAGCAACGTCCTTCAGATCTCAGACAGGCCGTTTCAATTTGCTTTCAGCATACTATCTGATACGTCTCATGTAAAATTCTGTGATAAAGTGAGTGAAGATATTCTTGAAAAACATTTAGCTGTGTTGCAGCTGATCGATTAAAAGCCTTTAGATGATTGTGTCTGAAAGATGGCCAAAAAAGCTTAGAATTATGCGGTGACATCTCAAAGTAAAACAATTGTCAGTACCTTTCTTCATCGCTTGATAAGTTCATCGCTATCTTTGTCCCTGGATCAAAATTATTTAATATTTGTGTATAACATCACACAAGTCTGACATTATCAAAAAATTAAATCCAGTTAAACATACCAAAAAAGTAATATTTGGATATTGATTATGTTCATCCCTGTCATAACGATAAACGGAGTTTCTTGAAACAAAAGAAAATTTTCCGCCGAAATTATTAGAGAGGAGAGTAGTCTTGAGAAGTGTCTGCTAGAATCTAACTGTCTAGGGCGTGGTCAGACTTTGATAATTTGGTCTTGATTTGCAAAAGAATCAGCCTTGCATTATTCTTCATAACGTGATGTTTTTTCGATGTGTACAACAGTACTAAATGATGTGCCTGGACTGTGCTCGCTATTTCAAAGATAAATGGTGCTTTCCAAGACTTAGGTTTATCAGATACTTTTTTATCTGGAAAACCATCTCTTAAAGATACTTGAAAAATAAATGGAAATTTATCACTGCATTTTCTCGAGCGTATGAGGATATATGTTATGGTCCATTATTGCCACTGCAGACTTTTCTGGGTTGGCAGACGCAGGCCCACTTTAATCATCGTCTTTATGTTTAATAATAACACGTTTAATCGTGGTGAACATACAGGAAATATTTTATTTGTGACATCTAGTGGATATAAAACTGGACTAACTTCTCCTATGGGACGACAACTGTACAACTGGACATGTACACCAGAATAACGTATTTGGCACGTTTTAAAGTGCATCCTCAAAATTTTCCCCACTCTTCAATCCTTGCTCGAAAAATTTAACAATTGAATGTTATCGAGACAGCCAAATTTCGGCTTTCATGTTCGTTAACCATTTTGGCATACAATGCGCCAACGTTTGGGCATTTTATGGCGGTCGCATAGCGGAGCCAATGTAGGTTCAATATAGGTACAAAGATAAACTGGACAAAAAGTCGAGCAGAAATTTGCTTTGTAGAGGCGTGCAATGTTTCTGTAAATGTAGAATAACGCGCAATGTAGAAAATCATCCCACCTTCCAGCTTGTGAGCTGAACGGTGAGATCCCACTCTTTTATAGAATACATTGTGTTTTTCGTCTTGTGTTTATGAGGAAAACAAGTCAGCCCGGTTAAGTGAGAAACCACTGAATGAGAGGTGGGATCTCACTGATGTGGGATGATTTTTTTCAATATGGAAGGTGGAATGCTGGAAGGTGGGATGAAGCTGGAAGATGGGATGAGATGTTCATATAAACGCGATCAAATTTCGTCCCACTTGTCAGAATACAAGCTGGAAGGAGGGGATGATTTCTTCCATATACAGCTGGAAGGTGGGATAGAATCTGCTTGTAAACATTCAATGTTTTCATCCCATCTGTCAGATTATTGGCTGAGAGATGGGATAAAACTGCTCATATAAACAGGCCCTTAGCCAATCAACGATTTGGACGCTATGCTCCCCCGTGATGTGCTATCAACAGGGGTTCAAGGTCCAATTTGCAATCGCTAAACAGGGTAAAGGGAAGGCACTTAAGGCTAAGGAAAAATTGAGCATCCAGCGTACATTCTTGTATAAAAATTAGTTGTAAAGTGGCAATTCGAGGCAAGGAACTTAGAAGTGTATGTTTCCTTCCCGAAACTACATTGAAGTTGCAGAGAAGCGATTAAGAAATCATAAATTTTCTTATTAGTTGATGTGATGCACTAAAACCAAAAGAAAAATATTTACATAAAAGTTGGGTCATTCTAGCCAGATTCCACGAGTAGATTAGAAAGATAAGAAAAAAGTTGCATTTAATTTTCTATTAATAGATAAATAGAATGTACCATAAAGGATTTCTCAACATGAATGCGTTTGGAATATCGGTGTAGAAATAAACGTTGCAAAAACGTGAAGATGCTGCAATGTATGTTAATTTCCATCTTGTGCTTCGAGTTCGGAAGGCGGCCTACAGTTTTGTGCACGTAAAGCTCTCAAATTCGGACAACCTAAGAAAAATTGAAAAAATACTTGGAAATTGAAATCTATGGAAATAAGAAGCAAAGCTGAAAGAGTATACAGAAGGGTTGATACGAATAAAAGGAAATGATATACATATATTTGTCAATTTTTGGGTAATCGATCCCAAAAGCTGATCACGGGGGTCAATGGAAATTGTACAGAAAATTGTTCGTATAGACTAACAATTACATATCGCAAATGTATTGAACTATTTTTTGGTGTTGATCTTTGGCAATCCATTGTGGTAATAACGTATTAAGTGTGAGGTCATAAAAATCTATTTTTAGAATTTTCGAATATTGACTGCATAACCTAAAAGAACACTGTAAAATACCTCTAAACATGCAAAATCCGTTAAATATGTCAAAAATCAGGTGAGCTATGGCCAATGAAAGATCTGAAGTTTGCTAACGAATCACTGTTATTTTCGCTCTGTTCATAAAGTTATGAACAGAGACCAAATTACCGAGGTTTGATAGGGAACGAGCCTGGATCATGTGGTCATATCTTAGCTGATTTGGCATGTTTAGAGGTATTTCATGATGCTCTTTCAGGGTAAAGGATCTAAATACAAAATGTTAGAAATAGATTTTGCGACGTCATCACTTAAAAAACTCTATTCACCGCAGGACGTCAAAATACTTGAAATGAATCCGAAAATGTGCCGTGCTCAGGGAGGACAAAAAGCCACACATGTCTGCTTGATTGGGATAAAATGTGCCTATCGGTGAGCCTCTTTTCTTCGATTTCAAATTTAATGCTTATCAATTTCAAAATCACAAGTTAATATTAACGACTGACAACAGAGAAAACATATCTTGTAGGAATTAGATATTAAGTTTATTTTGGAACAAAACAAATTATGACTTAGGCTTATGTCGTCATAGGACATAACATTCATAATATTAAAACTCATCAACAATCCAACTTTTGCATTATCGTAGGTAACTGTGATTGAAAGTAGTTACAAAAAAGACCAAGTTTGGTCAAAACAAAGCATAGACAATGCCGCATCAACTAAAGGGCACACTTGGCACTGTGCGCGGGGCCCCTAGCTCTAGATTTGCTCCAAATTTTCTGGAATGTTCAGGTTTTATCGGAAGGGTATCTAAAAGTATCAAATTTTTTTAAAAAAATATTTTAGGTCAGGCCCACTTGCAGCTATCATCATATCATCAGGCACGTACATTACATAGGGGCCCCAATAATACTCTGTGTCCAGGGTCTCAAAATTCTTAATGCGGCCCTAGGGAGAGAGTTATTTCCTTCAAAACGTCAACAGATAAAACGGGGTTGTTGAAATTTCAATTAAATCAGCAAGAGGTGTAAAAATTTCAGTTATTTTAAAAACTAAGTTCAAGAAGGAAAATCTGCATTTTTGAGGGTATAACAACAATTTTGAGGAACATAGAAATTCCAAAGGACCTTTGTATTCTGTAAATTCTATCAAATAATAAGCGGGAGTGTTTATCACCAGCTCTTTATATTGTAAGAACAAAGTACCAATTCTCTGCTAAATTTTAAAAAGCATACATGTTAAAATAAAGGACCAGTCCCGTTCCCGCTTATTTATAAAGGGATTGTTTTAACCGTACCACTTAAAGAGTCTTACCTGGAAGGGAGGTAGCTGATAACAAACTGATGTATGTCTGATCAGCATTGATGAGCTCAAGAAACATCAAACTCAAATGGCAAATGCCTGCATCTGATATCTTATTTCGACTGATGTTCAGCTTTTGAAGGTTCTCAAACGAGTTTATTGTACCATCCTTGAAAATTTCGTTCGTTATTCTAGTAGCTGTTAGACTGAGAGTGCGCAGCGATTTTAGGCCTAGAAAATAGGTTTTGAATAAATAATGAACAAAGATAAATAATGATAATGATATATATATGAAACACAAATTCGCTTTACGGTCTCATTTTGGAGATTACTCCAAATTTAATTATATGATTGTTCATGCTAAAAAAAAGTTTACCACCAATTTGCGGCGATTTAAAGTTTGATAACATGTAATGGTTTTGAAAGCAAAAATCATTCCGGGTGAAACTTTTTATACTTAGTCGTAAGTCTTACACCCTATGTATAAAATTTTTAAATTATGTTGTCATAAATCAACATTTAGAACCCTAGCATCTTGAAAAATAGCACGTAGAATTAAATTCTGGTTCATAAGTCGAATCTCAAGGCAAAAAATTTTATGAAAATGTTTGTAGTATTTTCAAAACAAATAATGAATGGGAATGACGTATTAAAAAAATGCGCATGTTTTTTGAAACATCTATTTCAGATTTGGAAACCACTCGCAATTTAGCCCCCTCTTTTATAAGCCCCCTTTAATGTGCTGGAAAACAATAAGCCCCCTGGGTGCTTAGAAGAAAATTTTTAAACTGTTATTATTGATATACCTTTGATCATTCTGATGGCCTCGTCTCCAATGTGAGTTCTCGCAAGGTCAAGTTCTTGCAAATTTACTAGACCTAGGAGAATAAAAATAATTCAATTAATAAATAAAGATTTTCAACGCCAAACAAATTTTTTACAATACAAAACAAGTCAGATGAAGTTCTAGAATAAGGCACAGGGTAAAATTGCAGGATTTTTGTTTGTTTTTTCTCTCTTTTTCTTGCTTGTTTAGTTTAACAAAACTTTTTCCTGTGAAGAGAAAAAGCAGAAAAATTCAAAGATTAGTAAATAAAAATGACAAAGAATAAGTCGAAGAAGAAAACGACAGTAATAAAATTCTTACTTTTAACATGACGAATACCATCGTTTGTCACTTTTGTATTTGCCAAACTCAGCGATGTTAAGCTAGACAAAAAACACAAAACTGTTTAACACGGTATCCTTCTACTCACTACGATGATACTATTTTGCAGTAAATACGAAACAGCAGTATCAACGAACGTTATGTGTCTAGAAAAATATTAATGTATGGAACCTTTCAACAGCTTAGTAGAAGTTCGTTGAAATTTATTTACCGCATTTGCACGTGTATAAGCCGAGGATTTTATGGAGGTTATTTGACGTCAAAATCGTACCTCGACTTATACAAGGGGCAAGGTCTTTAATGGCTCGAAAGCGTGGGTTCCATCAGGCTCGAAAACTCTATAATTTTGCCAATTTGAATTGATCCAAACAATCTTTTGGTGGTACAAAACTTTAAAATGGCTTTGAAAAAAGCAAACATTTTAGTAAACTAAAGCTTTTCGTCTGACACTGTTCAGAGTATAAAACGTCAGAACATAGATCGAAAACTCTACGCTAGGAAATATATATACCCAGTTGTGGATCGAAATAGGCCAATCAGAAACGCGAGCACGTGACTGTTGAAGTTGCCCAATCAGTGCCGCTTGCCTATTAGAATGTTACCAATGGAGTCCTAAGGTGAAAACGAACTCCTTTCTGTCTACAATAGCGGTTTTTTCGTGCTTATATAGATAGCTTCCAAAACTGTTAGATGGAACGACGATCGGGCTTTAACAATAATCCGAAACATGTCGCCATTATAGTTTTTTGCACATTCTGGGTTTTCTAGTAATTGATGCCCGATAGTGGAATCGCATGTTTTACTAGTTGTTTTTGATCTGCAAGACCGAAGTGGCTGTCATTTTTGGGGAAGAGTTTTGTTTCTAATGCTAGAAGGGACATGCTGTTATATTCTATCCTCCAATCTTTGGGATTACACTGGCACGCAAACTCAAAAGTAACGGAACTCTTTTGGGTGGTAGGATCGCAATCCTTTTGAATGGATGCATGGAAGGGCCTTTTTGGTACTGTAAACAACACGTGGATGTTACCGATTCATGATACCGATCTATGGTAGTTTTAGATAAATCGGGCACTTTTGAAGACCAAATTTTACTTCAGCCGAAAAGGCTTGCGATTCTTTCTTTAACGTAAATTGAAATGACATCCTCTGGATAGCCTTTTTCTAGAAAATATTTTTTAATTATTCAAGTCCCGAATCGAGGTTAGACCGGGAACAAATCATCAGTACCCTGTGTGTTAACGTTTTGATAAGGTTGATTTTTCTTTGTTTTGAGCAAAACGAATTCCATCGAGTGTGTCACCCCAAAAATGTGGCTTTACGGTTCATTCAAATAGTTCATCACGTTTCACTTCACCATTGGATGATGTCTTAATTGACATATTGAAGAGTTTCAGGAATTATTGTGAAGTCATCTAAAAAGATCAAAAACATATTTCGAATACGAAGTTAATTTTTCTTTTTTCCTCTGCCATTTAAATTTGCTATCTTCTGAGCCCCAAAGCATGTTTTGCTTACGATATGCGACGCAGTCTTTTTCAGCTGAAACATTCTAGATAAAGAAGGCAATACAAGTAGAAGGTAAACGGGTCCGAAAGATGGTGTCTCATTCAACGTATCTTTGTGGAAAACATTTAACATGGCAGTCTTTTCTTGGTTCTGCAAAATCAGTGTAACAGTCAAGGTTTTTCTCCCTCACCTCTAAACGTAAAGAAAATTTTGTATCGTTTGCACCGGGCTACCAGATTACATCAAGAAAACAAATGGTTTATTCAAAATTACTGGCGGTATACAATTTCTAAATCTACTCTACCATACCTTGTTATTCTGCCAACTGAGGCTAAACCAGCATCTGTGACGTGAATATAGTCAACAAGGTCCAGGCTTCGCAGCGGCAAGCCTACAAAAATGTTGAAAAGTTCAAAGCAGGATTTTTGCTCAAGTTAATTAGGGATAGATTCTGTTTTATGATACCTTCAGGCCAGTCACCTATTTTGACTTTTCTTGTTCTTATTCGTTAAATAAAACTGCCATCTTTGGTCAAAAATAAAATGAACAGACTTTATTGAGTGCTGGACGAACTAATTTTCAAGCAAGCAAACCAACTTTGCTAGCCAGTTGCCTTGCAAAATTTCAAATTTTCTCATTTTCAATTGTATTAAATTTCTGATCTTGCAAATGCCAACAAATAAAGCGATTGTATAAAATTTACATATATCTGGAGCTCGCACCAAAACATTGGGAATAAAGACATTTCAAAGCGCACCATTGGTCAGCGTAGACAGGAATATTTATGCTCTGATAAAGCCCCGTATGCCATAAAAGAAAATATTAGCCAAATTTAAGTTACGTGCAGTAATTGTTGCTTGTCCTCGGCGTGTTTCGGTGTTTCTTATTTGCTATATTTTTAGACGCGAATCATTTGAAAAAATTGCGGTTATTGAAAAGTAGCCAATAGGAAACCTGTCAGCAGAGCGGGGTCTTATATACAAAGCTATGGTAAAAGGGTTGTATAATAAAATCCCAAGTTGCCATCATGAAAATCATTATCTTATCTTAAATACAAATTTTTACCTTCAAGATACTGCAATGCTGCATCCGTGATATGCAATCGATCAGGAAGGCCAAGGCACTTCAGAGTCAAACCTAAGAATATAATTTCACATTGATCAGTTTGACCATAACACAGTGATCATATTTGTCTCAAAGAGCTACAATGCCATGAAAGTCAGAAATTTCAAAATCTCAATCCCAAAATAGTACAGCAAAGTTTTAATAGTTTTAAATAAGCTAGTTACACTACTCCCTTAAAATTTTTTTGCAAATAGTTCTACCCCGTTTTTGGATTACAGCAAAACATCTGTTTCTTAATAAACTTGGCAAGAGGTATAAAAAAGGTAACACATTAGCTTTGCTTTAAGAAACAGTCACATCTTATTAAATTATATTTACTTTTTTAGCAAGGGGAAAATGCAGTCTTTGGGGTTGTGTGACATGTACCCCCATCCCCCTTTCGTATAAGCTACACCTGAATCTGATGCTTGATTTGTAGTAACATATAAGCTTTACTAAAAAAATCTTTAAGAAAGAAGTCAGAGATTACACACCAGAGACATGCTGTAACGAATGATCTGTAATCGTGGTATGAGACAAGTTCAGCTCTTCGAGGTTTCTTAAGCAACTAACACCATGAAATGTATTTTCAACCAGAGGTGTTCCTGACAAGCTTAAATTGCGTAGCGATGGAAACAGTGTTACAAATTCCATTGATGAAACCTGGAAGGCAATATAACAGCTTATGTGTATTTAAAGGCAGAAAAAGTGAAAATTGGTAAAAGACACACGAGGAGCTCAATTACCGCCCTGGAAATCGGCCTATTTGCAGCTCAGCATATGGCAAGCCCCCTAGCCTAGTGGCTTACGACACCTGCAAAGTTTACATGGGACACCAAGCGACCTGAAACAAATGACTAGCACCTTTTTCGACAAATATTTATACCAGTGATCCCATCTTACCAAAACAACTTTTTACAGTTTAAGAAAACTCATATGACAAAGTTGATTTCTAGCCCGTGCCCTTATACGTCACTTTGCAGTAAACGAACATCGTTTAGAGAGGGAGAGGGGGTTGAGTTCAACATTGAAAACTGATATCGTTTGCTCGAGAGTTTTGCCAGTTATTTTTTCCTTTGGATATGTTGACCAATCTCAAAATAATATGAAGTTAAGTAAACATTCCTGTAAAATTCAAAAAACTGCATTCTGTAAAACTATGACAAACTAGATTTTCTCAACTGCACTGTTAGATTTAGGGTTATAGAAAAACAGACATTTATTAAAAAGAGCAGACGTGACTCCTCTGAGTGTTACAGCACTCGTGGAAAATAAATTCAGTTAACTTAATATTCAAAGCTTTTCATTGCAAAAAAACATCAGCCTTTTGGGAAACATTGAATTATTAAGAACTCAACGGCAAGAGGAAGGGACTTAATAATCAACATGCTGCCGACGGGCGTGGTTTTTTCCTGTATCTAAGCTTAGTTAAATGCCAGTCTTACCATTGTACGGTCCAAATGCAGGGTTGTCACGTTGAAAACTTTACCTAGGAAAAAAGGAGATGAAAATTACTAAAGGTTGTGTTGCAAAGTGCTCTACGTCATTTAATAATTTTTACTCAACACTATTCCCGCAGGACAGACTATCAGCACTGTGCCATAACGATTATTTAAAATTGTAAAAAATTGGATCAACTATTGATTCTAAAGACCATGTTCTCCTATTAACAGGTAAGCATATACAACTTAGAATTTTCTCATGCAGAAAGCTGAAGTGGATTTAACTGGCTTTCGCAAACACTCTCCAGTGATAAGCAAAGCTTAAAAATTGGTAAAACGGCCCTCAATCGGCCTCCTGCTACTTCCTAGATAATATTGACATGTTATACATATTCAAGAGAATCTTTAAGTCCATTTTCTCTACAGTTCAAATTAAAACACAACTATGATGTTAAATGAAAGTACAATGAATTCAAAGTAATAAATACCTTTGTCGTCTACATTAAATGCTTTTTCTGATACATTCGTAGCGTTGGCACTGAATTCAAGTAAATTTCTCCTGTCTCCACCAAAAAGGAAATCACGGAGTCCATCATCTTTTATCTGAAAATAATAACTATTGCAGCTAGACTCGTTCAAAAAGTTGCATTTTTCCTTCAAGGTCTGAAGTCTTTTTCATAAGATCAAACATCAAATAGCTTGGCTTTCTGAATATCCAATCTCTACATTTTCAACAGAATCAACTTTCGATAAAAAACTAGACAAGAGATCCCTCTTATAAAATTCTCTTAAAAATCTGATAAAAGCATAATCAAATACTTTCTCTCAATTTTGACGGAATCGATATCAAATCGACTATTTATTCGAGAAGAGGTCCTAAAATTTTCCAAAGTTTAAAATTTGACAGAAAAAATATAGATATTCCTCTCCCAAATTAAATGCCATCAAAATCATATACCTTTACAGCAAATTCATTTCCTTTGTTTCATTTGAAAATCGGACAAAAAAGGCTCCATTGGTTCAAAATGGTTAAAAAATAATTTCTAGGCTCGCTGGAAGTACTAGTTACTGTAATCACCTTGGTGTTATCGAGCTTCAGCGACTTAAGCTGTGTCAGATCTAGAAGATAAAGTGAAAGGCTTAAAAAGGTAGAGTTTTTTTAAGTTTCATCAAATCCCTCAAAAACACATCAAAACTTGTATTTTTATTTGTATTTGCTCAGAGCTGCAAAAGGTATCAGAACCTGGGAACTAGATTCCCAGAAAATTTTTTGCTTGGCAGAAATTTTCAGCAAAACCTGAGAATAAAACAGCTGTCTTTGCATTAACCAAAAAAGTTTTCTTGACATTTTCACAACAGATAAAAAGTTTATACATATGTGAATTGAATGTCTGCAAATTGAAGATTGCACCAAATAAAGAAGTTTTGCATTTTTGAAACCTTTATAAAAACTATTACTCATTTGTCAAATACCACAAACAAATTGTAAATAAACCTTCAGATCCTTGTTTAGGACTTCTTTAACAGATAAATCTGCAGGTAAGCATTTTATGTGCTTTGAAATATGCTGTTTTAGTTGCCTTATATCAGGCTATGCTTTTGGATCTTTAATGATCAAAAGCTATGAAAATTACGTGCATCCTAAGTTTTCTTCATGCTAGCAATACGATACTACAGTCTTGATTGAGGTCGTTATAGACTTGACAAAGTGTTGAGTCTTGATTGAGTTCTTGGCTTGGCAAAGTTTTTGATTGATATTGAATTACACCCTCGTGTTCTTTCAGATCATATTCGTTCTCTTAATATTGAGATGTCACCAATTACTAATACAAAATATCATGTTGACATGTGTGCCCATGACATGAAATGAAATACGCTGGCTGATAAGTGTAAACAGGTAACCAGATTCATCTTCCATACAACTGGCATATTTTACCTTTCCCAAACACCAGGTCATTGTGGACAGCACCATCTATTCTGGAGTTTTCTACCGGTCAGTAAACATAATCCCCATTTGGTTCACAAATCAGTTTTACTTTTCACGCATAGTCAATTTTTGCCAAAGACAAAAAAGATGCAGTAAAAACCAAATTACGATTGAAAGCCTGAAAATAAAGATACAAAGAGGAAAACCTTTTATGTCGTGCAAGGCTCTGTCAGTTATCTGAACGCATCCACAGAGATCAATTATTTGCAAGTGCTTTAAACCTGAAAAGAAAGAATGAAGGTTTAAATCTTCCAGTGTATAATGTAACACGATAGGAAGAAACTAACACACTATCATATAATTATTGACAATTTAAACGCTTTGAAAAGGTTGTGAGTGTATTACACGAAAATACACATTGCTAAGGACGACATCAGTAGATTCGGATGAAGCCGACACAAATTCAACAGAAGAGTTTTATATTATATACCAATAGAAGTTTGTATCACAAATAAAAACTTGGGGAACATGATTTAAGATAGATCCACTTTTTAAGGCAGTTAATAACAGTGCTTTCTGCTTAAAATTCACATTCAAATCTTTCTGAAGGTATTGTATGTTTAAAGAAACTTTATAAACTGGTTCATTAAGTTTCATTTTGCATGTCCAATTAGTGGATGAAATTACTATGGGAATCGAAAGCCCCTTTACCAAGAAAAAAAATTGCATGGGCGAAAATGTCGTACTAAGAAAGAGACCTAATAGAAATTATTGGTGAATGGTCAAGCAAAAAAATTTAACTTACCCTTGACAGCTGTAATAACACCAGAATCAGTGAGAAGAGAACATTGTGAAAGATGAAGAGAGACTAGTGTAGTATGTAGCCTGGAAAATAAACAGATTAACTGATTTGGGCAAACTCAAGAGTATTGTGATATACATACGTATCATGACGTAAATACGTATCATGATATACAGAACGAAAAGTTTGAGCTTGATGTTTTCACTTAAAGAAGATCAACAGTGTTCTAATGATACTCGATACCGCGATTAAATGAACTCAATACATATCGTATTAGATGAAGAAATAGACAATAAAAAGATTACGAATTAGAAAAATAAACTCAAATATACAAATAAGCACATCATGAATAAGATGAGTATACAGAAATACAGAAGTAAACATATCATCAATTAGATAAACATACACAAATAGGCAAATAAACAGATCATGATAGATAAAAAAACAAATTCCCAATTAAACATGTCATGAAAAAGGTAACCAAATATAAATAAGCAAGCAAATAGACCTCACCTAGCAGCCTCAAGAATCTCATTTGATGTTAGGGCGTAACGGTCTAAATCAAGGTTCAGCAATTTACTGAAAGAAAAATAATACAATATGAGAGAAATAGTGTTGCCAATGCGTCAATATCATGACATTTCCATCGCATAGGATACATCAAATACATTTCTACATTTCTGTTAGATGGTTGTCATTATGAAACAATATTTGTAAATTATAAGGTCTCTCTAATACACCAATGAAACTTACGGCCTCAGTTTCAAAAATTCTTCAAATTCTTTTGTATAAAATTTTTGACCTTAGATTCGTATTGAGAGCAAGAATTTTAGTAAAAGCTTCATTATGGTATCTCCCACGATTGTTATTTTATGACGACATAAAGATGAAAATTTTATAAGGGATTTGACCGTGATTGTCAACTAGGAGGGGGGAGGGTTAAGTTTCACTCGGAACGATTTTTGCGGTCAAATCCCTTACAAGTGTTCATTTCTCCGTAAAATCTAAAATACAAGCACAAACAATATGAAAAATTGTATCTAGCCTGAAATTATGGTGATAAAACCAAATCTGAACTTAAAAATGCCGTACAATGAAGTTTGAAGAGATTTCTAAAACGAGACCGTAAGTTGAATTGGTGTATATTATGAGTCGTGCATGTCAGTTTTCTCGTTCGTATTGCCTTTATAAACTAGCTAGAAACGTTATCAGCATTTTGAAATCTTACCATGGGTGAAAGAGTTGAAGAAGCTTTCCGGTAAGCAACTTCCTGGCCTTCAAAGCACTGATCACCTGCGCAGCAGCTTGATGTGACAAGGTTCTTCCGATATGTGACAAAATTGCACCTTGTTGGGAGGCGAGGCTTTTTGCAATACAGTCAGCACACAGTTGAATCAAAGATTGAATGTTTCGTTCGAGGTTTAAGTTTCCTGTCTTGGTATCAGCTTCTACGAGAAAACTGATTCAGTAAAATTATATTTCATCGACATCTACCCACAAAAACTTTTCGCCATAAACACTAGATTGCTCGATAACAAATTAATCTTCAAATATTAAAACAAAACGATCTGTCATGGGTCTGCCACACCGAAGAAACTTTCAGTAACGATAACTAGAAAGCAGTGAGCAAGCGACTACTGTCAGAGAAAAGAACTTTGTATTTCGAAATTAAACCTTGCCTAAGTAATTCACATTTGGTTGTAAATCTGAGGCCTTTTGGTGGACTTTAATATCAGCAGAACTATTAAATCTCATAAATTTTAAAGAACTATATATCACAGGATGAATTAACAAAAGATCAAATGGAATCAATAACAAATAACCTTTTAGAAATATTCATTGACAACTAAGCGTAATGGAAATGGCATTGAAAATATTCATTGACAACTAAGCGTTAATGAAATGGCATTGGAAATGAAATTTACTCTCTTCAGAACTTGTGTTTCGTTTGAGTCGTTGTTGATGATTTGTCGGGGGTTTTACGAGAAAATCAATTGTTGTATTACGGAGAAAAAATTACATCATCACAGTTGCCGCAGCATCAGGTAGTCTAGAATAACATACATTCTCCCCAAGCTGATAAGGAAACATGGAAATCTTTTCGAGAAAGCAGAGTAACATATCAACAAACCTCCAGAAGAAATCTGCAGAGCACGGCGCCTTTCAACAGCTTCGACAACAGCAATATTTCTTTGCTTCGGTTCTTCAATATCGCGTTGTCTTGCAGTGGATACGGTTTCTGCAACTGACCTCTCAGTAGTATTTTCACTGGCATCTATAAGCGCCCGAAGTACAGCACTTTGCTGAATATTGGTCCTTCTTTCTTCGTTCTCATTAGGCCCATCAGAGCTGTGCCCTTCTGAATCTAATGAAGGATTAGATGTAAGACATGCCCCGGCACCCCATTCGTGGTGCAAAACATGGGGAGTGAGATGGACCGAATGAATGTTGTTTGTCGCCCCTCCATCGTACATTCTACTCGATACAGTTGAGGCAGGGGCGACATTGCAAACCCCACTTTGAGCTGTGTGTCTTTGGAGCATCAAAACCAAAGAGGCATTTGGACACAGCCCCAATGACAACAATGTAGAACTAAGATCCCCATTTGAATATTCTCTTCGTGGAAAAGGCTAAGTTGGAAAAAATGGCAAAAAACGTTTTGACTAAACACTTAACATAGCAACACGCAAGTAAGTTTATAAACAAGCAAGAAAGTAAGTAGACATATTTTCTTCCTATGCATAAACTGGACAGAAAACGAATTTGAAGGTGACAAAGTTGTCTTATTCTTTCTTAAAATTCAATATCTGACATTCATGTTCTGTTGAATTTTTGCCCAAAATATATTCTAGAGCGAACATGCCATCTTTCGTACATAATTTTTATTGACGGAATACAGTTTTGGTAGAATAAAGTCTCTCTTCTATGAGCCAATTTTACACGCAAAGTGTTATTTTTCCACCAAAAGCAAGCCTGGAATACGCTTTGCCTTTTTACTTCTAAATAAAAATTCAAATAGACGCAAGAAAAAACACATTTTTTACTTATCCAGCTACTTATGTCAGAAAAAAACAGGGCAAGAGCTTTCAAGAGCCTTCCCGCTTGCTTTAATTCGTCACAAAAACCCTTTATGTTATCCTGCAAATGTTATATTGAATTATCAAACAGCATATCTACTTGGAATAGGAGAGATCATACTCGGATCAGCAATGAATTTGTCAGTTCCTGGAAATCACCAACATTTTCTTTCGCAAAATCCATCACATCGGATAAAAGAGAAACTTCCGGAAATTGATGCACTAGGCTTCGACCAGAAGGCAGTCTTATCTGAGAATAAAGATAAAAACCTTAATCAATCATAATTAATTTCTCCATTACTAAAACCGAATAAAGCATGAAAATGGAACTGGCAATTGGTACTTAGAACTGGCTTACTTTACGTGTAAAAAATTTTTAGCAAGAAAATTTGGAAGAGTGAAGGCTACGTAAGCTTTTGGAATTCTTACAAAATTTTCCGAAAACCTGACACAAAAAGGTGTTGAAATAGAGCAATAGCACGGTTATTAGAAAACCAAGACAAAATATTGCCAAGTAATATCAGAACAGAACACAGATTGACAGAACAGCATCACAAAATACCAACCAGTATTTAGCAAAAGGCGGGAAAGGCGGAGACTTTAAGAGCTCTCAGTTATTTTGTGCAGGGTCAACATTAAGCTGGATTTAAAGGGTGTGATTTCCTGGTTCCATCACATCAGGCATATAAATGCCAAAATAAATATGAAGGGGCGAGCTTGAAAATGGAAACCGTGAAAATCATGCGACTGTGTAATCATACGACGTACTAAAGCAGGAACCATGTAGAAATAATTAGGTAAATATTTGGTATCATGGAATTTATATCGGTTATATCTAAATTCCTGTAGACCTCTTTCAAAACAATACGTTCCTTATCAATTATGTTGAAATCTCGCGGTATATGAATAGTTGCCATTTGATAAAGCCCACCTGGATTCTGCATAGCTTTGCGTTACTATCTACGCCCTCTTTTGATTGCTTGACAGCATTTGTGACGTCTGACTTGTCCTCTTCCTTCCTCGCAGTTTCATCGGATCTAAGATGTCTTATGCGTCTTTTGTTTGCCTCGATCTCTTGTAGAATGTTCTGTTTTGCCTGGCAGAGAAATTTGATAGCAAAAATTGGAGACGTAGTTATCACTTAAATAAAAAATATGAGCAGCTAGCCTTTTGAGATACATGATTCACATTTGCCTCGCTATTTCAAAAAGACAATTTCAGAAGAGCTATGCACAAAATGAGACATGAGTATCTCCTGGAACTTAGTTGTCTTAGTTGTAATGGTCTTAAAGGAAAAAGTCTTAGTTGTAATGCGAGAGGTTGAATCGCAAGAAAAAGTACTTAATTCATATAATTGTTGCCTTTGCCGACATTTTCCTAAATGCATTATCTTGCATCTATGTTCATATCGCAATTCTTCTTTCTTAGGTTGACAACGACAGAGTTCATCAATAGCAGCGAGTCATTCAATATAAACACAGGCTTTGTAATTTTTCCGGAGGAAAACACTGCAATGGTTACTTCGAATAATAACTAATGATAACTCCCTAGCTTACATTCTTGTCTTGGAGTTTTCGTTTCCTTACAGCAGATTGGACCTCTTCCCGCTCTTTTCTCTCAAATTCCTCTTTAAGTTCTCTTTGCCTTTCGCTCAAGGCCATCCTACTAACAACTGCATCATCAGCATCAGTCTAAAACACATGAAAACCAACATACGTTCAATACTCAAGGAACTGTATTAGCTGTTACAGTGTAACTTGCGGCAAAAATTATGTTTTATACACTCTGGCTAGTGCTAACATTGGTTAGTTTGAAGCTTAGAAAGACAGTTCACCTGATTTGTTCTCCTGATCATCATCAATATATTAGCAAAAAAATCTTCCAGTTGGACATTCAATATATGTAAATATATATATAACCCCATGTTGAGCTGGGACTTTTAAAGAATCGGGTCTGAATAGCACTGAACCAATTTTCATAAAATGTTTTAGAATGCTTTATCAAAACCTAATCATTTCTGTGATCCTGTTCTATATTCCTTTATGACATTGTACCTCTGGACTCTTATCTAGAAGTTTTATTTACTCACAGAAATTGTTCAGTAATGGCTTAAATTAGGGTTAAGAACTGGCAAAAAGTAAATTTTTGTCAAGCAGAGACTTCAAATATATAACAGGTCTTAGTCTCATTAAACTATTTGTAGGACTATAAAGTTTAATCAGAGAGATTTACATTTTACCTTAAAGGTGAAAAAATATCTTAATATGTTTCTTCCATTATTTCATTGTGATGGTTAATTCAGCTGCTAAGCCTTTTTCATAACATTTAATATGTGATGCTTTGGAAAAACTGCAAGTTGAAACCAAAATTAGTGGGTTACCTACCTGTTTCTCGTGCTCAACTGTTTCTATGTGACTGGTTGTTGAAGTGTAAGTTGAAGTTTGAGAGGATTCTTCTTTGGCTGAATTCCTCTGTTGCGCTTCCAATAACCTATTATTTAAAATCATGCATATCTCAAGTCAATGTATTTATGACTTCACAATGTTTGTTGAAGTTAAAGAAGAAGAAAATAGCATTTGCTCAAGCTGACATTGCAGAAGAAAATTATGTAAATCTCAAACAAATTAGGCTCTGAGAATATCTTGGATTTGTATCAGTACAGTGCTTAGCTACAACTCACTAATGAACTAAAATGCTGCTTGAGATAAAACTTAAGGAGATAGTTTATCATGAAACTCAAATTTCCACATATAAATCTATTCACCAAAAACAAGCTTTAATATCAACCTTGATACTAATAATTTACAATATTACGTATTCTCATACCTTTGAACAGCTTCTTCTATTGTTAGGTTTTCAATTTGTAATATTGCTTCGCATAAGTCAATATCAAAGCCCATGGAAACCAGTACTGCAAGTTTATCAGAATCCATCTCTCTTCTAGAAAATGTGACATGCAATAAGAAATTGTAATTAATAAGCAAATAGATACAACAGGTAGCATGATTCAGGCAAATATGATTTGAAAACACTGGTTGCGGAAAACACAGGTGTGTGTCATCCAGTCTTTAAAGTATGGCAGTTCTTGGCAAGATTTTATGTGTGCAAGGTCATTTATGGCATTTTCTCTTATGCAAACATCTATTGACCTATTATGTGATTTAAAAACAGAAATTTCCTATAATAATTCTACAGGACCTACTTTAACATACTAACCAGGGGGTAGTTGCCTCTCCAGCCCTAATAACTTCCTTTTAAACAAAAGGCTATTGTTCTTATCTTTATATCAACAAGTGCTTGCCCCCGCAACTACATGTTTTTTTCATTTACAAGGTTCATATTAAGCTAGTACTATGGCAAAACATTTCAGAAACTCTATTACTAGGCTCGAGAAAAATTAAGAAACTGTAAAATTTCCATTTAAAAAAAGGTTTTTACTTTTTTTCACTTTTTTTTCAAAAAAACAGACTTCCGATTTTGATAATGCATGTTGTGACGATCTGAGGTAACATTCTTCCAAAAATGTTCAACTTAAAAACAATGAGACAATTTTAGGTCTTGAAATAAGAAATCAACTAAGAAACTTTAAGAACTAAAACACCAAAATTTGGATGCCAAATTAAGAAACTTTTGGCACTCAGTGCTGATCCAAGTTTCTTACGAAATAGAAAATATATAATTTTCCTTCAAAATTGCTATGGGATGCTTTATTGGATTTATTGTGCACCTTGTTCACTTGAAGACTGGATACTTTGTTTCTTGCACGCACAAATAAACGATTTACCGATTACTAGCGCCATTATGAAATGAGGGAAAATTTCACTCGCCCCAAGCCCCTGAACAAAAACAAAAATTTACCAATTTTCAACACTCTAATTTTACACCAAAACAAAGCTACTTTTACCTAAATTCTAGTGCAAAGTAATATTTAATCACTAAAGTATGTAATAAATACTTACTTACAACGATTTATTTTGTTTTTTGGTCTTCCACTGCCATAATTGACGACGAGGTACAAACATCCTAAATTCATGGTGTTCCCTTTGATCGGGAATATTTTTTGGCCACGTAGGCCCAGAACGTCCAGAAAACGTTTAAATGAATCCTCTTGAGTTTGCCTCTCAGTCAATATACCTCTATTAGAAATAGGCATCAGATTGGCTGAAATACAGAATGCCAAAGATATCCCCTTTTTGATCAGCTGACTCGAGTAAATGCGTCATTGAAGGCGTGTTCTCCCCGTGAGTGCGTGATTCAAAGTTCTCTAAATACGCTATTCTATGCAAAAGAATGTGTGGAAGAAAGCTTATAAGAAAGATATTTTAAGTGGGTGTATTGGGTATTATGATATTTTTACTTTAAATTATCTTGCTTTGCTCTATGAAGATTTATACTGAGAAAAGGACTGAATGGAGCGAAGAAAATTAGAGAGACAAACAACGGAAACCCCCAAAAGCATCAGAAAGTCCATGTCATTGTCAGCATCAGAAAGTCCCAAAAAGAGCAAAAGCGCAAAGCCAGAACTTAGATTGAATTTCTGTTTCAGTCAGCTGACAAGGAAATCTGACGTTCGATTTTATACTGGCTTTAAATCGGCAAAATTGTTTCAAGGCATTTTTGAGCATCTTCAGCCAATTGCCTCGCAAATGAGCTACTGGAGCCCATTCAGTCCTTTTCTCAGTATAAATCTTCATAGAGCAAAGCAAGATAATTTAAAGTAAAAATATCATAATACCCAATACACCCACTTAAAATATTTTATTGGAAATACAACGGAAAAGGAAGCTTTCTTCCACACATTCTTTTGCATAGAATAGCGTATTTAGAGAACTTTGAGTCACGCACTCACGGGGAGAACACGCCTTCAATGACGCATTTACTCGAGTCAGCTGATCAAAAAGGGGATATCTTTGGCATTCTGTATTTCAGCCAATCTGATGCCTATTTCTAATAGAGGTATATTGACTGAGAGGCAAACTCAAGAGGATTCATTTAAACGTTTTCTGGACGTTCTGGGCCTACGTGGCCAAAAAATATTCCCGATCAAAGGGAACACCATGAATTTAGGATGTTTGTACCTCGTCGTCAATTATGGCAGTGGAAGACCAAAAAACAAAATAAATCGTTGTAAGTAAGTATTTATTACATACTTTAGTGATTAAATATTACTTTGCACTAGAATTTAGGTAAAAGTAGCTTTGTTTTGGTGTAAAATTGGAGTGTTGAAAATTGGTAAATTTTTGTTTTTGTTCAGGGGCTTGGGGCGAGTGAAATTTTCCCTCATTTCATAATGGCGCTAGTAATCGGTAAATCGTTTATTGGCTTTGAAAACTTGATACTGCAAACTCATAACACTTAAAAATTTGAATGTTGATAAAATGTTATATTGTTATTACTTAGAGATCTTTGACAGCAAACATGCAAGTGGTGGGGCTTTGAAATTTTGTGTACATGTCTATATATTGCTGGCATGCAAAAAGGTTCAGAGTCTGGGTGTTCAATTGTATTTTAAATTTGGCTGTGCAGCACTATACTAGCCTAGTAAGTATGTGCATCTACCATACTCTGAAGACTGGTGCATCCCAGTCTGAAAAGTCTGAATCTGCCATAGATTGAATACAATATTTGTTTATCTGGTCATGTTCCCTGCGAATATTCCACCATCTAAACTTCTGACTTTTGATAACAAGATAAAACAAAGAATACAAGGTCTATTCGAAAGCCTTTGCCTCAAATTCCGCACATGATTTTCGCAGGAAACCAGGGGCAGATTCAAGGTGTTGCACAGGTTGCACAGAAGACTGTCAGATTTCCAGAATTTAGATTTTGTCTTCAGTCAGTTAAGTTAAGCACTCATTTTTACCATAATCTTTTATTTTTCTACTTACAGTAAAAAATATACATTTACACAATAAACACAGAACCAAACTCTGTCGTTCTCACACCTAATGATATGATTCAATCCAATAAAGATGAAGTTTAAAGATCATCCTAGACTGTGAACAATATGACTTTTAAGCATGTCACCATTGCTGCACAAATATGCAGATCTCTTTGTTATGCATTATCAAATCTCACCAATAAATAAAGGTTCAAGTCTGTAAACACTATGTTAGATTACAGTGCCATACGACTGCTGGCAGGGGAAAAAAGGGGATGAGGTTGGAACTTGTTAAAGAGAAGAATCACAATTTTCTATATATACACAGAAGAGGTGAATAGGGAATGTGCACTTCTCAATTTTTAACCTTTCGGGCCCCAGTCTCGTTGCCACTCTCAAAATACAAGGCCTACTAGCCTCATTGGTGTGGCAACTCCTGCTCCTAAAGAGAAGGGTGTCTAATTGAGGCCTTTCATCGATAAAAGTGCATCAGTCTTGCCTAGCAGGACAAATTGCAGTTAGAAAGTAATCGCTTACAAGTCACGAAAATAATATTTTAAACTAAAAATCAAGATGACTCTCTTGAGCAAGGTGAAATTGTTCCTTTTATTCATAGTGGTTGAAATAATCCACATGGTAAATCTGCCTTTAAAATTAGAACTAGTTGCTCTGTGGTTCCAGGGGGGTTGGGCCCTCATCATGGCTCCGCCCTTGACCATGAGGAAGGCTTCCTAGACCGCCTGCTGGATAGTTTTAATGTGCGACCGTCAACTTTTATTCTGTATTCGCCCCTGCGGGAAACGTTAGTTATCTGCAAATTTCAAAATTATTGTTCTGGCGTTCCCCGCGCAGAAAAAATTGACCTTTTCTGAACAGGAGGCGAAATGGACGTCTTTCTGTTTTACTTATACTGATCGATTAGCAACCATTATTTAACATGAAGAAAGCAAATAAATTTTTTATGGATTGATTGATTGATCAAATACGACAAAAGACGCAACTTATTGAACAGGGAAAACATTACCAAAGTATGCCGTTGTCTATCTTTATATTTTCCGTTCTGCGATTTCTTTCTTAAGACATCAGAATAAAAAACAAACCATTTTGTCTTGAAACCAATCTTGTCAGTCAACAACCGTTTTCAAGAAACTATTTATTATCGTTGTTGTTGTACCGTCAATTATCTTGTTGTTGTTGTTGTGCGATTAACCTTTGCCTTGCGCGGTTGTTGAAAATGGCCGCCGGTGGCAATGGGGACGGATCGGAAAAAAGGCAGCCCGACAAAATAGAGATCACTCCTGGATGTCAGGTTTGGTGCAAAACAAGATTTGAAGAGATACAAGGAACAGTTACTGCCTACGATCATGAAAACAAAGTGATTTTTATTAGTATCCTTTTCAAAATATTTTGTGTCGCGAGAAAGCCGTTGGAATGGCTTCCTTAATTTCTTTGTCGCTTTGTAAATCAGTTGATTTGTCAGAAAATGTTTATTCGACTTAAAGTAAATTGATTTAATGTAAGATAGAGATGTAAATCATGATTACTAGCATGAACAGTGATGGCACTGATTGTTGTTTTGGAGGGTCTAGGCTAGACCGTCTAGCATTGTTTTTATAGTTCCAGAACATTTTTACACGAGCAAGTTTATTCATCTGATGGCGAATGCTTGGTTTAAACATATTTATGACTTGCCTTGTTAATTTCTTTTGGTGTACGTTCGCAATAAAAACGCACCAGTTAAATATTTCAATTCCGGCTTGAAACAAGAAATAATCTGGCAAGTATCAGCGAAATAGAATTGATGGAGAGCTTTAAAACACTGTCAGAAAAGTTTCGATTGACCTAGTTTTAAACACACTCTAATGAAATGAAATTGATCCATTATCACTTAGTGTCCTAGAAATACTGGAGGTGTCCATCTTTCTTCCAACACTATTAAGAGACTGGCTTTTCTTACAAGTTTTTCAATTCTTATACCCAAAATCAACACACTAAATAACCATCCTACAGACTTTTTGTTTGATGCAAGCTCTTGGTGTTAATTCTTACAAAAAGGACTTATCTAAATCACAAGATGCTACATACTGCCATACACTGTGACTTAAAAAAAGGGGGGGGGGGTTGTAACTTCTTCATTTAGAATTGCATTTGTTATTTTAATATTTTTCTCCTAGTCAGTATCAGTTTTTAGAATTTTCTATGGCAACTTCTAGAATGTGATCAGCCTTGACTTAATATTAAGAATCATCTTCATCAGAAAAACGTACAAAGCCAAATATTTTTGATGTCAGTATTGTCAATTTAAATCATCTTTCAAAGACCAACTTCAAGGTGCTTTCGTTGCCAAAAGAAAATTTACCAAGATTATATGACATTGACTATGGAAAAATTAACAGGCGTCTCATGGAAGCCAATTCAGAAAAAGTGCAGAAGGCTGAAAAAATTGGTATCAATGTATCTAGTGAAGCTCAAGCCTTGTTTGATTCAATTTCAAAACTGTAAGTACATTGAAATGAAATAAGTACCTCATAAAAGTTATGATTTTACAAAAGCATGAATATCCTCTATCACCTTAATGGAAAAATAGTATCTTTCCACATCTAAAATGTAAATGCACTTTTATCTGTGGTGCTAGCATCGCAATTACAGGAAATTTTACAGACGATAATTAAAATGAGATTTTGTATCATGCATGTTTAGCTGAACTATAAATTGGCCTTTTGGCATCCCATTAGAAATATCAGGATGGTATAACAAATGAATTCATAATTTTTGGGTTGCTAAAAGCAGGTTTTACTGGGAAAAAAGTTGCAGATGTGAAGTAGTTAACATAAATAACTTGAGCCTTTCAGCCAAAAGATTTTGAACATGACATGCAGGCCTTGCCCGGAAAGGCGCTCGATCGAGCGCGCGCGCCTAGAGCGCACCCAAAAAAAGCCTTGGAGAGCGATTTATAGAGCCCCTCAAAACGTGAAAACAATTTTAACGCGGAGCAAAAGAAATTTTTGGAATTTATTAAATCAACTTGATCAAGCATAAACAATCTTCCCAACAGACCGCAATATTATGATTTGCGTAAGATTACCCCTTGAGAAAAAATTCAGCAAATTCAACGTTGGGTTTTCGATAGCATTTTTAATCTGAAAACCCTCTAATAACTATCAAGGATACAGACCATCAAGTGTAAGCGTATTCTCCGGCAGATTTATTTGATTTTCGAGCAAGCGTTAATCTTCTATTGAAGTATATATTATTTTCTGTTTTTCTTAATAACTTAAAATCGCCTGTGCAAATCAGCGATCACGTTTCCGTCCAAATTATCGCATTGCTTTTCATTTTTCATTTGCTTTTGCGAGTAGTAGATGTTCTAGCGTTTCTTATAGAATGGATAACATGAAAAAAGGAAACAAAGTTAAATGTTCGATTTAAAGCCATGCGTATTGATGAAGCAATATGTGAAGCTAAACATAACAGTAGTGATACTGACACTGTTAAAAGCTCATCGAATGATGGCAACTTACATATCTAGAAAAATCTGAACAATTTTGCGACTTTGTTTTATTATATTTCTATATTTATATTAACATAGTGTTTGTTGCATATTTTGTTATTTCATATTATGGTGCTTTGTGGTATCACCGTTGAATTTCAAATTTAACATTCTTTCGAAGCTTTCGATTTGAATCTCTCGATCTCCTAAAGCTCTCGAAGGATGCTCTCAAGGACATTTACTTAGAGGTGCGAAATAGAGCGCCTAGAGTTTCTAAGGGGCTCTTTTTATGGAGCACCTTCATTTTACTTAGAGCAAGGCCTGGACATGAAATAGTAACTGTTCATCAGCTGCTAAGCCAACCAGAGAATCAGTTTACATTTTAGAATGCTCAGCCAAGCCATTGTGATCTTGTGTAATTGAACAGGAAGCCTGTGTAAAGGGGATTTCTGTAAGTAAGAAAACAAAACCAAAGCTTGTTTAGCAAGAAAAATGAGCAAGAAAAGCAAAAGAGGACTTTTACTTGCAGTCAAAATATTTTTTTTTTCAAATTCTAACATTTTCGGTTAAGAGAAATGGATTGTTTTCCCCTATTTTGGCATGAATTTATCTTTCATCTGAAGTCCTGACTCTTGACAATGTTATTTCTTTTTTCTTTGTTTTTAAAAGAGATTATTTTACTTTCAGCTTCCCTGAATGCAAATGGGAGGGGGATAACATTGTTGTCATGGAAGAAGTGAGAATATCACCACCCTATAAACCAGAGAATTGCTTTGGTCAAAAGAGAGACTCTCTTGAAAGATTACAAAAATTGGTAAGTTAGTTTCCATTTAAGTTTCATATAGTCGCAGGGTAGATATTTTACATTACAACTTATCAAAATTTCATGAAAATGAGCAGTCATAGATATGGATTACAGGCTCTCATAGCAATTGTACCCCAAGCTAAAACAGCCTTCAATTTACTTGGTAAAAACCCGATGAAACAAAACATGGCTCATCATTTTTGTATAAGACAATTTGTGATTGGCCCAAAATCCCAAAAATTGTTAATGATTTAAGATCATTGCAGTGTTTTTCTTATTTGTTTTGTTTAGGAAAGCTCTTATTAAATTAACCTTTCCATTGCCTTTTTTGAAAAATAATGATAATTTGATGTATACAAAATCATTGTTTTAGGTGAAAAAGTTTCACAGTGAGTGGCAAAAAGATAGCAAGCATTGAACATTCTAAAAGCACCAATTGGTTGATGTCTTCTTCTACAAAAAACACTCACAAACTTAAAAAGACCTCATGTTTTGCACAAGCAAACATGGATGTATAAAATGTTTTCATTTGTAACATTAGATGTTTTAAAAATTCAGGATCTTCTTATTACATCCTATGTACAAAGAAAAATGGATAAAAATTTGAAAAATAAACATTTTATTATTGACATAACTTGTCGTTTTCTTTTTTCATCTCTTGTTTTGTCTGCTGCTGAGGAATTGATCCTAACTGTTTCAGAATGACTTTATTGGCAATTGAGTGTGTAATTTTAAGAGTCCTCGAAATTAGAGAAGCGTGACAAATTATAACAACTGATCAATATTAGCAAGGAGACATCCTTTGTAATGAAATGAAAACCCAATGAAATAAAATTTTATTCTTTTTCTTGATAAACCAATGCAGGGCACTACATACTGCCTTTAAGTCTCACCACATCATCAAGATGTATGTGCATAGAGTCAACATCGTGTAGATGTAATCATTTAATCCAAGTACTCACGAACTGCAATTAAATAAATAATAAAATATCATCTCTGTCTACTCTCTTGGGTGAAACATCCCTGTGTATTCTCTTCAACATACAGAGGGTCACCACCAAAATGTCAAGTTCTTAAAGACTCATTGCTAACAATGGGCCTTTGCGAGCGTGGCGACGGTCCAAACAATGGCAGTAAACTCCTACGGATTAACCAAAATTGATTTCAGACAGTATAAAATGCATTTTGGGATGCTTGTGTAGCACAATGGCTCATTGTTAGCAATGAGTCTTTAAGAATACTTCAGTTATAATTGAATTTTTGAGTTGACAGTATTGGTTTAATCTCTCAGGGTTGTAACGTTTTTAAAAATTCACTAAGCAAAATTGGTTATTGAACCAACAGAACAGCGCAGACCTACAATTATGATATACACAATTAAGTAATAGATCATACTTGAAAAAAGCTCCTTACTTTGGCCTCATGAATTTTAATTTAAATTACTGAAGCAAGTAAAATGAAAATGACTTCCAAATAATATTTTAAATTCCAAACTCAGATGTCTTAAGACAAAAATGGATAAAAATGGGAAAGAGAAAGCCAAACTGGAAACTTTCAGAAAATGATCATTCAATTCATGAAGCAAATTTACAGCATATTATATGTTCTTATATATACTCTACTATTGAAAACAACAAGTAAACATTTTCAACATATTTTCAAGCAGAATCTCAAATTACAGGAATACTTTCAAATTTTCTATATACAACTATGGACTATTTTGAAAAAAAACTAGGCACAGGTATAGGAACAAGGGCATGTGCCCCCACTTTTCAGAAACCAAAGAAAAATACCCATTTGCAGATCTTGGAGGTTCCCCTTTTTGGCCTACATGTGCCCGTAATGCTTCATATTTCCATGAGGCTACATATAATCAGGGGGTAGAAAGAGGGCCTGGCCCTTCAATTTTCTAGAGGGTCTTGAACCAAAACGTTTGCAAAACTGAGCTTGAAAATGTGAACATGTCACCTAATAACTATCTTTCACATGAGAGGTGTTTTATCTCTGTACATTATTTTTAATATAGACATTTCTATATGTTGATAAAAAAATGCCCCCCCCCCCCCGAATGTTAAAGTCTTAACCACACTGATGCATATAAGATAGTATTATCTGAAGAGCATGTTTCCACAAGGGAGATCATATGTATGTCACGTTTAGGAACAAAATACAATTTGAAAAGCAGCAGTTTGTAGGATATTGACATCTAATAATAGGTAACCAAATCTTTGGAACTAAAATGTCCTATGCTAATAAGCAAAGGGCAAAGATAATTTTACCAACATGCAGTAAAGGTAATTTAAGAGTAAATCTCTAGAGTCACTACTAACAGTCATCCTGCACATGACTAAAAATGGAAAATCTACTTTTAAATTCTACTAATTTCCTTAAAATTGTCCGAATTCTAATGATGCTAAACCTGGTAAATAAACAATTCGTCACCTGGCATCTGGCATCTTTCAGAGGTGAAACTATACAAATCTAGCAAAAAATGTTGAACAACATAAATACCTGAGGAATCGATGAATTAACAATATCAACAACACCAAGCTGACAAATCATAAAGCTTATGATGCTGGCCATTAAAGAGGGTGTAATTAGGCAAGTTGTGCAGCATGATGTCTCTTTCTTGCACAAAAGAATCAGTCTGTGCAGTAAGCCATTAGTGCAGTGAGACAAGAAATAACATAAAACCATCTGAAAGGGACAACCAAATTAAATTTACGGCTGTCCCTACTTGTGTTTTTTGAAAAATTGTGGATATATTAGGGGGTTGGTGTTTAAACATCAAGACTTGCTTCATTCAAATAAGGCAAATGTTCATGAGCCACATAAAGAAAGTCACAGACAAATGTTTTAAAATTTTATGAATTAGTGACATCTTATGGAAATTTCCATCCATGAATAACAACATTTAAAATAACTTCATGTTCCAACTTTGCAGAGCAGCTAAACCAGTTAAGCACCCAAATAACTAGCTACTCTGCATTTTACTTAAAAAACAACTTTTCTATGTGTTTCTCAGTCTTTTTGACATTCTGGAAAATGCTGCAATTGTAATTCATATTTGATTTATGACCCAGTGGTTAGGCTATGTTGCAGAGAGTAGTTGATCATCATCATCTTCGTCGTCTTCATAAAGATTGTCGTCTAAAATAACTTTCAGCTGGCTGTATCCATAGTCTTCATACTTTGCCATTTTCCTTCTTTGAATGCGATGATAAACAAATCTAGTAACCACAACAGCCAAAACTATGAATATTATTGAAGCAATAACCAAACTTGCTTTGAGTTTTGAAGAGATTCCTGAAGAAGACTTTTTGGCTGGTACTTTTGTTTCCGTAACCTGAAAATCAACACAGAACAACAAATGTCAACAAAACTTCATGTAGCACACAGAAATTTGGCGTTGTGCTGGTAATCGCACGCAGTGCTCTGACCGGTAGGGAAATTCCCCTTCAGTAGGGGAAAACCGAGCTGTGTGGGGAGTAAGGAAAACCTACAGGTAAAATAGGCAGATGTAGGGAATCTTTCTATTATTTGTAGGGGAAATGAGCTATTCCAAGATTTTTGGTTTGGATCGAAATCTCTCTCTCTTTCAAAAGTTGCTATCTTCAAAGCTATTAATGAGCAGCTGTTTTAGTCCAGAAAATGCAATGCGTCAATTGCTATTTGTATAGCAGAAATAAGCTAATTTTCATCTTCTCGCCAGGGTGTCGAGATCTTTAGACATCACATGTGTTATTTTTGGCGGTCTCTTAAAGGGCCCTGGTCAACAACATTTTATATTTTTCAATCCTTTTTATGACCTTGAATATTTGACCTTGAAAACTGGCTTCAGTTTTCCAAGACATCTGTGGTGAACCACAGGGATGGAGAAGTATTAGATCAAGGGACCATTGTCCCAAAAAATACTTTGGATCCCAGAAAAAAATCAAAAAGAAGAATTTATATAAAAAGGCAAAATATATATGATTGAAAACTGCCAAAACAGTAGAATGAAAGAATCTTAAAAATCAAGAAGGAGTAATAAACTAATATGGAATTCATAATTTAAAATAAGAAAACATATATAATCTTGAATTCGTTTGACTTGTTAAGTATTAAAATTAAAACAATGATGTGATAAAGTAAAATTTGCTGCATAGTTGCTGCATGAATGTATTGAATCGGTGGGAAGTTGGGATACTGTAACAATTATAATTTGGTTCTTTTGTAAACGAAATCAGCACATTACAAAGTAGCAGTTGCTTACAGAATGTAATATCTGCTAAAGTCAAAGGAAAGTGTTATTACCTAGAGTAGTTAAATACTCAACAAGCTATACTTATATACCATATTCCCTCTAACGAGTGCCACTCTCTGATAAACCCAGCCCTCTCTTGAACGCCCTACCTTCAGCGCACCATTTGTAAAAAATGCTGCCCTCAAATAAACGCCACCCTCTTTTAAATGCTGCATCTTGGAAAACAGCATTCATTAGAAAACACACCAATGAATAAATTATACAAGTTGTTATGTCATATAAATACTTGCAAATCAGTCAATGTTTCAAAATATCAAATATTCAAATTGTGAAGATAACAGCATGGGTGAGAAAAAAAGAGAGAAATGGCCTAGTTAGCTTCCTGTAAGCATAGTCAATTGAAAAGAACTATGCTAGGAGCAGGGTTGTAGCTCTAGCCCCAACCTTGTTAATGCAAAATTTCTTTCTTTGCTATTGTTTATGCAAAGCGCATTCTTGGAGACACCAAAGAGTCTTGTACAATCAAACCACAGAAAGTTACCCGATTGACAAAGGGAATTTAAAAAGTGATTGCAAAGTTGTTAACCATGTATTCTCAGCCAGTGTAAGAGCAAGCATTCGAAAACGTGTGGGAGCTTTTGCTAGAAAATTATGAAGTAGCTTCTTGAATTATAGTGTACGGAATCCAAAGAATTGCACTTGTGTGCAGTTACATTTCAGCAAGAGCTAAATGTCTTATCACTCTGATGTACATTGATGAACCAAGGTGAGGTCGCATACCTTTTCATCAGCTTGCTTTGACTAACATTTTCTTTGGAAAAATCCTAACTTGTGAGAATTCTTTTGAGGAGTTTTCAGTTGAGTGGCTTTAAAAAACCTCAAAATTTGTTTTATGTTTTGTAGTTAATGTGTTCTGTTCTTTACTCATAGCTCAGTGTAAGCTTGATACATTCTAAATAAATGCATCATTCACTGTTGTTAATTTCTTTCTTGTTTGAAAGCCTGCCCCCTCAATGTAATGCCTAGCTAATATCCACAGCTACTTGCTGTTCCAAAGAAGAAATACTAACAACATGTGACAGGAGTCTATTGTTTGTATAGACTAATGCAAAGTAATAAAAATACAAGACTGTGGAATTTTAAAATTTACAAGCATGCCATACCTTGGTTGTTGTTTCAATCTTTGTTACCTGTGTGGTTTTTATATCCTGTGAACTTGTCTAAAATTCGAACAAGAGGTCTTAAATATAGAGTTTTTAAGTGTGCCATCACAAAAAATCCATTTTTAGATTTTTTGACTTGAGACCACAATACTTAGAAATATACCATGAAATACCTCAAATAGGATCAGTGAAATATGTCAAAAATTGGGTGATAAATGGCCAATAAAGGATCTGAGTTTGCTAAAAGAGACTTTTGGGCTTGATTTAAGGAGTAAAGAACCAGGATCAAATTACAGTGATTGGCAAGGAAAAGCCGGTCTAAGTCAATTTGTAGCTTTTTCAACTGATTCCCGCATTTAGAAATAATTCATTATGCTCTTTCCAGTGATAAGATCAAAATTAAAAAATTCTCAAAATAGATTTTTGTGACATCATCACTTAAGAACTCTATCAGCTAAATTTATTTAAAAAATGGCATGCTGTGCTTCAGTTTCATTGTATTCCTTTCTAGTTACAGCAATAGAGCTGCAGTGATAAAATCCTGAAAATTTATTCTATGAACTTCTGAACTTTTTTGGCCAGATGGAAAAGTGTGATGGAATAGCCTCCCAGATGAAAAAACTGTCAAGGTCTTTGAATCTAGAAAAATAGCTATGTGCTGACACACTCTAATTTTGGCTGTGTCTAAAATAAATGAACAAACATAATTATTCAGAAATGTGTCATTGACTATATCTCAGGCTATTTGTCACAGATCTAACTGAAATTCATTATAAAAGGTATTCTTTGGCTACTCTTTTAAGCACTTTTAGTAGTTTGAGCCCCTGAAACCTATTTAAATAATGTCTCATTCTGAGTTGTTTTTAATTATTTGAGAGATGCAACTTAAAAACTTTTCAATACAAAATAGAAATGCTTAGTCTGTTTTTCACTTACAACGCAAACTAGGTCGGTTTACTGGACTCTCACTAAATACTGTCACTGAATAGATGTTATAAAAAAGAAAACATTTTTGCTTAGTTTACTAGTCAAGCTGGATACACCAGTAGAATGTTGATTATTGGGAAGTAGATTAATGCATCAATTATCAAACCTCTGAAACATTGAATGTTTACCTCCAGAGATGTTTTGGTATTTTGAGTTGTCTTTAAAGTAGAAGGCTGAGTTGTGGATGACACTAAAGTAGTATTAACTTTTCTTTCAATCTACAAAAAATGCAATCTTATATAAAAAATGTCTATCTTGTGATCTACATATGTAAAGAAAATACACACAATTGGAAAGACTGTCACATTTCTGTTAAGAAGGCCTAGGAAGTAAAACTAATAAAAGAATTGATGCATGGCAGCAGTGTTTTTCTTAGTGGGAAGACTCTAGGCAAGATAAGTTTGCAAAATTTGTATTTGTTAAAACTGAATTTTTTGTACCTGCTTGGATATAAGACATTTTTGTGGAACTTTTAATCCAGACATCACCCATGTTGATTGAAGTAGCTCTGTCACATTTCCCGAAGCACTGCAACAAACATAAGAAATGTAAGCTAGACTGCAACAAGCATGTCACATTATGGCAAAAGATATTTAAACTTTATTGCAACTGACAGCAGAAATGCTAGTTTACACAATTTTTTCATTGCAAGCATTTTTTATCTTGAGCTCAAATGATGAACAACAATTGTGCCCCTATAAACTCTTCAGTCTTTGGATCAAAATAAAATTGCTCTTATCAGTTTTTTTAAAGGTATTTTCTTCTTTTAGCTACCAGACAATATAAGAAACATTTGGTAACTAAGAATCGTGAAATGCAATGATATATGCATTTTTTATAAAAGCTCTCTTTTCAGAAAATTTAACTCTCAATAGGCTATAGAAAAAGACACCAGGCTTCTCTTTTTGTTGTTGTTGATCTCTTATTAGATCAGATTATGTCAGCCCCTTTGAAATAAATGACAGAACAGTTTTTGACCCAGAAATAGAGTAGAACTTATGCAAAGCAAAATTAGTATATCTTACTTACTTATAGAGATTTATCAATGACCCAAAGCAACATGCAACTGAAGATGAATTGAAATGATGAAGTAACTAAAAGAAAATACTTCAAGATTATAATAGCAATTAAAATTAAACTGACTATTGATAGCCACATAAATGAAAAAAGCTTTAGAATGAGATAATTCTTAAATTCAAAATAGACTAAACATGCTTCTGTTAATCATTGCCCTTAATGTGGTTCATGATTGGCTATGAAGAAAGTGAAGATAAACTGCACCAGGTGCAACTAATTATTAATGAATAAACTGCTGAAAGGAAAAAAGTTTCAAAATTTTGTAAATTCCCCAAATTTAAAGGAATTTGTATTTTCAAACTTGAATGATAGGTGTACAGATGCCTCCATAAGCATTGCTTCCCCGGTGCCCTAAAAACTACCTTTGGGTATTAGATAGAAACAAATACCAAAAAGGATATCAACACAAACCTTTGTTGAATTATTCCAATCAGCTCTATGAACTAAATAATTCTGAATCAGACCCTTCACACAAGTACCTTTTGAAGAGCATAAAATCTTCAGAAATAATACTTTCTTCATTGTCTCATCCTACAAAAAATTGAACTTATCTTAACACAAAAGCCATTGTCAGACATGTAGCTATTATCTTGAGGTAAAGAAAGATCATCTCAGTAGTCCCTAACATTGTTTGTTCTATGTTTATTCTGATATCATCCAAATAGTTACCTTTATTCAAGTAACGGATGGTATCCTATACTATATTATTTGTTATTTCATGTTCTGTTGCATTTGTGAAAAAAGTTTATGGGTACTTATTTCTGTTACTTCCCTTTTATATTCCTTTCAGCTCTTGTGGTTTTCTAAGCTTTTAATTAATGTTGATAATAAACTATGCAAGAAGATAAAAAAATATAGTGAGATAAACAAAAAATGAATGTTCAATTGAGCAAATTAAACTCCTTTTAAGAAGAGTGATTTGAATATTCTTCACAGAATCTTCCTTGTTTAAAGAGTAGCTTTAAATTGGAGTGGCCAAGAAATGATTCTCAGCAAAGTCAACTGCAGGTTTTCCATTTTCCTGTGTGAAGATGTTTAAATTTTATTAATGGAAGGTTTCTTTCTCTTGAATATGTTGGTTTACTTTGGTTATTTTGCAATACTCCGAGTCTAGCAAAAAACTTATTAGACAGCAATTTGCCTTTGTTTTATTTATTCTGAAAATATCTAAATGTGCCAAGTCATTTGGGGTGGAAACAAACAGTAATACTAGTAGAATCATTCTTTGCTTCTAGAATTCAGTCCAAAAGAATCAAGAAAATTCTCACATAGCAAGTCTTACTAGAAACAGAGATGTGTTTTAAATGAAAGTCTCTGGCATAAACTCATATTCAACTAGTAACTAAGTCAACTAGCTCATCAGTTTCAAAAAATGAGGTCACCTTGAGCTTCATTTGACAAAAACAGTTTTGAAATGTACTAAAGCATTTTCTGTTCTGGGCAATTTTTTTATCTTCACATTTGACAAAAATGGATGATAAAATTGGAATTTTCATGTTAAAATAAGTCTGTGGCAAAAATTTTGTGTTCTTGGGCTGTCAGGCAAAGAATTACCCCATCTTCAAAATTTAGCTTTTCCTTTTTCATTTCACTGGAATTTGTTGCTGTAGTGAAATATTTTCACTACCTACAAATTGCAGTCAAATCTTAAGAAATATCTAAATATTCAAACAGATGTAACTCGCAATCAAACAGTTCAAACGACATAAATATTCCAGTATAAGCTGACTTCAAGACTACCATTTCAAATTGATCAAGTTGATCTGTCTGGAATGGAAAATTTCTTCTTACAAAACAAAGATGAAAAATCATACTGTGAAAAGTGTTAGTTGAAAAGATTTTTGTAAGATGGAATTGTTTGTTGTTTTGGAATTTAAAAATTTAAACTTAAACATATTAACATTTTTTAAAATGTTTGCTTTTTTCGAATTTGGTTAGTCAAAAGTATTTTACTGACTTCAAATCGTTCCTTTTAGTCAATTAAAATGTGCAAAATGAAATACGCATACACATAGCAACACAGCATAGAGTATATATTTCCATTTTTTTTTACTCTGATGAAGCCCTGTATGCCAGGACGAAATATTAGGATACTCTTTAAATTTAATTTATTTTGAAAATTTATTTTGTGACATTGGATTCTCGTCGTCGTATTGCTTTGTTCCTGTATATCTTTCTTTTATATATTTTTTCACGTGGAATATATATGGAATAAAATTTGGAATATTTGGTTACTTACCTTGGGACATGAAACAGCTTTATTTTCAAAAGCATCCCAGTCCATGAATTCACTCTTTTTGCACAATGCATTTTCCACGCAAATGCTGGAATTTAAACTGTCTTTTCTATGACAGTTAGTGAAACTCGGTAAATCTCTAAGATTCCAACTCAACTTTGAAGTACAATTTTCAAACTTTTTTGAAAGTTCGTGGCAACTTTCCACCGTACCAAGTGAACGTTTTGCTCGGATTCCAAGAGTTTCTAGAAATCCAAAGGTTGTCTGAAAAACTAGGCCAAACAATAAGACATAAACTGCTGCTTCCTTCCCAACCATTTTTCCTTTCATTAGCTTCAGACCAATCAAATGATATTAACCTTTATTTTTCATTGCAAATTATTTAATAGCACCGTGTCAATTTATTATTCTTCTTCGTCAAATTATTAAATAAATAGACAATCCACTTTCCATGTTGTGCCAACCTTCTTTCTTCGGTACGATATCGTTTTCAAACAAGCCTCGTTTTAAAAGTGACAACGGAAAAAATGGTTCTTCAGTGATGACGTCACAAAATAATTTTTCGGAATTTTTGTTTCTCTATCCCATAACTTGAAAGAGAATCATGAATTACCTCTAGTCTTTTTAATTGCTTTACCGGTTAAACTGCCACTTTAGGTGCCAATTACAATTTACCGGATTGCTATCGGAGCGCAGTAACTTTCATATCGGATAGGGGTTTGAGTTACACTACGCCACACCAATCCGGTACACAACGCTCTGGTTAGCGGGAAAAAAATCACTACGCTCTGGAGGTGATACGAAAATCACTCGTAACGAAAATAGATACGAAAAACAAAGAGTTTTCTTATTTTTTTGCTTGAAACAATTGTGATTTTTGGGATTTTGTTGCTGTTGTATTTTATCTCTTCCCAAATTTCCTTGAAGTGGCCCTTGGAAGTAAAATATACTTGATCACATCAGTTAGCAACGCAATCTCGCTATCCGTCCAACAAATCTCATCACTTATCTCTCAGTTTTCAGGGTTGTTTTTGTAATTTTTTGCAGCAGTTATTGAAAAAATGCACAATTAAATATTAAATAGAAACTAAATACTTAAATGTTATCGTTATAGTCCAGAGGCTGGAGGGGGGGGGGTATTGTCACCCGAGCGGAGAAATTACCACACCAACTTTTTCTGATGTAGTTTTGGGCGTAAATTATGAATTTGAATGTTGATCAAATGTCTAAGGGGGCGTTTCCGAGAAACAGGGGTCAAACCCTTAAAAATTGGGGAGTAATTGGTCTGTCAGGCACTGATTGCTTATGGTGATTTTAATGGCAGCAAAATTTTCTAACAATTAATGCCTTGCATAACGCTTTCTTTCGTTTTTATAATATCTCTAGCTCAAAGACAATTCTGTGGGTTTTTAGATACTTTGTCAACATCGGTAACGTAAAGAAGCAAATCTACAACTTTTCCTTGAAATGCCATAGTCAGGAATATGTGAGTGCAATCATGTTGTATGAAGTATTTGATTTCATCTGAAAGCGATGTGATCATTTTATTTATCTATAGGTTTTTCATACTTCCAGCTTAGATCCTTATTGGCTTTCTATGCAGTTAATAACGATGAATACGTCGAATCCGATTAAATCGTATAAACTTTATCGCATGAAAAACTTTTTCCCAGCATCATCATATTTGCCAGTGCTAGTTCGACACAAGAAGAGCATTTTCTTTTGCAGCTCTTCCTTAGCTCCTTAGCTTCCTTAGTTGCATCTAGATTTTGCAACTGTCGGCAATAGCGCGAGCTATATCATGCATAATTCTGCTTATTCCTTGTGAAGAAAAATGGAAGCGATTTATTCTAACATTGCACGGCTTACACCCAAGTAATTCAAGAAAAGGTTAAGAACAACCCAGCTGCAAATCTTCGAAAAAACTCAAGAACAACCAGCCCGAACTAAAATTTACTGACTCTTAAAAAAGAATGTAGCTGGAAGTTGGATCTTTTCGCGATACGGTGTAGGCCTAAGAAAGTGTAAAGACAAATGACGTCATAAACTGATTTTCATTGATAGAGAAAATGATGAAGAATAGCATTTTTAGCCCCTTTTTTCTGTCTTTACAGGAAAATAGCATAATGCATTTGGAGACCTTTTAAAACTAGCAGATTCATTGAAAATACATTCAAGCCGCATTTGCCTTGAAAAATGTTTGAAAAATGCAAATTTTGTAGGTTTTTCTTCAGACAAGATGAAATATGAAGAGTTCATAGCTATAATATTATGTTATATTATGTTTTAACTGATATCAAAATCACTACAAGCAATCAGAGCCTGACTGACCAATTACCCCCAATTTTTGGGCTTTATCAAGTTATGTACTTTGGCATGCTGAGAAAACGTAACATAACAACTTAGCTAAAATGCAATCTGTTCTTACATCGAAAAATTCCAGGCGCTCCATTAAAGAAATTTTGAAAATATCTTATATTCCTTGTGGTGTACCAGTAAATTCAAAGTTCGTACCAAACAAGATCGCTCTTATGAGTTCTAGACAGATTCAAGTAGTGATTAAAACAACATCTCTATTACCATGTTTCTACTATAATTATGCATATTGGAACAATTTGTGAACAATAATGCGGCACAAACAGCAGACTAAATGGAACGTTCTTTTAACTTGAATGTTATTAAAAAGCCTCGGACGCAACGAAAAGGATAACCTTTTAGATAGCTCTTTTCTGGGCTTGGTAGCTTTTTCTTGGTGGTCATAATGTGGCTTTCACGGTACCGATATTAATAGTTTTATTCCACAATACACCAGCTAGACGCCTAACTTAGGCCTATAGCAGAAAAGAAGCAATAATAGGCAACAATCTTAGCGGTCGTTTCAAGTTTCATGCTACAATCATAGTCTCGTCAAATCTTCCATCTCCTCGCTATATAGACGTCAACACAGGCATAAGTCAATATCTGTGAAATATGAACGGCAAGTTCACTGCAAAAATGCAGCATTTACAGGCCAAAGCTACTTTAAATACTCATCTTTCTATAGAACGATGAATCTGCAAACCAACTTGATAAACAATCTCGATTTTGCTTTATATTAGTAAATTTCTCCTACAAACTGGCCTAATCCGGCCGACTTTCCCGCTACTCTTTCATGTAAGTGTTAAATGTATGAAGATGAGAATAAGTTTGAAAGTAATGTATGAATGTTTTTAATTTCGTGGTCTTGAATTCATACGGCTTCTGTTCTGTGCAGTGCGTCCAGCTTGTATTCTGCAAAAAGATTTCAAATTCGTGCATAAAAGGCGGACCGAAACAAATTTGGAAAAAGAGTAACTAACTAGTGACGATAAACATATAATCTCCTGACAAAGTGTTTTTAGAATAAACAAAAATAACATTATCTAGAAGCTAAAATCAGCAATCAGTAATTATTATTAGAGATTATTATAAACGAATAAAGACGATGTTGCAAAATAAAGATATTAGCATTTTTGAGTCGAAAATTTTGACAGCAATTGGGAAAGCTGAATAAGAGAACTGTAAGACAGACAGATATTTGTTGAGAAGTATAAATGCAGAAACCGAAAGGGTAGAGAGAATACCTTGCATTGATAAGAAAATTAGCACAACTGACAGCTTCAGGCGCTCCAGAAAGCGTTACAGTGCTTCGGCGTCCTTTTGCTTCCTCAATGTGAATATTGGCGCCAGAAAATCGCCTAGCGGGAAGAAATTATGATGAAATATGTCCAGGAATTAAAAATCCATTGGTTTATGCGCTAAATTAGATCAAGACTCATCTAAACATCTAAACTAGATCAAGACTTCAAGGCACGTCTTGTACCCAAACGGTTTTAATAACAACACTCGGCTTCAACGTAATTCCCTGTGTATAATTCTAGCTGGTTTCTTTATTCTTTGTTTGTTTACTGCTTTGATTTCTTGTAAATTCAAAATAGCATAAACTTTTCTTTAACATTTTCTGATACTTGTGTATTTTGATTTCTAAGTGTTTCTCTGTGTACCTGTAACTTAATGTACGTATGTAGTGAAATTTAAAATGAGTACTGAACTGAGAAGAATGAAACTTTATTGCCATCTTCTTTTTGATTCAAGTATTTTTTTATATCAATTGTTTCTGGATACAAGCTCGCATAAAGATCAACCAACTTCCAAAATCGTTCAAAGGAATATAAAAAATTTTGACACACAAACTGCGTTTTGATTGAAAAACTATTTTCCAACAAGACCAAACACAATATTAAGGTGGGTACAGTAAACTATTTATCAACAAAATTATTGCTGTACAAAAGCCATTCGACCTTAAAAGGCATTTGTACGAAATTGTTGTCATTTTCTTATTTAGGTACCAAAAACTCTAGAATTTTTCTCCAAGGGGGAGGGTAGGGGGCTTATAAATCCGGGCCACTTCTAAATATGGAGCCTATTTAAAATGGGAGGAATTCAACTTTCCCATTCAAATTGCTCGTTTTTTCAATGCATGTTTACTTTAGGAACCAGGTATGCTTATGAATCCAGGAAGGCTGTCACCAAAAAACACTGTCCAAAACAAGAAGGTTACACGTACCTTACTTCATTGATGTGGCAGCCCCCCTTGCCAATAACAGACCCGATGACCTGCAAGATTCATAGTAAACATCAGTTAGAGCAAGGCATTACTCCGACACTTTTTAAATTTTAGCAAATAACATAAGGAATCAATGTTGCTAGTTACTTTTCTGATTCAACGTTCTTATCAAAGGCAAAGTTTACGTGATCCTTCCAAAATATTCAGTAACGAGATAATCAGCTCCAAACTTTAGAAATTCCCCCCAAAGAAACAAGCTTGATCAATTAGGCATATCTCTAGTAACGACAGAATGACAGTTCTACGCCCATGACTAGGAAAAAGCTGTCACATCTAAACACAACATGATGTGAACATGATATAGAGGATTACATACGGTAATTCCTCGAATAAGCCCCCGGGGCTTTATTTCGCAAAAAATATTTCCAGGTGGAGGCTCACTCAAGGGAACTATATATTAAGCATATTTAGCAGCAGCCTAAAATAATACCAGGGTAAATTTGTTTGTACTCTTTAAAATTAAAGCTATGTCCGAAATATACTCTCGTCAACAAACGACTCGAAACATAAGAATTTGGATATAAAATAGGACATGAAAAATGTAATATAGTTATATTTGTGAATTTATTAATGACTAAAGTGATAACTTTGACAAGGTAGAAAAATAACGATACATGAAGTTTTTCTTTAAATCGATTAATTCTTCAGGTGATTATTTGAAGGTGGGGCTTATACGAGGACGTTCGGTGGTCAATAAGCAACTGACAATTACTCTCTTACTCCGAATACTTACGCTGCTTGGGAGAGTTATCTTCTGCTGGGTGCGTCTCGAAAGGCCTAAAATATGATATTAATGTATCACAGTATATTATATATCGAATGATTCAAGAAAAGATAAAATATATTGTCGTGCATTCTTCAGTTCAATTTCCTACCTAAATAGAGGCGTCTTTCAGCTGTTCACGATAAAGGATAATCTTACATTTATAAGGTAGATACTGGAGAATTATTCCACTCAACACTTCGCTTTCACTTCGTTGCTGTCTATCATCAATATAATGACTCGAGCGAGGACAACAGCACGTCTTTAGATAGAACAACAAAACTCAAAGATTGAACTAACATTTCGACGCAGAGTTAATGTAGAGTGAAATTTTAAGACATAGAGCATAGTTAAAAGATAGAATAAACTGAAAATTAACTTAGGTGAAGATTAAATGTAGTCCCACGTGTTACCTGTACATTACACAACGCATGGAGTTAGGAATAGCAAGTCCAAATTGTCCTACTCTACTAACGAACTTTAAATAAGATAAATACACATGCACATACGAGCGAAAAGATACAAATATGTAGCTTTGGTTATAAGCTGAAAATGGTCGAAAGACAATCAAATAGTTGTGCTTTCTGTAAAAAGTGATTGATGTACAATCACCAATAATGTATTCAAAATTGCCAAAATTCTTCAGTTATATGTAGTCATTTGCCAATAAGGCAATTCTTGGAAATTAGCAAATATAAGTTGAATAACCGTACCAGTAAACGACAGCTGGTTAGTCATCAGTGACAGCTAGAAAAAAATAAAAAAAATATAAACACATTCAGTCCCGTTCCTATCTCTACAAATATCAATTAAAGTAATGAAAGGTTATTAAGGTTATTTGAGGTTATTGACTCTTTTATATATTACCAAAAACACAACATATTACCAAAAAACACAAAATAAGCAGTCAACAGTAACATATAAATAGATGAAATTGCTTTTCAAAATGTGCCATCCTGAAGAATCAACACAATGTTGTCGATAAGGACCTGTGGTGTAAAATCACAGTAAAACAAAAAATGAAAGATATTGAAAATCTTTACTGAACAGAATGGCGATTAAAAATATGCTATTGTGCGTTTGACAACAGGTTATGCTATTATACTTTTAACACCTCATCCATTATATACCAACAGACAGAAGTCTTTCAAGAAACTAGATATGTAGTACCATTCACAGGAATAATTGCGTGCACTCGCAATTGTTAATGATACGATTGGTTTTGATAATAGAAAGTTCTATATTATAAAGGTAAAAAGGCTAAAAATGATACTAAAGAATATCACTGCATACTCATTACGACCTAACCAATTGCAAAATTATATATTATATATTTGCAAAATTGCAAAATTATAAACACATGCTATAAAAAACACTTACAACTTGAGGGCTGGCCCCACCAAAGCCTCCCATGGAAGGAACAAATTTGATGTTGTTGTTTCTGGGTGGAAACTGGAAAAAATTTACAAAAACGATGAGACAAATAAGTAATGCAAAAAATGAACAGGACATCGTCATTATAGCAAACATTATAGCGTCATCATTGATCGACTGGAGAATTCTGGTTTCACCGTCGGTATAGGGGATTAAGGATAGCGAAGAAGCGCATAAGGTTTTAATTTTGGACGTGCTATTAAGTTGAATGGCTAAAATTTTCGTTCTTTTTTTCTTTTCATCAGTAAATAAATCATGGTCATTGATCTGAGAAAGAGTTTCCACTTGGCACATGAAGCAAAATATTCTTAAAAGCCAACAAACACTAACACCAATAGATCAAACAAAGAAATAAATATATAAATAACAGTTTTTAAATAAATCTAATAGAATAGCTTGAAGTTATATACATGCTAAGACCACTAAATATCTGAGACAATTAATTTATAAAAATCACTCTGTATTAGCTTATACTTTGCGACATTCACCAGCCATACCTCAACAAATATATCACAGATCTTTTCCATGCAGATTCCTAAAGCTTCAGGGCTACCTGAGAAAATGGAAAAGGATAGCACACGTATATATAAGAATAAATTATTATGAAACAAAATTTAAAGCAAAAATGATCTGTTCATCTAATTTTTACCTTACCAGGTTGGCAAGTCGACTAGATATATTAAATAGTTTTTCTCAGGGAGAAATAAAACGTGAGGTAAACTGCAACTGAACCAAACAGGCAAGGTAAGAGGTATAGCAGACAATCGAGCTAAACAAAATATTTGTAGGATTAATAGATTTATTATGTCTTAATAATAAGACACCAACAAAAAAATTCAGTTTTGTCAAGTTTGGGGCACCCTATAACGTTCTTTGGATACGTAATTCAGACCCATTTTGAGAGTATTTTTTAAATACGTCAGAGATTTTCTTGGATGAGGTAAAGATAGAATTATGCAGATTAAAAGCCTAATAGAACATGTACTCTATGATGAACGTATAAAAAACTTCTCATCCACAAGATATGGGCAGATTCACAAGGGAGAAGTTCATTTAAATTTAAAACAGTCGAGAGAGAGAGAGAGATAAATATGCTAGGCAGCACTGTGAAGTGTACTATGCTCAATTCGATTTGTTTTTCTCTTCTGCGACATAAACGGCTCTTTTGAGAGGTGCAAACTTATCCCGTGTTCCTTTCAAGATTTATCGCCCATTGTGACAAAAAACCAAGGACAAGAGCGCGGTTTAAAATCTTTCCATTAGGGTATCAGAAACTTCTAGGTCAACTAATAACACGTAATTCCCCATTGTGGCATAAAGAAATTGGAGATCGTTCACCTTTTCATAAACTGTATATGAGTGATGTCAACAAAGTATTACCTGATAGGGTAACTGCTCTTTCAGAACAACCAGGAAGGTTTTCAGACGGGATCTAGGTAAAACAAATATGAAATATCGCGTTAATATCATTTGATTGAAAACAAAGTTCATAAAAAGAGTTACCCCATAAAATGATAATAGGAATTCAAGAAACATATTTCGAATTTCATGTACCTTAAAAAATAAACCCACACAAATTAAAAACAGTCGAAATTTTAATATAAAGTTTTATAACTGATAACGGAAATTGGAGCCTTCACTGATCATTTTTGGACTCGAAGATCAAAAGGTCCGCATAGTTAATTGGATTTGATGTGGTTCCATTGGATCAGAAGTACTTAGTGAATTTACTTGAATGCATTTTACAGAGGAGTAATTTTCTGTATTCAATCTGTTATGGCCTTCTAAACTTCCAAAGAGAGTCTGGAAAATCATATTTTCCATTTGAAACAAAACAGAGCTTTTAATATGAATAAAGGCTGATTGGCAGCTTGCTACATAACAAAAGCAGTTATGAAATTATGAAAAAAGCAAAAACAACAACATTCAGTTAAACTTTAATTTAAAGGAAGCAATTGAAAAAATGACGGTGAAATTCAACGTTTTAAAATTCCAATAGTTTTAACTATTCTGCAATTGCAAAAATTTCATACAAAATTTTATGATTTTATTCTTAAATTCTTTAATAAACTTTCTCGTTTTGTTTCATAAAATCGACTAGATGTAAAGTACACTGAGGGCTTCGTCAAGTTTTACTCGATCCCTGCAAAGGTGAAGATTTGGCTAGTTTAAGATTTGCTGCCACTACCCGAAAAAAAGGTCCAAGCTGTGAAATTCACAATACTCACAGTGATGGTTGCTCCTGAAGCCTAAAATAGGAAACAGGATGGGATAAAGTAAGGAAAAACTGGTAGTGTCAAATACAGATTAAATTATACAAAAAACTGAAACAGTCAATTAAGCAAATTTTGCCTGATAACACATTGTTTTTGAAGAAAAATTTGATTTCAAATTAATATAAAATCGAGGCTTAATGACCTATTGAATGACGGGTTTCTTTCTATATATGTTTTCCCCGGCACTCCACTTATACAATAAATAAGATATATCCTTTTACATCATGTTCCTAAGCCAATTTCCGACGCAAAATGCCACAAGCCAAACATAAACGAAATCTTTAAATTGCAGGTCTAAGAGGCAAAAATCTTTGCATCTAAAATTAATTAAAAAAGAACTTTGCTTCTCTGAGTTTACAATGAAAAATCAGTTTGAATTCCACAAATAACTGGCATACAAAATTAAGGAAAAATAAAGCATGGAGACATTGTGGGGATTTTGTTGTCAACATCTTGGGTGTTTTTAAGAATGATATTTGTCGTAAAACAAGCAAATATCAACCATTATCATTCTTAGCAATAGCTTTTGGATACTGCCTACACAAATTGCTTCAAACGGTCAAAATATCGATAAAATTGTTGTGTGAAAAACGGAGAACGAGAAGAGAGCTTCAAATCAAAGCCTTCTTCTGGGATAAGGAACATGACCACAATAAGGGCCAGACACACAATTACCAGCTGACTCTTATGCAACTAGAAGCATGATTCTCATGAGGCCAGAAACACGATTCCCACGAGCCAGAAGCACAATTCTCGTGAGAACAGAAATATAGATCGGGCGTTGAGTTGAATCAGAATGACAACTTTCTGAGGTCAAATTTTTCTCGTCTGCACAAACCATACCTCTCTAATCTCCTTAATTCGAGATCCTCCTTTGCCGATAAGTGGTCCACATTGGCTGTTTGGTGCCAAAAGTCTTATAGTGACAGGGGGCACATGATCCGACTGCTGTCCATATGAAGATGGTCCAGTTATCTGAAACAAATTGCCAATAAAAGATACATGCTTCAGTTTACTCACGCAAGTTTACCCACATTAGCACAATTTCAAATTGTATCAGTAATGTCAATAAGAACTTGAAATCATGGTATGATTCACTGTTGAACAAATTACTAGACCTGGGTCAACATTAAGAAAAATGTCAAATCAGTTTCAAATAGGCTGGTTATCCAACTTAGCGTTGTCAATAATGGAATAACATAATCAAATCACTTACAAACGTAATATCTACAAATATGTTAGCCTTTCTGTTTTAATTAAAAATAATACAACAGGAATTTTACATATATGTTAACTGCTCTTTGTATTAAAGGAACAAATTGAAAAATAAAACTGTTTTGATCGCCTAGCCTATGTGACTTGTAAAACCTTATGGCATAAAGTTGTTACTATCAAATTGTTACAGGGCCGTCGGGGGGGGGGAGGGGGTGAGCTTTTAAACAGTACTATATTTCCTTTTTGACAGTGTACTAAACGGGGAGCAATACAATGGCACCCCTCCCCCAATAATATTAATTCCGCTGCGATGGCACTGTCCTATAAATGGATAGATCTGTTTTTTCATGATTTTATCTTTAAAACAAAAATACGAGATAATCAGAATAAATGAGTTACCTCCTCCAATCTCTCGGCAATAAGACATACGGCTGTAGATATTTCATCCACTGATCCAGTAACATTAAGAACTCTGAAAAACGATGAATTTGCAAAATTCAGTGGAATTAGGAATTTTGAAGAAAATGTAGAAGGTGAATCTCATAACATTATTGTATTAGCTTAATGGATTTATCAATTAGCTAAATAAATATCTTATTTCTTCGAATAGAAAACTCTTCTCTCTTCCTCCTCACGACCGTTGGAAAACACCCCTTCGTTTAAAAAGGGTATAATTCAAAAATAAAGGGAAAAGAAAGAATACACTTAGATAGCCTATTTCATTGAGCTTTTTCTGTAAACTGTGTAAGCAGGAAATGTCGCATACAATTCATTTTCTTGAATTTCAATGCAGCTGTAGGAAACGATATTTTTTATACAAAAACATTTTTTCTCCGTACAATTCCTGCCGTCAGTTTAAAAAAAACGTCCCTCTCTTTTAAAAACTCCTTTGAATGAACGCCTCAACAAAGGCATAAAATATTTTAAATATGTCCCGGTGTTTTCTTAGGTAATTCAGTATTTATGTTAACAATAATTACTTTAACCATTTTAAAGACGATTTATAAAAAGGCCAGGAAATATTAATCTGCAATATTAACTTTTAACCTTGTTCTCACTAAATTTGATGATTCAAAATTTGAAAAAATTTAACTTCAATTAAGGAGGCACTAACGCAAAAATAGTAACAATTCAGAAATTTTGCGAATGCATGGAGGTCGGTCTATGTAGAGATTATGTACTTTTGTGGGAACAAAAAACGACGGCCACCGATTGAACCAGCCGGGACAACAAGCCCCGACCAAGAACTGCCAAATTACGTCAAATCCTTTGTTTCCGCGCAGCAGACCAGAAAAGAAGTGGGATATCAAAAATGTTTATCCCAATTTTCAAAGTTTCGAAACTCTACTTCTACAGCGAGTACAGAAAAACGAAAGATATTTTCGAGTACCAAAAGCCCTCAACCTTATGACTATAAATTATCGTTGAAATCTTCGTTTGTAGAAATTTGCGTCAGTGCCTCTTAAAAAGTTTGATTGATTGGAAACCTAAGATTATTTCAAATGCAAAAAGAGGGAATCCAGATCCAAATTTAGGAAAACGCAATGAAGATGACAATAATTTACCTTTCAATTCCAGCTGTTCCTGTGATGTTTACTTGGGCGTTGCTCTAAAGGAACATTTGATTCTTATTAAAAAAGATGGGGACATGACAATTCTAAAACTACCCGCTTATTGATTTTGAGATACTTTACTTTTTTGTAAAATCTTAGTAATCCAACAGCGGCAAACAATAGTTTGGATTTCAAGTAGTGGAGTTTTGTAGATTTTTAGAAATTTTGGGATATGTTACAAAGAGTTGTTTTGAAGTATATTTAAATCATTTCATAAAAAGCAATGTTGGGCCTTGTCCACGATTTCCCAGCTGGTAGAGGCCATGGTAATGTAATATTTTCCTAGGACATTGTGCCCCGTACATCTATGTCCCTTTCACCCCCAAACAAACTGAAGTATCTGCCACTGAAAGTAAGATATCGATTTGTAAATGAAAAACAAACAGTTTGTTTTTTTGAAGCAGTCTTTATACAAGCACAAAATCAGTATTCAGAAAGTTAATTGTTAAAAGTTAAGAGTTTCTTGATACCTGAAAATATAAAACAGTCCTTCATTAGCATACATTCTATCACATGAACACAGAACTGATTTTTCTCAAATAGTTCACCTTTTCCAATAATTCAGAAGGATGCCTTTTGAAGTTTTGACAAGAGCATATCCTAATAAATACCTTAATAATCTCGAAATATTATTAGGTAAGGATGTCAAAAATAAAAAAAAACACAAAGCTGGCAAATATACCTTCTCTATGATTCGTTTGATATTTGCACCTTCCTAAGATGTAAATAAAAAAATTAGCACATGCATATAGTCCCAATTATGAAATCTTAAATCAAACCGAAAATAAATTCAAAGACTTTTTTCTGAACCCATTGAAATTTTAAATTTTAAAACAAAGAAGTAGCATATAAACCACACAATAACTAAAAGGACCATGTCAGCCATTGACACATTTGTTGACCAAAATCTCTTATACTTTTGTCATTAGGGCATTAAGAGGGCTATTGCAATTCAGAAATACAGTTCTCATAAGATGATACATTGTGACTTGGGGTGAAGAAAATTATTAACCAGTTGAAGTTTAATATGATCCATTTTACCTTTCCAATTATTCCGCCAGCATCCTGTAATATAACAAAATAAATTCATTACAATAAAATCAATCCAGGCAAAAGTTATGATAGAAGGAACTATACTTAGGATAACAATCATTTCTGAAACAGCGTTTGATCTTGTAAGCATAAATTTCACTTTACAAAAAAAGAATGAAAATAAAGGCAAAGTTAAGGCTTTTGGGTTGGCTCAGATATCACAGCACTGAATTTTGTAACCAGTCCATGGAAAACCTTGCTTTGAGTAGTTCCTAAGCTGCTCTGTCAAAAGATTATTCCCTTGGCAAATTCAATTTAGCTTTTGCTTCCAATTACATTGACATTTTCTTCAATGCAGTCAATTGTTGCAGGGTTTAGTTATCTGGGAATGTGCATATGGGAGCTACAAAATTGCAGTTTACCACAAAGTTAGAAATTGCTGTCTTCTTTGATAATGAAAAATGCCCTTAATTTGAATAAATACCTGACTCAGTATCAAGAATCTGACAGTCAATTTTGAATCCACTTTTGCTTCTGCCATTTTCAAGTCTAAAAGAGATCAATAATTCATCACTTAAACTACTAAAAATCCATTTGTGATTTCATGGGTAAAGGTAAAAAATGATATTGTAATTTATGTGCATCAGCATGTATGGATTGATCTGGTGCCAGCTGTTGCCTCCCAGAGGGAACAGTGCTATTGAAACTGCAAATCTGGTGCTTAAATACTGGACATTTACAGGGATTTTATGGCCCATGAGAAACATTGAAAAGGTACTGTGTATTGTAAAAGTAGCTTTAATGATTATGTGTACATGATTATTCCTCAATCTAGCTAAGATAAGCAACCATCAAAAGTAACTCAAGATAGTTCCTGAATCATCTATTTTCCCAAAAATTTAGCTCTGTCAATATCAATGGTTGTTCTCTAGAAAAATATGTAGATGAAATGTCAAGACTAATCAACTGCTAGACATGCAATTTTGGTTAAATTTGAAAATTAAGACTTTCTTTTACCTAAAAATTAAATAAAATGATAAATAGTCATTTATGCGATTAGTAAAATATTTTGGCATTGCAAAATAGTTGTTGAATAAGATGAACACTTTTTCAACAAACAAACCCAACAATTTTTAAAATAGGAAACTCGTAAACAAAAAAGGGTTTCTTCACAAGCCATTATAACAGCTACTTTCAATTTTGAAACAAGATTTTACTAATTTGCAACACTTATAAATTATAGATTGATGACAGGTGATCAGAGAAAGGGGCCTTCTTCCAGCTAACATCATTTTAGAATGATAAGCTACCTTTTGGATAAATCACAGGGAAGCCTTTAGGCAATTAGCATTACAAAGAAAGGACAGTAGGAAATTAAAGAGATGTGGCTGGGTCAGAAAAGCCACAAAGAAAGAAACCTCAGACTTCTTAACAATAACAAGCAACGATTGAGAAATAGCATTTATATTGAAATACCATGTTTTGCCCTGGCAATGAAAGATTCGAACATCCATTTAAATAAGTTAATGTATTTTCTATAGGATACAAACGCTTTGAGGATGTTTCCAACAAATTTTGACACTGATCTCACCCATCAGAGCAAACTCCTCTCACAAACCAATTACCAAACCGCTGAGTACCAACATTTAAAAAATATTTCAAAAGATAAAAGCAGATGGACTTATCAAACAATAAACGAATATGGCTAGGAAGGGCAAGAGGCAGCAAAGTTAATGAAGAAATCCAATGAAAACTGGTGTGATTGCCACACCCACCCTATGTAATCTCTAGGTGCACTTAGACACAACTTACAATAACTGGCCAATCAAAATGAAAATTTGCAAATACATAGATATCAAACATCAGTTTGTGTTAAGAAATTATCAAAGTTTGTTTTAACACTGCTATTATACCAGTCTTTTAGTGTACTATCTGGTTCTTACAAAAATGATGTTATGTTAGCAACAGAAACACTTTTTATTACCATCATCAGCTCTATTAAATATGATTTGTATTACCAGAAAACTGCTCAAGGTATCCTTAGCATGGAAGAAAAAAGAGCATATACTTAATTGCAACAAATTGTTGTAATTCAAGACTTGTTTTGAGGTAGAAAAAAATCTGAGTAATTCAGAAAAATTACCATAACTTATTCTTTCTAATTTTTTTATTCAAAATTATGAAATTTCTCAATTTATTAAGTTAAGTCAATTTAAAAAGGATGTTATTTGCTATGTTAGGATATTGATTTGTTAGCATTGCCCATTATCTTGAGAATGATATCCGTATAGACATAATAATTATGGCCCAAATTGATTATAAAAAACAAAAGAAATCTGGTTTCTCCAAGGTAGATGAAAAGTTGAAGAAATGCGTTAAAGGTCGGGTTTGCAATAAGAATTTTTGGAAGCTTCTTTCATTTAGATGCAATGAATATAATCTGAGGGAAAACGTTGATAGACAAATTTTTGGATGGGGTAAATAAATCAAATCACTGCACGTACGTAAACTTAAACGTATAAAAATAATGCGTTATCAAAAAAAGACTTCCCATTATAAAACTACAAGTGAAATTCGCACAAAGATTGCAAACTTATTTAAAGGAGCGGGGGAGTTAGAAAATGAGGGCTATGTTAACAGAACTGAAAATTACAGGGAGGATCTTTTTCAAAAGCAATGAGACAAGATACGAAAGTTGAAAGGTATAAAACAGGGTAAATCGTTTGCTTTTTATAATCCATACCCCATAAAAGTTTGTGGTTGTTCGAACGATTTCGACTGTCAAAACAGGACTTGATAAGAATGCTTTAATGAAAGGAGATAAAAAGTACACGTGGAAAATCTGAAGATGGCTTGGCAGGTAACAACAAGTTACACGTAAATCAAGGCCTACCTCAGTACAAGATTTGTAAAGCGAACACTCGTTATCTAAACCTACACCGCAAAAACAACAAAAAACCTACAATTTGTTATTTTGATACTTACGCTTCTGGATAGGATGTTGGTTTCTGGGAATGTGTGGTCCAGGTGAAAAGAAGTCGGTTAGAAAAGGTGGAGGTAAGGTGAGAGATCGTGGATCCGACTGAAGTTTGTACAACCAACTCGTTGGTGATCGTAAAATCGAGATCGCAGGAAATCATTGATCGCGAAAACAAAACATTGCCTATTGTTCTCAGGCGCAAGTCAATGTGCGCAGGTCTTCCATACAAAGTATATTAAAAAAAGACACGTGATTAAATCTCCTTCACAGCCCGACGAGCATTGGATAGGTTTCAGTGCTTGCATATCGCCGTGTTGTACGGAAATTTCATTAAAGGTGAGAATTTTAACCCTTATACCCTAAAGAACAAGCACAGCTCTGTTACTAGCTTTCAGAAGGTTTGAAAACTCCTATTCTTTCTTTTTTATCAAATTATATTAGTAGGATACTGCAGGCATATAATATCAAATGATATTTGTACTAAGAAACTGTTTTATATGAACAATATCTGTATACTGCGTGTACTTCATACATGATGAAATCAGTTAACATAAGAGTTTTCCCTACAAAAATACAACACAATAGTGAAAAATTGCTAGTCTACTTGCATAACAAAGCAAAAAACAAACGACCTGCACTCATTGCTAAGAAACAACCTGTGGAATCAAAAACTTTTCACCTTCAAGATTGTCTGGTGGCGCATTGACACGTGGTTAAAGTTCTGTGAGAGAACACGTATTCTTTCTCAAAACCTGGTAATATAGCGTTCGGTTTCTATCTAAACAAATGTTTCTTACGTTTCTTGACGATGTCTAGATCTTCAGATTTTTGCCTCTCCGACATCTCTTCTGGTTGCTCGTCCATGTTCAATTGTCCCTCTTCATCTTCCTTGACCTGACGCATTTCAAGATTGTCTGTGGCCTTAAAGTATTCCTGAAAGCCCGTGCTCAACAGCATTTTCAAAGCCTTTATTCACCGCGTGTGCTGGTTTCTCTACGCTACAGGTATTTGCTCGCATCTGGTATGCCTGCAGTTTACTTATAGCAAGGGCCTGGACATGAACTTCGATGCACACTTGATTTTTTCCTTGGGGAACATGCTTTTCTCTGCAGATTTCTCCAAAAAGAAAGAAAAAGATTTACACTAAACAACGCATGCATATTCTAGAAAATGTTATCTCTTCCTTTAGAATCCATTTCAAAGATACAAAGATGCTGCTGAAATTCTTTCCAAATAAAAGTACGTTTGATTGAAAAACAGTCTATTGGGAGTTTCAGTCAAAGGAAAATGATTGACACCAGAAAGCTTTGATAGGGAGGAAATCAGAAGCACTTCAGTATTAGATGGGGCACAGGTAGAAAAAGACGTAACAGGGGTGCATCAAGCCAAAATACCAACAAATACTGACTGTGATTGTGAGCATTAAGCCATACCCTTTTTGACCACACCCTCAATTGTATCAGGAAGAAAAAGCAGTCATTGGCCTGTTCTATTTTTTCATTAAGTGTTTTTACCATAGGTAGTATATGCAGTTAAGTTTCATTCAGAAACAAAAAAAGTTCAGTTTTGTTATTACAGAAAGCAATTGGACATCTTGTCGCGGGCAGTGTATTGCATGATTCGATTCAGAAACATTTTCTAGTAATATAAAGAAACATAATTTTTCTTCTGCCATGAGTTGCGTAAAAAGGATTTAGTGCAATTTTTGCATAGATTTATGACAATTCAATAAGTAATTTAAAGTACAGGTGCATGCCTTTAAAACTAAATACAGAAAATTCTTCAAAGTATAAACTGTACAACATGTTTAACGATTGTGTCCACCACTTAAGCAATAATTGTTGCAGTCTGGATCCACCCCTGCTCATTTTTGTCGGTTAGCCCGAAATGTCTAAAGAGGGAAACGAAGAAACAATGGGCAATTCCTTGAAAGGTCGGAAAGCTTGCCACGTATCCCTGGTGCTTTCAACTTTAAGTTAGCTGGTTGATAGAGTTACTCATGGCAACAGGCTTTCAATTTTACACTTTTAACAAACATTCACGAAACTTTTCTTAGTACTTTCATAAGGGCACCATTCTTTCTGTTTGATTTGCTATTTAAGCCAACTTCTTTTATCCTTCCTCACCTGCGGGTTACATGGAATTTTCTTTTACAGTATCAGTTACTGCGGGTTACAGTATCTTTTAACTAACGCCAACTTTTTAAAGTATAGTATAATTACTTGCTTTCCTTTCACCCCTCTCCCGGCTATATAAGATGTGTCGTTCTTTACTGCATTGGATCGAGGCAAAAACCCCCGCTTATAAAATGCAAGCAACTGAAGGCTTTGATTCAAAGTGACAGACATGCCTGTTTATCAGCCAAACATCGTTCCTGCTTTCCTTGAACTGTATATAAAACAGGGGTCGCATGATAATGGTAACGAATCTTAAAATTGTTATCCAGGTCGTTTGGTAGTTGAGGAACAAATCATGTTCACGAGCTCTATGCAAAACAGATTATTTTGGATCTGCATGATTAAATAATTGATTTCCAGACTTTGCTAACTATGGTCAGTCTCTTTATGAAACGATTGAAGAATTCAGACACAAAATATTTGCTCCGTTTTTAAACTAATCATTCTTTGGGTAATCACTTTGACCTGACTATGTGCTGGGTTCTTTTGTCCCAAGTCAGAAGGACCATCGACCATTGGCTGACTTCAAAAGAAACCAATACATTGCTCATCAGTTTGTCAGCGTTGGGCTCTCCAGCTAAACTTCAACTTGTGCAAGCAAAGCCTAACCCTATTTACGATTATATTTCCCTTTAATGACTTTATGTCCTATTCTCAACGACATAAATCCAGCGTTTTCTCCCATAGGGGACTGGGCTCGAGAACAGCTTTAACGGATAACTTGATTGTTTCCGCTACATAACTGAACAATTTACTATAGGAGATGAATCATACTAAACCCAGAAAGATAGTGTTTCTCAGCCCTCAATAATCATTCTAGAAACTCTGTTTACCTATTATTTTCGAAGTGGCACTCTCCCGGTTTTGGGCCCCTGCAGTATAAAAAATATATTTATCAATTCCAGTTGGAGGATCTCTAAGGCCGTGTTGAAGAATGCCAATTCAAGATACCTTCACCTCTACTTCACTGTCATATTTTGGAAACCAAACCAGATTTCATTTCTTTGAAAAATTAACAAAAGATGAGATCTAATCAATTTTTGTTTCTGTCCCTCTTTTCATCCCATTGAGCGATTTCTAGTCCCAATTTTAACCGAGCCCTACCCTTTTCGGCTAAAAGGCCGCAAATCTAAATCAGAATGAAGAAGATCAAATGGTATGAGAGTATATCTAGTATAGGAGATGAAGCATATAAATTCATCAAAAAGTGATATAAATAAGTGCAATCTATGGTTTTCAAAGATTCCAATGACATAATTTTGTCTATACAAAAATGTTATGCACCATTTTGTCTCAAAAGTTTACATTTGTCTCAAATATACCAAAATACTATTTTAACATATCAATTGGCAGGGGTGCATTAAAACACCATAACGTTTTCTTCAGAAATTTTTGCATAAATCAAGATATATACAGATCTAATAAAGTGAAATCATGAGTGTAAGAAAGGATGTGAATTCTTTGTAGAACACATAAACTTCATCTTCCACTTTTGCATATTTTAGGAGGAGAAAAGGTCATTGAAAATCGTTGATTAAACAATTTGACATAATTTTGAGCTTTTGATTGTGTTGCTTCTGTGAAAAAGTCAGTTTAATTTGAATTCAGAAAATTGCGTTTTTCAGATTATATTTTTGTCAGTAGTTCCATTGTTAAATTCTGTTTCTATAGGAATCTATTGATAGTTTATTGCTGCGATTTAGAAAGAACGAATAATTTTGTTATGCATTTGCTGGATTATTTTAGACAGTCTCTTATTCAACATTGGGCACAAGGAGGTGCATGCGTACTCAAAGTGAGGTTGGCAAATGGATTGAAAACCCTCCTGGAAAGGAAACTATTCAAAAAAACTAGATTTGTTTTCAATACAGAAATGTTTGCTTTGCGACTGGTTCCAATATCAAGCTCCGTTTGATTCTTTGATAACGATAGATAATTGGAATAAATAATAAAGGCAGTTCTCATTTGACATCAAGGGCTTAACACTTTCGTAAGCTTAGTTTTTCTATTTTCTAATGTTTTAAAAATGCCATTCCACAGAAATTATTTGTCAATGTTTCAACTAAGTCATAGACAATTTTTAATTCAGCTATCATTTATGTGTGGCATGGTACATTTATCAATTTAACAGACTTCAGAGCTACAAAGCTCTTGCATAAAAACAGAATTTTCTTTTCTCGAGAGCGCTGAGTGACTGCTTTGTCAAAAAGAGAGCTTGCGCTGGGATTTTGCTTTTTAAGACAATGCCAATTTTAACCTGACAACAGAGATCGCTATGATGGAAATGAAATGTTTTTTATGAAATTTTATAATACCATTTAGCATTTTGCTTGCATAATTTTTATATTTTATGACATTTTTTGCATTTGCAATGTCATTGACTCTATTCATATTTATGTTGTGTCGGGAACGTGCTTCCAATTACACGTTAGGCTGTCATTTGATAACACCCTGAAGCTTCACCCACGCATCATTTTTGCTTGAATTCTGCTAGGAGACCTATTTTCTGTGATAGCAAAACAATCGAATAAACCAACTGAAACTGCCACTATTGAAACCCCGTCAAGGCTTGGTAATTAAACGTGTAAACTCAGCGGAAAAAATATGGCTTTCTATTGTGAAAATCTGTAAAAGTTTTACACTTCTAAACAGCTAGCCAGCAGATGCTTAGAAAGTGACAATTTTTGTTGTTTCCATAGATTTGCCAACATATGATTGGTGGATGGTAACAATAGAACAAAAAGCAGATGCTATTTTTTTCTTATTTTTATAGTGTGGTAACTGGGTTAGGTTGCTAAATATGCAGGAGTTTTATGAGGCTATTTATATTTCATTTGCAATGTTGGGTGTGTAACTAAATTAAATAATATGAATTAAACTTCTGTGGACGTTCATTTTCTAGCTATTGGTTTGTTGTGAGTAAACTTTGATAGAAACCCTACTTCCATTGCCATTGTGACTCGGACAGAATTTCCTATCACAAAAATTTATCATACGATTTGTGACAGGTAAATCCCCAAAGTTTTATACTTTGATTCTACAAACCAAATTGCTAAGGATTCCATTAACAATCATCTTATTTATGGTGTTCACAGCGAGCAAAGAATGGCATGTGAAATAACAAAGGATGCAATTGTACAAGGTTTCCGACAGTTTTTTGCTGTCTTGTGAATAAACCAGCAATTTTTTCTTGAAAAAAACACCTTTTTAAAATATGAGATATTTGATTATCCTGCTTAATCTGGAAAAGTTGAAATAACCTTAGAATGTCTTAAGATAGAGATGGGAAAATTAAACTTGACAAAGTATCAAACAATAACAAGTTTATCAAAAAGGACTAAAAGAGATAATAAATGTATAACTTTTCGTCTGAATAAATTTATGTTACTATAATCACTGTGGTTTTCTTATCAATGCAAAGAAAAGTTAAATATTTTTATCTAATATCCACTTTTGGTGATCCTCCGGACGTTTCTGTACGGCGATGTGCAGGGTTGATTTTGTGACTTCTTCCTTATGCCTTTATTTCTTGATTTGGGAATGATAGCATTTTCTGGTGTTGCATTTCTATTTATGATAATGTATATGCGTTGTTATGTTGTGTGCTCACATCAAGCAACACGACCAACCTCGTCGGTGGGGGCGTGTAATAATGAATCAGCTATTCCAAAGACAGGGAAGGCGGAAGTGGGGGACTACGAGGGCTTGACCCCCCCCCAATAATTTCCAAAATGCATTAAAATCATACCAAAAATCGCTCTGCTCTTGGTTTTTAGCATGTTTGGCCCCCGAAAACGTTTTAGCCCCCTGAATCTGTAATATGCTCCGCGATCCTTGTCCAAAGTTACTGAAAGACATTTTTTATATAGCTACTCAATTAAAATCTTTACACTACAAGGACGATACTCCGAGTAGCAAGCGATAAAGCCGAACCCAGTGCCATTACACAATCACATTCTACATAACTAAAATACATTTAGCAGAACAAAAGGGACTAAGATAATGGCTTAGTAATTAATACTTTTGACATTCAAACATCCAAGACATACAAACATAACATTTTTCTCTAAAATTGTTGCTTAGTACGGACAATTCTTATCGAATATCTACCTGTTGGAGCAGTCGATGCATAAGAGCGCACACCTACTTATCCTCAACAGCTGAACCTAAACACAATTTCTAACGAGCTCTTGTGAATATTAACTGATTTGTGGTATCTTAAAATTCTTCAATAAAATCTCTTACAGAACATCTGTAGTAAACGAGTTAAGTGCTTTGCGAACTTCCTTACTTCGTGACTAACCATCGGAACATTTGTGTTTATTCCGAACGCACAACACACAGGTGTCACTTATATTCTTCTACCCAACATTAGATAGAAAAGAAAAAACTGATGTTTCAAAGGCCAAAAGGTTCCTTCTTTTCACCAGGTAGAGGCTATAAAAAATGGCTAACCCTACAGATCATTGGTTTTGACTCATGCAAATCAAATTTGTTCAACCATTTTTCTGGTAACTGTGAGAACAGCTGCATAATGATAGCTTAAAAATTCCTTTGGTACCCTAAAAATTATAAAGACAGTTACTTTAAAGGGATTTTCCGTCGATGGGATATCGATCCGAAATTAGCCAGATTTTTAGCGGAAAAAAAATACCTCTCTTTTATAGAATAATAAGTAAATAAGGTGTCAATGAAGTATGCAGTTCACATCCATAGCAAACTTGTATAGTTGCATACCGTTGCAAGCGACATACCACAATTCTCACTTTACAATGGAGACACTGGATGGATCATCGAGCGATATTCCGCCAATAGTAGCCTTAGCAATGTTGCTGCGGCTATTAAGCAGAAACACTCGAAAGTAGAATTTGACGAAAAATGACGAAATTATGGTGCCCACCCACAAATCGTTGAATTATTGATTAAAATCGGCTATTTTAGTTCGTATTTATTTATTAACTATTTATATTTTTATATTATGTAAGCCTTTCGGGAATCCATTCATTGAACTGAAAAACTGACGTCATTTGAAATGAATTTCAGTGCGGGCAATTCGTCTGGGCGAAAACCTGGGAGACAGAGTAGGAAGTTACGTAGTGTATATGATGCCACAAAAAACATTAAATCATGCACCACTTTAAATAGGCAAAAAGGGGTAATTACTGCTGAAACAGTCAGTGAAATACACATTTTCCTACTTGAACTGCTAAAGAAAGTATAAAATATTTCATTCTAATGAAGAAACATTTTTATTCCAATTTCACCTGCTGACGAGTAGATGTTAAAATCTAACGGTGAACAGTTCTGTTTCGAAAAAGTTACAACAGGGAACTGTAGAAAGGGGTCAAAATAAAAGTGTACCCATGTAAGGAGGACACAAAGTTAGAAACGACATGAATAGATTGCTGAAAAAGATCGAAAAACAACATAACAACGCTTATACCCAGACTAACATAACAATTTTCAGAACAAAATCATATCTACACTAACACAACAAAACAACAATCGATACAAAAGTATTAATTGAACACTACCAGCGTATCACAGTTTGAATTGAGCGGTTTTCAATGAATAAAGGTTGATCTGTTTCTAAGTGAAGCCTATTAGTACTTCATGTAGTAGTTCTTAGGCTAAAAGTAACTCAAAACATCGAAAATAATAATTTTCATTTTTCAGTTACACATCTAGCATACCAAATGATCAATGGCAAATACAATAATATTTGAAATTTCCGACACCTTAATTTCGCTGACAACATAACATTCTGAAACTAAATTCTTACATTCTAATGCTAAATATCATAGTTATTACTTTATACATTTTATACATTAATATAAATTCTACTTAATTTTATCATCTACAATTCTTCGACTTTGGCTCGTTTGCTCGATGGTTCATGGACTTCCTCAATCCATTGCAGCAAATCTTTGTCATCTTCCATCAAATCTTGAAAGAAATCTAATATTTTTCGTTGCTTTGGATCCTGGGGACAAAAAATCGCAATGAATATTGATTGAACAATTTTTGTGGCCTAATGTTGATATTATGCAAAATTAATCAAAGTTTCATTATTGGTTTCCCAACAGATTTCACAACCGGAGTTTTTTGCAGTGGCAAAACCGTTGATGTGTTAGAAAAATACATTAATTTGATATTTTGTAGTGTTTCTGGATCATATATGCATATTGTTAAGAAGTAATGCTGTTTAAATCACAAGACAAACCCTTGTTATAGAAAGACTGTTGTAGGAGACACGTTCCTGACATTTTCTTTGACGTCATAACAGTCTCATCTTTATCAGTAAGCTTAACTATTTTTGGTGTCAATAAATGAGGACGCTGTGGTATTAGATGGTGCAATTTGAGCTCTGTTTACCAAACCAATTTACGAAAATGATCTATTAAACAAGGATAGTCTGTACCAACACACCCTTGACTTACACAATCATCAACAACACAAAACGAAGAGAAACTATTCTTAAAATCATTAGAAGATTTCAACTGCTCTGTTTCGGAGACAGATTCTATTACGTCTTTTGACGTAAACTTGATGCAAAACGCAATTTGACAGCAAATATTTTTTGAAAGCTCTAGAGAGGTTAGGCCTTGTCTCACAGATACGCAGCACGTGTTGTTAAAGAACGCAGGAGGCAACTAAATTTGTAAATTTTCATCTGGGTCAAAAACATTAAAAGAGGAAGCAGAAAAAAACAGTTTGATTAGCAGCAACAGTGATTACTAAATCATATAAATTAGCTGACTTTTAGCTGCAGATAAGCTATTTCTTCAAAACGCTCATTATAGCACAGTGTTGGGCCTATTCACATCCTGGGATCATGGACTGAAGATGGTGTTCTTCACTTGACTGTGTAATTTAGAAATACGACTATGTCAACTATTCTTGCTAATTTTTAATAGCACATTCACTATGAGCAAAACTCTAACTAACTCAGAGATTACTATGTTATTCTGGGATTCTTTCACGTGTGTTTTCGTAGACAAGGTATAAACAAAGAACAAGTACCATTCAGATAGAAATTATTTCTGGATGTCACTTGTTGACGGACATGTTGAAGTCATTGGTTAAATTCCGTGGTTATTTAACAGTTTCAATCTGGAAAATCTTCTATGCACTGTCTGAAAACAGACGCAAACGATTCAAGATTGAACCTTAAATTTTCGTACCTACCTGCATAAATCGTTCAAACAGACAGATTCCGTCTAAGATATTACATTTAAAAAATTTTCACTTCTTTTGAGCTCAATCTATTAAAAATTTCTATAAAGGCATCTGTTGAAGAAAAGTAAACAGGCAGAACCCGATCGTCTTTTCATCTAGCAAATTTGGAATCGATCTACATACAACAAAAAGCAGTCACTGTGTAGATATAAGGAGTTCGCTCTTTCTCTTTGACTCCAGTGGTTATTTTTCTATAGGTACTGGCACTGGTTGGACAACTATGCCAGTCTTGTGTTTGCGTTTTTCTGATTGGCCTATTTCGATCCACAACTAGGTATATATTCTCCATCGTGTTCTTTCGAACACTTATTCTGACGTTGCATACGTGTAGTCAAGTAGTATGTTTGCTTTTTTCAAAGCAATGTTAAAGAAACATGTAGCAAAGATCAGTGTAATATAACAAGTGAAAAGCCTAGATATTAGATCTCCATAGTGGAATATCTTCTACATGCACTTGTCGTAGATAAGGTATCAAAATCAATTAATGGCATTTAAGTATATAAATGAAATAATCTTTGAGAGATAGGGTTGAAATCATTGCTTTCGATATAGCCTATTCTGCACCAGTTGTAAGATCATATCTTAAATGCCTTTTTTCTAGGGTCAGTTTTGCCTTTCGACGTGTGCCTGGTCTTGCTACCTGATTCATGAAGCCTATAAATACGCAGCGTGCAGCTGATGTAATTGCTAACGCCTTTGTTTTGGGCTGGCGAGACGGAATGCTTCAGGCAAATCTCATTTTAATACTTTGTAAATGGCATTCAAATGATGCGACGTCGTGTTCCATCAGGAAAGAATGTCTCCCAATGGACATTCTGTCTTATAAAAAACGGCTTTTAATTTCAGTATATGTCTCTTGAAATTTCTTTTGAAAACAGCATCGAGCACTTTTTATTGTGAAGATACACAAAAGGGCATAGAAAAACTTTATTTGGGTTCCTTCAAACACGAACAAATACCTTTAATTTTGTAACTTCTGGAGAAAATTCATCTTGATTGAGTCCAGCACTCGTCAGCACGTCCAGCTTACTCTGCACAAGCGGCCTAAAAATGGATTAACGGGAGGGTCAGCATGACAACGAGATTTACATTGAGCCAATGGTTCTACACCAAAAGCCAGACAATCCTTCAAAGTTTCATACTTTGTGGAGTTTCGGACGACAAAAATTCCTCCTGAATTTTAGCCAAAGATTTTCTATATTTGAAGCTATGTACAGAGAATTTTTCGAAAAACAAACTAAAATAAAGTTGATTTGATAGACATATCTCTCTTTACACAAATAACATATGAAATCAGAGTTTGAGAAGCAGTGTCATCCAAAATAAAGTTGCTGTACGTTTAAAGTAAGAGAGCGATTAAAAGAATAATTTCGCAGTTCTTATCGAATTTGGTGTAGTAGCTTCTATCTTTTCGTCAATTCCAGGGGGTAGTCTCTTTGTTGGTGAATGCATAGCCCGAAAGATCTTAGGATTGCAAATTTATCGTGTGCAAAGGAGCTTTCTTCGGTTGATTCAAGATTGCTGAAGATTTCTGTCCTAATGATGTTTTCAACAGATGAAGGTTCAAATTCAATTTGGAATTCCGTAATTCCTTATCGAATTTCTCAGTGACCATTGTAGGCCGACCGTACATATATTCAGGTGCTTGCTTGTTTGGGCTTCAAATTGACAACAAAAAAGAAAAAGTTTTATACCAAATGCAGTCATCGGCAGTGTTTTCAGCTAGCAAGTAGGTGATCGTAACAGCGTTCTTCTGTCCAATTCTGTACACTCTATCTTCAGCTTGGACTAAAACCTAAACAAATGGCACAGTACGAAGTCACCACGAATTCTACACATCATTTAATTAGAGCAGATCATATGCACATTTTTTTATGTTGCTTGCAAATTTGAGTTCAAACTAGATAAGGCTTTGAACCTATCAAAAAGAATTGAACAACAACGACAGGAAAGGGGCGCATAAAAACATTAAAAGAATAAAATAATTTCTAGAATTATTGTTATTGTTTTCCTGTATTGTTTTCCTATGGTATATACATTCTCTTTACATTTAATTGTGCTTGTATCCTGGCGGACATTATCGCTACACAGACTTCCACCACATCGAAGCAGATGACTCTTGATAAAGATTATAACAGACGCATTATTTAAAATACGTTCATCGAAGGTCGGAATTGACAAAAATCGTGGTAAATGATAAATTGGATTTTAAAATAATTTTAAAATTACTCCTGGATTCCAGTAAAGTTCTGCAAAAATGACAGCAGTTGCAGCAGTGAGATTCAGGCCTACAAAGAAGCAAACAAAAAATGACTTAATATTTAGGCGCATTCAATGCAAAACGAATCTGAAGATAAAGTTTAGAGAGCTAACGTTAGCTTGATTGTATATCAAACAATGAAACATATGGTCGTTGAAAACATGATTACTACAACGATGTCATGATTGGTCAAAATCAGCCGTTCAATCAAGAAATGGTCAATAGGATGATGTTTTGCAGATCAAACTAATCGAAATCAAAATGTTGGTAATACGTTCGTATTGAGAAAGCATTCAGGTATTGAGTAGAAAGCCATTCCAGCCCAAAATTGAAAACAATCTCGTATTAGCTAATCTAAAAGAATCATCTTGGTTATCATGACTTTGTTAGTAAAGTTTTCGAATGAACATTACTTCCATTTCGATATCACAAGAAAACAAAATTTTGGTGTTGTGACATGGTGACTTGAATTTGGCGTCATATTTTCAATCGGCAAACATGCACAATTCAATAATCGCTCGTCAAAGTTTATAGAACTGTTATTTTGCGAACAAAAGCTCTTAGATTATACATTGACGGAAAAAGACAAGTTTAATTGGTTTAACTTCCCAAATCCAGTTGGGCTCAATTTTAAGTTACGTTAATTTCACGTATCTATGTTACATTACAGTTATAAAAAAACTGAATTAAAGTTCACGATTCACGAAATTTAGAAATTTTGAAATTTCAGAGAAAGGATACTTTGATGGGGAGCATTTTTCAAAAGCCACCCCCACAGCTTAAGTTAACTGCAGCGTAAAAGGCGATTTTTTTGAAGGCTTCTTTGCCGAAATGTTAACAAGTCATTTGATTGGAGTAACAAACTAACATTGGAGTAATGACCAAAACGAATGAGAACTATGCTCATTGCTTGTACGAAAAACAAAGAATCCGAAAGCGTTTTTCTCTAAATTAATAGAAGTAAGCCCTTAGGTTTGTGTAGTAAGGAACCGTGTATAATTTCTTGAGTTCCATCGTATGGCCATCCCCTCCTTCCAGGTGGCTCCTTTAGAATTAACAAAGGGCTACTTGCCAGTGCTCGCAGCTGTGATTGACAGGACTGCAACGAGACAGTCATTTTCGTTTTGAAATTTTTCAACCAGCTCATGTCGCATGGTCGGATTGGTGCTGCCATCGATTCGAATAAATGAAACTTTCTGCAAAATCAAATGGGAAGTAGTCATAAAAATTTGCAAAAAATTAATAGCGGGTATTACACCCTGTTTTCACAAGAAACAGCGAAATATTTTCCAAGCTGGCTGTTGTCAATTTAAAACTTTGAGGCTGGACCCTTCTTAGTTTATTGATTAATTCCAAAACTTATAGGGTGTACGCTAAAGAAATTTTGATAGGAATCAATATTTTACTGCAGAACAAATTTCGTTATTTATAATGGAGACATTGCTTTCAAACACCATTGGCAAAAGACATGTTCTGCATCGAAAGATATATCCTTAAGGATCAATATCAAGATGTTCTTACAGATAACCTTTCCTCAAAATTACACTTCACAATACCTCAGCCTAAGCTTGATTTCAGTTTATTCTTAATTTTGATTAAAGTTCAGGTTTGTGCTTTAAATTTTACTTATAAAAACTGTACATCATTCGGAATGAGTAAAATAACTGACCTTTTTCTCAAGCAGTTCTGTTATCGAGTTAAGCATCAACTGGTGATGTGCAAAGAGCAAGAATTTCTGCTCACCTTCCAACAGATCTGCGACATATTCACTAAATATAAATTGATTACGTATTTAGCACGCATATGAAATTAAAGTAAACAAATAAAAAAATAAATATATATAGCTTTTTAATTTATCTGATACAAACTAACATTAGTGTTTCAGAAAAAAATCTTTTAAAGGCGGCGAGGGTAGAAATACCCTAATAAGAATTCTTAAATGTGAGATCATATCTCAGCCAATTTTTCACACAATTAACTGATTTGTAGATGTCCCGTTGCAGTCCTGTCAATTCCAATGCAGTTATAAGCTTTTGAAAAACAGCATTATAAAATTACTGTCACAAGAAAAGTCACTCTGTCAGAAAAATATAAAACTTGGTTACTGATGATGTTTTGACTCACAGAACTGCTTTTTTCTTCGCCTCGCAAGAAGATGAAAAATATTGGAGCAAAGCCCTTCGTCGATCAAACTATAAAGATAAAAAGTTGTTGTTTTTACAGCATCAAACAGCTCCAGAATACAACATTCTAGATTAGAACAGTGACACAAGTTTCAGTTATAATGAATATTTTTCATCAATTTTATTTTCAAAATCTTGTAGCATAAAATTTAACAATCAACTATACACTGGGCCCGTTCGCACTACAGAGTCAAAACCTTACAAAGTTAATCCCTATTGTTTTGTCTTCAAAGGCGGCATTAGGTTTTCAGGAAACTGTATAATTGGTACAGTGCGAACGGTAAAATATGTTTTCACCAGACAACCCGATTTTCAGTAATCCCTCAAAGGTTCCGTCGTAGAGCCCCAAAGCAGCACTTTTTTATGAAAATCAAGGATTAACCAGCATGAAACGGTAAATAGATGCCATCATGTCTGTCGGAGTTGTGATTCTGTGCTTGTGTACTCAACATTCAAGAAAAGATGAAACAAAACAATCGCCTGTTCTTCTAGAATAAAACTAATAATTTTGGCACAATGTTTGGAATGATCCTAAATGTGTTCTTGTGATTCTGTGCGAATGCCAGCGTGATGTTATAAAATTCATAACACTGTAGTTGTCAGTAGGAGCAAAAATCTTACAAAGTTTGAAAATATTCTTTTAATTACCGTGAGATTATTAACATTGACAAACTTATGTCAGAGCATAGTGCGAACGGGCCCACTGGGTGTCTGACGAATAGGTTTAGTATGTCTTAAAATGCTTGCTTTTTAAGCCATTCTTTGTTTTAAATGCTCTTTGTAACGAAGGGTTTTGAATCACTGACGAAGTGTTCATAAATACGGATCTTAAAATGATCTTAAACAATAAAATGATAAAAAATATAGATACAACAAGTAATAGAAACCCACCCCAGTGGATCGCTCCAGTTTCTTTGCCTCGTTTGCTGCAAAATTGCTGTTGATATTCGATGGGTCAAGCATAACCTGTATGAAAGTTCAAAAATTTAGTTTAAAAGGGGCGGAAATATTATACTCAGTGCTGGTGTCATATGCGTTTTGGTAACCTTATGCATATCGGTCCGGGTACACAAACGCATGAGAATTTTAGTTATGCAAAAACATACCCAGCACTCTGTAATTCCAGGCGTTGGAATCACGAACTGTGGTCACATCGAGGGGAAGGACCCGGACACTGCTCGATAAGCATAAGCTTCTCCGTGTCCTAGGAACTACCTTCGCATGCTAGGTAGCAACAAATACAAATAACATCGCACTACGATGAAATCACATGATTTGAAATATATTGCGTTTCACGATGTTACACTTTTGCATAGAGTACCAAAATGCATATTACACCGGATTAAGCCCAAATGCTGCCGAAGCATACAAAGGGGCATATTATTAATTCTATTCATATTCACGAAAATTCTCGTCTTTCTTCAAGACGGACCTATTTCGCTTGGACCTATTTCAGCAATAGGCCTAATGCTGCTGTCGTATATTTGACGCCCATCTTAATCCGGCCTCGATGATACCTTGATCTTTTTAGATTGGTTTTTAAAATAAGTTGCATATAGAGATAAAAACAGTATATTAGACGAATAAATAAACAAAATATAAAGAAATGAACCAAAACTAGTTTCAATGAGCTTACCACTTTTTTAGATTGGCCAAAAATAAAAGTAAACACTTGAAACAATCCCCAGTCCTAATCCAATAACAAACCTCTAACAAAATCTTGACTGAAAAGAATTATTTACTTGCTTATATAAACTTTAATAGATATAAAAAGGTGAATCATTAAATTTCAAGTTTGAAAAGCATTATAAACATGGCGTTCACTTACTATTTTCCGTTGCTTGTCAGGTAGTTGGTCTAGCACTTGGCTTTTCAGTCGTCTGAGTTGATAAAGTTTTCATAAATTGTCATAAATTGTCATAAATTGTCATAAATTGTCATAACTTGAGCAACCTTTATTAAGCTTCAAAATCTTTTTTTAGGTAAACAAGCACTTTTGCTACAGTACTAATGTTTAAAAGGGAATCCTGTGTGTTTTACTTTTGATGTCATCGAAAATTGAATTATCTATTTGTTGCTCTGGCGTCTTCTAAGCGACGGTGCTTTACTAAACAACTGTTCTCTTGACCTCTCTGTCATCCCTATGTGTTATAAACTTATTTCTAAAACTGGCTGTTCAGAACTCCTTAAACAATTAGAATACCTTACTTCATAACCCTTCCAGATGAGTTTTCTGTCTCAGCTTTATTTTATTTTTCTTCTTGTATAGTCTTTTCCAACTTAACCTCCGACATGATCTCACTAAAAATGATACCTTCTTACAGGCCATTCCCTTTGTTATGTTTACACAAATTGATCGGTTGCCTGATAAGCGCCAAACATGAAACATAAATTTAAATATATTGCATACAAATAAGCTAAATATTCACCTTAATAAACTAAAATTAATCGCAAACCTAAATAAATATTCCATCTTATCATATCATGATTTATGATTTTAAATGCTATAAATGGAAAATTAGCAATTTTTTTGCTAACCTTATCATAATTTTATTTTCCAATACAATCTTCAATTCTTCGAGGTTAGACGAGCCTGAATAATCCCAACCAAAACGATTCTGTGGAGAAAAACAACATTGATGAAGAATTCACAACTTTGAGAAATGGTTTCAGTTTAGTTTAGCATAGAGTGAAAATTTCTCTTCTCTTAAAGCATAAATCCCTGTGCAAAAAGTCTCAGCCCGTCCTGGAATTTAATTTTTTTGATAAAATGTGAAAAATCGTAAGATACATCTTGTCTGGAACTGTTGAAAGCGGACACATACACGTCAAGGAATCCATGCTGGGAAAGTTTTGATGAAAAATTGGTAATTATTTCTTTCAAAGGGTCCAAAAATCGATGTCTGCAATGCGCAAAAAAACTAGCACTTAATGATTTCAAACTCATTGCTCAGCATCTAAACACCATAACTGAAAATGCTCTTCTTTTTGTATCTAACCAAAAAATTTCAATTTTCGAGAAGTGAAAAAAATTTCACTTCTCGACGCTATTCTACCAAATATTCTATTCGCTATTCTATTCGATGTTCTACCAAATATGTTCTGCCAAAAGTCTTGAAAATTGACACAGAACTGAAGTATTTCAATACATCAATCTCATAAGACCAAGCCAACATATTACACTAAAGCTGTATATAAACCACAAAAAATAATTAATGCAAGTAATAACAATTCTATAAGATAAAAAATCGAAATTTATTTGAAATAATTTGTTAAACATTAAAAATGAGAAAGTTGTTAAAAATTAAGTCTAGATAAATATAAAAAACTCGCGAACCTTTTTGGCATCGCAGTATCGATGCGCATAGACGTGCACACCTGGGAATAACTTTGTATTGACCGCACATACTTGAGTATAGAGTTCAATTGGTCTTGACAACGCGGGTGTGCCAGAGAGAAGAATCACGCGAGCAGCACTCTGGCAATAGAAACGAAAGAAGAAGGATGAGGAAAATTATAAATAATTTTCCAACTATTTGCAAAGTTAGTCAACACGATAAAAAGTTTCAACGTTTAAATTTAGCTCTCGACCGAAGAAATTTTTTTTAAAAAAATCAAAAGTTCTAGCCAGCAAAAGTTGGCCTAAATACGAATGAATGAGTAGAAGAAATTATAACATTGATGCATGCCAGAAATCGGATTTAAATTTTGATTTCACATGATGTCATTTTGCTTAGCCCCTTAAAAGGAAATATGTATATAAATATTTGCCAATCTATCTACAATGCCAGCCAAATGGTTTTCTACAAAACAAAGAATGAGATACGCGAGAAATGAAAAACATAAAAAATACAACGCAAATTGCCGGGAGTTGAAAGTAATTATGACAGGTATTGTACGCGAACAATGGCCTACCTTGAGAAGATCCATGGCGGCTTTAGTTCTGGCAGCTTTTGAGTTTTTAATAAAGTGAGATTCATCCTAAATATAAAACACTAAATTTAGTTCATCTTATTGAATTTTGCTGTGCTATTCAACATGTCTTATCAAATATGCATGTACGGATTACCAGACGTAATTTTGAAATGAAAGACTGAAACCAAATCTTTAAACTACTGGTTCTAAATATCCCTGTATAATACTTGCTCAAATCTTCTTTTTAATGCCTGGTTCAATCAAGAGCACAGAAAAGAGCGAGGGCAGAAAAGAAACTCTCAACGGCCTTTTGTTGTTTTTTCGACGCAAGGAAAATAAATATTTCATGGTTACCGCGAATAAAGGAAGACTTGGCAAACCATCGCAAACGATGTCATCGTTCCTTTCCTAAGTTTTGCGGGGCAAACAACTATTTGTTAGATGCAGCTTTCAGATAAAACTTAATATGTAATTTTAACTGAAAGACATCAAGTGTTTAACACGAAGGCATGTTTACGCAAATGACAATTTGCATTACTCGACGATGTAGCGCAACAGGCTCTAAAGACGAATGAGATAGGGTAAACAAAGCCCAAGTCTTGCGAATAAAGTAAGATAAATTTTCTCCTTATACTGTAATCGTTGAAGTTAGGTTTGTCACGGCTTCCTAAAAAGCAGCCATTCTTGGCTGATAGGGGTACTGAATATAAAGAAATTGAAATAATGAAACAGTACCAGGGTCGGAATAACGATAATAATAATAAAATATAATGATAAATAAATTGTCAACAGTTGGCGTACAAGATCCAAGTCTGATAGCCATAAAGAAGCTAATAAAGGTCAGCTATCTATGAAGAAGGATTAGAAAATAAATATATGGTACAATGTTTGAAAATCATTAAGGGGTGAGGAAATTTTATTCCTTAGATATGATAATTTGACCTGGAAACATGAGGTCTCTTCTTCACAGGGATAGCAGATAAACATGGTCATCAACGTAGAATAAATGAATATAATGACTCCCCTTCGCTCGAACTCAGTCAATATGAAATAAAACGTGCGGAAAAAGCCAAATCTCCGGGTATCATTATCAATAGAAGGTTGAAATGGAAGGACCAATATGAATTACTGACAGGAAAGATAGCAGGTGGTTCATCATCTTTGAAAAAACTTAGAGACGTTCTTCCCCAATCAAAGTTATGCAATGGATATCACGCTCTCTTCGAGATTAACCCACGCTACGGAAATGTAGTATGGGAAAGCCTCTCTTCGTCCGAACTTCAAGCGCTTGAACGTTTCCAAACCAGAGCTCTATCAATAATAGAGCGATATATCGAACCAGAGCCCTATCAAATTCGGTTCGATTTCTGTGTTGTGGTATTGTAAACAAACTATGCCCATAGCTTATGGAATACGTTCCAATAAAGATGTTCTATATCAAATCATAATAAGAGGAATTAACAGATTTCTATATCCCCAAGCAATAACTTGAATTCACTAAAACAGGATTTCATTATTCGGGCACTATGGCTTGGAATGAAATTCCATTTAATATCAGAGAACTGGCATCAATACACCGCTTTAAAACACATCTAAAACGACATTTGATGAGCCATAATGATTAATTCATCCCCCCCCCCCCTCCCCTAAAGAGCAACATTCTGGAAGAGCAGGTTTATTTAATTACTTTGTTAACACTCATAGTTTTAGATTTTTCAAGCTGAATCTTTTTACTGACAGGTAATCGTCGTAAAATAGAGTTATATTATATAAGAATTAGATTATACATAATATGGCAGGGGCAGCCAAATTTGTCGTAGACTGGCAGGGGATGGGGTGCCGTGACTAAAAGGGGGTTCACCGGGTACAAAAAATATCACCAGGAAAAGTTTTTACCGAGCTTGCTACACAGGAGTGTTTAGAAATAAAAAGAACGCCACTAAGATTGTGACCCAGAATCACTCTTTGGCCCCAACAATAAAAAATTCAATTCCACCATTTAAAAATACATAAATATTAAAACACCCACTGCTATAATGATTCCAAAGCGTTTCACTTTCAAAATTTCGAAATGTTTCGGAAGCAAATCATAGCTCATAATGTTGATTAATCCGGAACACGGGTCGTCTTTGCCAGTGTGAACAACGTTGATGGAAAATGGGTCAAGCGATGGTAGGCGCTTCTCGAATTCCTGCAACAAAGAAAATTTCATCAAGGAAAAGGACAACCTGCAAACAGATTTTAGTAACAGAAGTTGGATCTTAAAATAACAAAAGTAGATGGTGCAAGACACGGTGATATAGCGGCTATGGAAGGCTATCAAAGGATGGAAGGGAAAGTTCATTACCAGTCATAACACTTAACACCTTCCGCCTTTTTTTGGAAGGATTTTCCACAGAGAACCTTAATTTTCCAAACGATCTTTTCAAATTTCTCAAAGGATGTCTTGCACATTTCAAATTGTAAAGATAGTTCCTTAATCTCATGAAAATAATGATTTCATCCAGAAGCCTGTTACAAGCTAATCGAAAAATCAAGAGAAATTTGTTTGATCAAAATCAGCTACCTACCACCTTCCGTATAGGAAAAAATACTTTGTATGAACAACGATGCTCGATTTGCCAAAAATTAACAACAACATAAAATCATGCCCAGCCTCAGGTGAAAAATTCGAAGAAATGTGTTTTTGAAAATTTTCTTCATGTTCATTAACCGTGCTTCTAAAAATGTCATGCAAAATTATCTAGAAGCCCTACCAGAAATTAATAATTTGTTGTTGTAGAAAAAATGGAATAAGAGCAACATTAAGATCACCCGTGCCTCAAATGGTCAGAAACTCAAAAACATTGAGCCTTAGCAAAAATGATCTGGCTTTCATATAAGAAGCATTAAGTCTGGGACCCAATACAACGGTCTAAAAATAGCACTTGGGGGCATTTCTTAGCTTGGGTCTGCATCTCAACCTGTTAATCACCCAATACTACTCTCGTGGAAAAACTTTCAGTATCCGATTTTGCACAACTCTCTCAAAATCTAGGACTAGCAAATCTGACTATAGATTCCTTCCGGGAGATTTTTAGATACCGAATTTGGAGATTAAATAGGCAGTGTTATTTAGATAACCTCACTTGTGTTTAATAATTGCCAACATAAACGTGACAAAGCGAATTGTCAACGGCAGAACTGGGTGGATAAGAAAAAAACAATGTTTTTGTAAAAAAAGCAGTTTGACGTATCACGCATAAGCAAGTGCGTAAGAGATACATGTTTGCGACGAAATGTTAGAGAAAATGCAGGCTTACTGAGATAAAATTGCTGAGATAAAATCGAAGGATACTTTGGTCTCATATCCTTCAGTTTTCTCCAAACTTTGGAAGATTAGTAAGGCCACACGAGCTTGTAAATAACATCTTAATTTAATTTACAAACAGCAAGCGGGTTCGTTCAACAGGTGTATAGGTGTTGGCGATGACGACAATTTTTGTAATCAAACAGCTAAATCAATGAAACAACTGAAAGGCATCAAGACAAACGTTAAAAGAAAACATAAAGAATATTTTCAAAACAGTTACCCGGTTGGTATGCAGTTACCAAGATACAACAAGTAGGCATAGAGAGAATGCTAAAAGAGACGCGCAAGAAAACGAGACTGCTTAAAAATTCAGTCTTACCTTTGCCCATGCAACTTTGACGGATGATGGCGAGACAACAAGAAGAGGCCAGTCTGACCTGTAGTACGAGGCTAGCGATATGGCTTGGATGGTTTTGCCTAGTCCCATGTCATCCGCGATCAACAGTCTACCATTATTCAAAACACCGTACCTAGGACAAAAGTTAACTTTAAAAAACTAGGAGGAATAAAACATACCTTTTTTTATAGTTGTGCTTAAATACATAGCTTTCAGTACCTTTTTAAAGGGAAAAAGATAGTGAAATTTGTTACAAACAATGAACATATTGGTTCATAGGCGATAAAAAACGAAGTCGTCTTGAAAAGAGACATTAAAAAGAAAAAGACAAAAAAATATATAAGGGTCCTGAAAATAAAGAGAAGGACCAAAAGAGCTATCATACTGGACAAACACTTTTCGGATTTGACATCTCAGTTGCACTCCTCACGCATACCCCAACTCTAAACTGAAAGAGGGGGAACATGTGCGAACTTCCTGACATATCTTTAAGAGTTTTTTCCAGAAAAATGTGTCAACGACTGTATGCTGTTCCAGAAGAAAAAAAAGTTTTCATTTTCTCGATTCTCTGATTCTAGAGAATATTAGTAAAAAAAACATGATGATCGGAGCTGTGATATGTATTATACAGCTTTATGGTTTTTATTTGCTGTACTAAAAAAAACATCCAGTTCCCTCAACATGAAAGAGCTGGAGTGATGCTTCAAGCTGGTTTTAAAGCGAGGAACAGGAGAAACACTGAAGAAAGAAATAAATATATATCAAATATATGGCCAAGAAATTTATTTAAAAAAAATTTAACACAGTAACTAAAAGCAACGATGTAACTTTAACGATAATAAAGCAAAAGTTGAAGTCTATTATAAGAAGGCTGCTAAAGTAGGCCGGAAAAAGATTGAGACGTGATCTCTTGCGACAGTCATAGTTCAATCGTGAGATCAGTAAGCGATGGAAAACATGTTTTTAGTAGCACGTTGAAATAACTTAACTCAATCATGTGTTGCTTGCAAAATTAAAGTATTTTTAGATTTGAGTAGTCGGTTAGATATAGGAACATAATTATTGAATTGTTTACTGAGCGCGAGACAATCTCATCTGAGCGCGAGAAAATCTCATCTGAGCGAGAGAAAATCTCATCTGAGCGCGAGAAAATCTCATCTGAACGCGAGACATTCAGAGGAATCATGTTTTATGACAATGTAATTGTTCATTATTTTACGATATCAACTTATAACAATTACCTCACCAACAGTTTACCTCGATAAGTCTCTACAAGTCTTATTGGCGTGGTACAGTCATTAATTCAAAACATTCTGTAATTTTATGTTCAAGTCGTTATTTGTCAAACTGCTGGCCCCACTGCCAATGTTTGAAAGAAATTAATGGAAACAATTATTACAAGGCGATAAATGGTAGTATTACTGCAAGCAAATACGGTTAAGAGGACCAACTCATTAAATAATAGCTTGGTGTACACGAAACAGAAATGACTTGAAGGTTTAGTAAACATATTCAAACGAAAACAGGTAATTAAGTCATAAAATCAAATCTGGCTCTCGCTTCTGCCTTTTTAGCTAACATGTTGTATTCTTTGTCTGAATTATCAAATTGATCTTTAAGTCCTTTGCATTCCGGACCCACATTGAATTTTACGTAGATGACTTCGTGATCCCTTGTTATTTACGGTGAACTTGCGGAGAAAATCGTGTGCATAGCTCTCGAGACTGTGGCTTACAAACAGTGTGTATTTTCATTTATATTTAAAGCAGATTTTATGCGGAATTTGTGGAAAGTTACTTTAGATTTGAATATAGGTTTCCAGAAGCAAGGATTGTGTTTCAAATTTCGGATGATATGACCATATCAAAAAAACAGGAAATTACTGAAAAGAGGACCTACCTAACACCTTCACGCTGAAAAGGGAACAAGGATTTTAGGAGAGGTTCCTCAATTCTTGATAAATCAACTTGTTTCTTCCCCTTTTCATTGCTTTGTGTAATTTCTTTCGCCATCTCTAAGATTTTCGGGGGAATGTCTTCCAATTTCAGATTAATTTTCAGTGACCTTAAGGCGGAAGCTAGAAGAAAACAGAACAATTGTTACAATAGGATAAAAAGACTGGTAAAAAACTATGAATCCTAGAAATTTGACTTATGAAATGTATGGTAACTAGAAGTCTTGTCTAAAACCAGCTGTTCTATAAGTACTGGCACTCTCTTTCTAACAGAGGTTCTGATACTATAAGTATAATTACTTCATGACACAGCAATCTCTATGTATTGTGTGAGAAGAAATTACCACAGGATAGGCTCTCTGCCGGATTCTCTGAATCTTGCAATGAGTATAATATCAATACGAGGATAAAATTCAGAAACAAAGCAAAATAGCGACGGGAATCCAATGCTATGAGATAAATTTTCCGAAATAAAATAAATTAAATGAATACAAATATTTCGCCCCAGCATTCAGGGCTTCATCAGAGTAAAAAAATAAAATCTCTATGTAGTCTGGTTGGATGAGTAATTCAACTGGTTTTATCATCTGGTTATGCAGCTTAAAAAGTGCAATATTGAAAAGGGTTGTATCTTTTTATGGTATTTCCCAAAGAGTGCCAGGTTTTCACCTCCATGTTCTTACAGAGATCAGAAAACATAACAGTTTCACAGCTATGAGTCAGAGGAAGGTTATGCAGCGATGGATGCAGTAGATGCATACATTGTCAAGAGTATATATAGTGAAGGAATTTATCATTGCCATTGAACTTTATTTTTTCCTGACAAAGCAAAAAGATCAAGCCATAGATGATTTAACTGAAATTTATTCAAACGATACAAGGAAAATTTTGAGGAAGGCCAATAGGACAAAATTTTATCACAGAAAGGTTGAGAATTTTCTGAACTCTGTATGCTTCCAATGAGTTGACTGCAGCATAAAATTGTGATTGAAGGCAGATTATGCTTAAAGAAAAGGAGATAGTCTGGAAAGACTGGTGTGCAGATGCACTTACTAAGCCTATCATACTCTGAAACCAAGAAATTCCAATGTTTAGTCTTTGAATCTGAAATTACAAAAATTTTAAATTATTTTAAAGAAAATTAATAACACAATTGAATTGGCATTAAAACATAAAGAAACCAGAAACATAAATAGGTTTCAAGGCACACATTTGCCAATATGGATACCATTCTTTCAGTAGACCAAAAATCTGCACAAGAGTGCCTTTAAAGATTAGCTCATATACAGTTAATTGTTGCAGGAATGATATTGCATTACATTACTAATGTAAAAGTTCATACTTGGCAGCACATATGTAGACAAACAATTAAAAACAAGAGAGATGGCAAACATTGATACTAGTTATTTTATATCTTGTTGATATTAACTAAAGCCTCAAACCTGTATTAATATTTTGTATAATAATAATGATAGCAATGAAATGGTTGTAAAATGACATACCATATGATTTTGTTGACATTGTTTTAAAGATTCCAATTACATCAGTTTGGAAACTACATTTGGCTTCAAATCTTCTTTCAGAAATCAATATCATTTTTATTTCAAATGGGGGACCAGTGAAGATGCTTGCTAGAAAATAAGGAAGAAAAACAACAGTTACCCAAGTGAATTAGCTGAAAAGACAGCAATAAAATATCATCGCTCACAGACATTCTTGTCACATTTGCATAGGATAGCACCGTATAGGATCGTTATTTTGCTTCCCTATGAAAATACTGAAAGGACTGAGGGTTGGATATTGATGTAAAAACTTGATTTGTTTTGGAAAGCAGATCTTTGAGAAACTGAAAATGATGTAAGATGAAAAGGTTTGTTCTTATTTGACTGTTTCTTGGGTAGAAAAACCTAATTTTGTTCCCCTCCTCATTCAATACTTCAGAAATCTTTTGGAAAGTGTTGCACACAAACATGCATTCATTGCTCCAGGCACCAAGTAGGGCAAACCAGACTTATTTTTTGCAAATTCTTTCAAAATCCAGCAGATTATATCAGATGATCCAGGCTAGAAAGCAAGAAAATTAGAGAAAATGATGTATACCTAACCTGGTTTTGAAACACCTTTTTGCTCATCCACGCTACTTTGCTTTTGTCCCACCATTGAAACTTCTCTCCTACTCTCTTTGTTGATCCTTTCAATCAAAGAAGTAGAATTTGCACCCTTTTGAAAGCTAGATTTTGGACTACTGGCAAGTGGGAAAGCTGTTTTTCTCTCATGACTAAATCTTTCACTCCAGTTCACACCAGTTGCTTTGTTAGAGTCTGGTCAAATGGAAAAAGATGCATTACATTTATGTTTTGTTGAAGTGTATTTTTAAACAAAGTTATTTGAAACAAGCTATTCTCTCTAAACACAACAAAAATTAATCCAAAAATTTATTTTGAGAAAAATATTAAATTTAAACAATGTCATGTTACGTTACTGTAAGGACTCCATGGTTCAAAATTTTGTGATTCCTGTTACTTAAACTTGATAGATTCCCCCTGCCCCTGCATACCTTTCTTCAGCCCACAAGAACAAGAACTTGCCAACTGTCATAAACATATTGCCTGAAGCAACTGCAAAGAGACTGGCATCAAGGAAAAACCAGAGCCAAGATCTCCTGTGACTTGATGCCCATATTAATTTTTGACCAATAGTATGTTTTTAGCAAATAAAATTTATTAAAGCATGAAAAATTGTTGCAAAATTGCAGGTTAATGCTCAGAAAAATTTTTTCAGACAAATATATTCTGTGAAAGGAAACATCATAAAAGGTGAAATATTCAACGAAGAAGACAGCATTACAAAAATGGCCTTTTATGGTGCTTTTATTGACTCCAAGTCACAATTGATTTTGAGACTGGAAATTTTCAGACATTATATTTGAGACAAATAGTTTTCAACCTGCATATGAATAATATTTCCTCCCAAAATTGAATGAATAAATCTTCCAAGAAAGCAAAACTTCCGAAAATTTGTTCTACAGTCCCAGGAAGGTGAAAAATAATGGTCAAATATCTAACTCATGCTAATGACAAATCGCTTGCATTATTTGCTCCTTGTGTGTGATGATGCATGCATGTGCATCACACGCATTAAACAACAAGATTAGCAATTATGATAAGTGTGATCACAGCATTTGGCAGATAGTAAGGTAAGCTTAGTAATGAAATAGCTTAGTGATTTGCTTAGTAAGGCAATGCACAAACTAATGAAATAGTTAGGTTAGATAATCAAGTAAGGTTGGGATCTATTATGGCATAGAACAGCATTATAATAAAAATAATGAGCGAAATGAAGAGTTGGTTTGACACTGGACTGTCTGGCAAGTGAGCTAGAAAGAGTACTGGCAAATGCCCATAGGAACTTTATTAGTGTCTGTTTTTTAAAAATCAGTGTGTAGGTTTGTCTCATTCTAAGTTTTTGATGTTTTTGTAACCATCATTCAATTTTGTATGGCAAATATGCACAATTTATTGCATCTTTATTAGCAAATTTTCAGTCAACCATAGCTGAGAATTGCTTGCCACCAGTCAGCATAGGCGTAGAATAATTTTGAGGTCTTTGTAAGGCTGTCCTGGGACATTTAAGCTAATTAAGCTAAAGAATCTAATTTATGGCAAACCAAAAGTTTACCTGGCAACAGATTAACTTTTCCCTGATCACTTTGTAACTTTTTATGACGCTGCAACCTTTCAAATGCCTCTCTCCGTTTTTCCTCGATGCGACCAGCGATCTCGTCAGAAATTGGACTTTTTGTTACCGTTTTCCTTAAATCTGCATCTTTTCTAATCACTGGAGATGTAGGTGGAAGTTTCGACGTGGCTGCATTACTGTTTCCCTTCATTTTTTCTTGAAAGTTATTAGGGGATGATGCAGTTTCATAATTTGTGTTTGGGGTATGTATTTTCTGTTGCAACCTTTCAAGGGCTCTCTTTCGATTTTCCTCAATCAGGGAAGACATCTCGATCGGAATTGGACTTTTTGCTAAAGTTTCCTTTACCGTCACTACTTTAACAAACGTAGGAGATATCTGTGGAGATTTTGAAGCGACTGTGTCACTCTTTTTCTCTTGCTTTTTTTGGAAATTTGAAGGCGACGAGACAGCATTGTTAAATTGATTTTGTGGACGACTTTTCTGCCCCAGTCTCTCTAAGGCTTTCTTTCGGTTTTCCTCGATTCTTCGCCTCTGTTCTAGCGAGAGGGAGCAGCTGGATTGTCTGTGGGCATCTTGGTTCATCTTGACAAATCTGTACTTCAATTAAAGTCTTTTAGATCGGATCTTTCTTTGTTTTCAACAGTAACTGCATTTTCACTTTAGACCAGCAAATGCGCAATAATATTGAGTGGTTCAAATGTTGAGATGAATTGGCGCCCTAGCCTCTATTACCTTCAATCATTGATGAAAATGAGGTTAGAAGTAAACGACAGGAGAAGTTCTTTTCACGTTGGTTTATACGGGCTGTGAAGTGCTGACATTTTACAAGGTTTCTTGCGGTCGAAAACCTTTAATATGTCTTCATATAGTTGTATTTCTTGCCGAGTGTCCTTTGTTGATAGTGACATACAAAGGGTTCATTACAAAAGCGATTGGCATCGTTACAATTTGAAGAGAAAAGTTGCCGAATTACCGCCTGTGACGCAAGAAGTTTTTGAGGAGAAACTTGTCCAACAAAATAAAGAACTTCACGAGCAAAATAAAGATACATCACGGTTTTGCTCTGTTTGTCACAAGTCATTTTCAAATCAAAATGCTTTTGTGAATCATATGAATTCAAAGAAACATAAACTTGTTGAAAACAAAAATGCTACTGGCACGGTACGTACCTACTTTGGCTCACGAAAGATGCTCTAGGCCCATTGCCTAGGTTTTCTTCTAGGGTCAATCTTCTCAGCAATAACGGCATCTTTTGTTAATGTTTATAAGATCAGTTTCTTTATGTCATTGTGATAGTTTATCATAGTAATGCCAATTTTGAATGTTTTAGTTTAAGTTTCATTTGATTACCAATCAACGCTACATACAATTTACAAGGTTACAATATGACATTACACTTAACAAAAAAATGACATTACATAATTGTATATAATATTGATTGATTAAGGAGGAACTCTCTAAGTAGGTAAACTAATCGAGAGCTGCCCCCCCCCATAAAAGTAAAGAAACAAAAATACATTATATATAAAAAAGAAAGAAAAAAGAGCCAGACATGCCTTAAGGAAAATGACAAACCTTGGTTGGCACTGCAAAACAGACAGATTAAACTTAAAAGTTATATGATATAGTAAGCTTTCAAATTTGTCCGGAAAACGGAAGAAGCCCCAGAAATGCGTATGAAAAATGGCAAAGCGTTCCATAATCTTGAGCCAAAGAATTAGACTGTTCAGAGTCCATACGTTGTGTTCCTTTTAAACGAAAGAAATTGATCACCCCTGGAAGATTGTGCAAACTTCCAGTCCTATGAACAGAAGAACTTGTAGTAAAGGAAGCAGGTGTGAGCCCTTCCCACAGGATTTCCATTGCAAATAGCCATATTGGCAACTTTTTATGTCAGGGTTTGCCTCTGCATAAGCTATCCTCAGATTTGAAGGGCCTTATAAGGTAGTTCCCATTTTTTGACTTCGAGTCAGCCCAAAAAACACGTAAATTCACACTAAATTTTGTGTTTGCCCATTAAAAAGGGAAATTTCTTAAAAGTGTGAGTTTAGATAAAAGGTTATACACATGAATTCAAAAACTGCATATGAATTGACTTATTAGCAAACTACAAAAGTGCCACTTAAAGAGGTCTTGATACTACTTAGTAGCAATGCAGATAGTTCCTTGTGTCACGTATATTCCTTATTTAGTTTGATTTTTGACATTTTTTATTTCAGGGTGGAGTTTCTATTGTAAGGACGTAATACAGCCTTCAAAAGTATCAAAAGTTTTTATTCAGGGATGCATGTATTTGGTTTCTAGTTTGTCTCTCGGTGAACCTAAGCTCATATTGGTAATTTTATGTAATTTTGAACCATGCATAAAGCTAAATTATTGTTTGAGACTTTAAAATGCTTTGCCATTTTCATTTTAGCCAAATAATGATGCCCAGAGTGAACGAAAAGGAAAAATTAAGAATATTACTGATGCTGATAATGTTGAAAAGGATGCTGATGATGTAGATGGTGGTGATGATGATGAATGGGAGGATGTTGGTGAAGAAGAAATTGATGATGATGAGTCAGAAGCTATTCCACCAACAAATTGCCTTTTCTGTCACCATGAAAGTACAACACTGGAAGAAAACCTGCACCATATGACCAAATCACATAGCTTCTTTATCCCAGATATTGATTATGTAACAGATCTTGAAAGCTTCATTGTCTATTTGGGGGCTAAAGTAGGAGATGGAAAGATGTGTCTTTATTGCAATAAAAAAAGCAAAACCTTTCAGTCAGTTGAAGCTGCACAGAAGCATATGAGAGATAAAGGTCACTTAAAAATTGACTATGATGGGGATAGTGCTTTGGAGTTCTCAGATTTCTATGATTTTAGTCAAAGCTACCCAGACCATGTACAACATGATAATATTGAAGAGAATGAAGAAATTGAATCAGAAACAGGTAATGTTTTCAACCAAGTTTCAGTATCTGTTTTCTCTTGTAATTCTTCTTATCCAAAAGCTCTGTGATTGAAAAGTTAGCAGAGCTTGGATATTTGCACAAAAATTACAAAGTTAATTCCTTCAAAGTCAATTAGGCAGACTGTTTTTGCTGACTTTCTGATAACTGGCACTGACTCACCCTGAATGTGATAGTTCTCATCCTCAGAACACAGCATCCTCAGAACATGATAGTTCTGACAGTGGAGAAAATGTGACGGAAATCTTCCATGTGTTGATTGAAGATAAGTTGAAAAGGAGAATTGGGAATTTGATTTGTTCTTTGCTTTGACCAGCCAACGGTGGCTAATCCCAACATTATTTGACTCAAGAACCCAAATGTGAAAACAAATTAATTTGATCTATAAAAAGCTGCGATTTTTGGTTTTTCTATAAACAGATAGGCTAAAGAAGGTTTGAATTGAATCCACAGAGAGGACTTCAAAAGGCCAGTATTCTGGTGGTGCTTTCCACAACAATTTGTGTTTATTAACAAAGAATATATGCCATTTTTGTTTTCATGTTAAGAATTAGGTTGCTGGAGTACATCTTTCGTAGGAAGGTTAACATTAAGAGACATTAGCAATAGGGCAAAGAACAATGGATCCAATATTCGGCCAAGAGTTAAAGCTTTTGTTTTTACCATCAGATCAGCTTATTTTAGCAAGGTAAATCTTGCCAAGGCGATCTAGTCATTCCATCTCTATCAGTAATTCTTTCATCATATAGCGTCTAATTCTAAAGCCTTTCCCCTATGATACTCCTTCTAGCATTAAACATTGGGTAGCGAATGAAATATTATTTTTTTATTGTTTTTGTGGACGGCTTTGTGGACCAACAGGTTATAAGAAATTCTAGCCAGATGCGGATTGAAAAGCAACATGAGAGGAAGAATATTTGATTTCAATCTGATAATGCAATGAGTTCCAATCATCGACTGCTCACCCTCACTGTGTCGTCTCTCTTTATTCCAGGGTTACAGATAGATAGCGACACGATGGAGATGATTCTGCCTTCTGGTGCAAGGGCAGGTCATCGTGCATTAAAGCATATTTACAAACAGAGCTTGCCGCCGGCTCATTTGCAATTCAGGAAAGAGAGAGCGATGATCAAAGGCTTGAATATGCAGTACAAAGCCCTTGGTTGGCATGGTACAGTATCTGTGGCCACTCGCAATCAAATGTCCGCCCAGAAAGTCAGAAATAGGCAACGTAGTGGCGATTACCTCAAGCTGGGAATGAAAGCAAACAAATTCCAACCTCATTTCAGGCCTCAAGTTATATTCTAGTTCTTTGAATGAAAATGTAAAGCGGGTTGCATATAAGAACTGTTTGATCATAGGCAAACAAGACTTTAGAAAATCAACTGTCTTCTCCCTTTGAAAGCTACAATTACATTATGCCTGTAAGCTATCGTTGAATTTCGACTTTACTGTCGAGTACACAATTTTCCTGACAATATTTCACATTCTGTTGAGCCTCAATTCTCTTAGCAAGTTTGAATTTTGGGCCAAATAATTTCATTAGATTTGTCATAAGCGACACCACACAGTATGAATTTCTCCAGTGTTTTTTGTAAAATGAAATATATATTGCCATATATTTTCGTCAACTCGAATGAACTCCATCGCTTTCTCCTTCAATGCTTCACTTCCCTTTCATCAACCCTTCAGCGGTCCCTCCCTCAATTCCGTCATCCCCCTTTCCTGTCTCCCATCCTCTTTGTATATATGTTTTCCTTACCTACAACCCATTCATTCCTTGACCTCTCATCCCCTTTTGATCCTCCCTTTTTCTTTACCCGTTTCTCCTCCCTTCCTCTCCCCTCATATATCCCTGCATGTGTGATGGTCTGTCACTATAAGACTGGCTGTTCTTGCCCACATCCAACGTGTTAGTCAAAAGAGTTTTTCTTTGACTGGGGTATTTTTGTCGGAACTTTAATGGCTAAAGACATAATTCGTGAAAGCCAGCCTTAAGCCTCCAGACCACTATTTGCTTCATCCATTCAATCTGCCTGTACTGTTTGCAATTGGCGCATTATCGACGGGAAAATGAGTATAAACAAATTCCCCTTTTAAGTACTTGACTCAAGTGTGCTTTGACGAAGATTTTGTTATTTTGTCAATATTTTCGATAAGTTTTGGGTTAAGTTTCATATATGAGAATATTTCGCAGTCGAATAAGCAGACTTGGAATGGTGGAATGTATTCCTCTGAAAAGACCTTTGTGACGTAAAAGAAGGATCTTGCTGTCTGTTTGTAGATATGGTCAGGTGTGGTTTGTAGAAAAAAAGAAATTCAATGTCTGGCTGGTATGTCTAGCTAAAATCGAGTAGGTCCACCGGTAAGAGACGTTCCCCCTCTAGAATCACTCTCACTTCTTGTCACCTTCCTCTCATAGCCATTTGGTATTACTTTAAGTAACTCAATGCCATAAAAGTCTGCTACTCAGGTCCAAATTTTATACCTTGATATTGACGATGGCAAAACTTGTTCTTTTGAAATTCATTTTAGCTGAAGACTCTTCTCATGTCGCTCGAGAAGACTCTTGTAGCTTAGCACAGATTTTCGTCATATGTTTCTCAAAAATCATTCTGAATGAATTGATGGATTCAAGTTGACGTCATCAATTTTGTATCTCTCTATCTACAGATCTTTTTCGGAAATGGACTTCAGAACTAAAATCTTCATCTTTAAATTAGTTTATACTGAAAAATTCATGTTGTTTGGACCTTTCGGTCGCATGTTACTTTGTTTCGAATATTTAGATATTTCTTTAGAGTTGACCGGAACTTAGTGCTGCAGTAAAAAAATTTCTCTACAGCAACAAATCCCATTGAAATGTATAGGAAAATCTAAATTTTGAAAATGGGGTAATTTGCAGCCTGACGGCCCAAACAATTTGAAATTTTTGGCACAGAATAATTTCAACATGAAGGTTCCAATTCTGTTATCCATTTTTGCCAAATGTGAAGATACGAATTGCTCGAATCCGAGAATATAAACTCAAAAGCTTAAATTCATTATCAATCACAAAACTTGATACTTACTTTAATTTTGTTAAAAACCAATTTCACTTATTGTATTTCCTCTAATAAACCCTAGAGGAAACAGTCTCAAGTCTCAAGAGTTTGGATTTAAAGTTTTTATACCCTCAATATTGCTGCCATTCAGTCTTCAATACCTGAAGCCGTCCATTCATGTTCCAAGTTTTAGTGAGTCCATTATATTGCGTGCATTGCTTCGGAACCTGGTGTTTAAGGGCTTAATTCTGGAGTCCATAATACTGGAGACTGGTTCAAGGCCCGTAGTGTCATTGTCATGAAAACGCAAAGAAGGGAGTTTCCTAAATAAGTTAATTTTTTACAGTACTGGGTGTTAAAAGTCAATGCATGCTCAATGTCCTATGCAGTTATGAAGAGGTAAGATACAGAATCTTTTCTAAATGTATTATCTGATTTATTTCCTCCGGAAATTCTTTATCAATCCATGCTTACTGCAATTAAATAAACATCGCCAATGCGCCTTTAAAACTATTGTTAAAAGTACTATTTTTGCCGTATTGGCAACATAGACTTAACAGAAATTGTTGCATTTTGTTGTAATATAACATACTTTCTTAGAGCTTTTGAAATTATCGTATAAAACAGACGCGAAAGAGAAGGCTTTCGTGTTTGGGTTGATTCCATAAGAAGTTAAGCTCGGGATTCGTACTTAGTTTCTTAATTTTGTTCTTGACTTTTCGTTCAAAATAATTCTTAAAAGTTCCTTAAATGGTGCCACTTTATAGAATCACAAACACGTAACCGAAGTTAACATGGAATGGAACACTTCGCCATCCGCAGGATCCCATTTTTATATTCCATGTCCATTGAATTAGAAAATGTGTGCTTTTACGTGGAAAAAAAATTTCTATCCACTATTTAAAAGATGGAAATTCACGCGGTTTGTAAGATGCAAGCTCATGCCGTTTTATATGTCAGGGCCATTGCTAATTCATATAGACCAAAACGTTATCATAAATGCTCCTTCTTTAGACCAATAGAACTATTGTTCACTGGACATCTAACCCTTGCAAGCATGGTCCCTTTTATAGGACAATGCTGTACATAAAAGCTAAAGTTGCACGCCTAATGGGGACCGGGCATTGAGTAAGAATAGCTCATTATTTTCGGGGTATGAAGAGCCTTTATATATATGTAATACACTGACGCCCGAAAGTGATATACTAGTATTTAGAATAGTTTAGCGACTGAAATGTTGAAATTTGTCCCAGTTTAGAATTGAAGCATCGAGCTGTGGCTTTGTGGTTTCACGGTGTCTCCACTGAACCAAAACATATTGAAACAAGAAACAAACAAAAAGCACTAAGTTAACATGATGTTTATATTTTGTAAACAACCTTATGAGTATATACAAAATGTTTTCTTTTCATAGTGGAGTCTTGTATAGCTCAATTAAGCGTATTAGGCGTGCTTGGCTTGTTATTTATCTTGTAAAATTCTTCCCAACACGATCCCTAAGGCCTTTAGGCTGTTTTTTATTACAGCCTTGCAATTGTATTGTAATTGTATAGATTATTTAATGTTAGTTTTTCAACAGTGAACGTACACTAATTAAGTCTAACATAAAGCAATTTCAAGGAATGCAGCTAACTTACTGCAAAAAGAACATACCCATTTGTTTTCAAGGAAAAAGTTTTAAATAAAATTCTTGAATTGTGTAGTATTTTGTGCTGTCTTTATCTATCATGGGAGTGAATTCCAATTTTAAGGCTTTTGAAAACTTGATGATCTGGTTTGCTATTACTCATAAAAATGTACAGCTGAAAATATGATTTTTCCATATTCCCAGTCAGGTTTTTGTCATATGAGAGACCCTCTTTTTGAAGAAACTACACGATTCTATGAAACAGAAAGAAGAACACGAAACAAAGTGTTTGCTGTAGGGAAGGTGTACGTTTAATGAGAACTCCGTCGTAGGGAAGGTGAACGTTGTAGAAAGGTTTTCATCGTAGGGAGGTGTATGTTTTAGGGAGGTGTACGTTATAGGGAGGAGTCTCTTGTAGGGAAAATGTATGGTTTCCGTCGCAGAGAAGTATAAGTTGTAGATAGGTGTACGCTGTAGGGAGGAGTTTTTTGTGGGGAAGCTGTGCGTTGTAAAATGGTTTCCGTCATAGGGAGGTGTATGTCGTAGGGAGGGGTCTTTTTTGGGAAGGTGTACGTTGTAGAAAGGTTTTCATCGTAGGTGTTTGTTGTAGGCAGGAGTCATTTACAGGAAGGTTTACTTTGTAGAAAGGTTTCCGTGGGAGAGAGGTGTACGTTGAAGAGAGGAGTCGATTGTAATGATGTGTCTATTATAGGAAATTGTCCGTCATAGGGTAGGTGTACTTTGTGGAGAGAACTCCGTCGCAGGGAAGGTGTACGCTGTAAGGAGGTGTCAGTTGTGGGGAGATTCCTGTTATAGGGATGTGTCTGTTTTTTGGAGGTATCAATTTTAGGGGTAGGGAGTGTCCGTAATCAGAAGATGTCCGGATGTTACTTGTGTGCAGGGCTTGATAAGGGAATATTCTTTGGAACCTACCTGGTTTGTGATTCATTTATTCCTTTTTGGCGGTGTCTGATACAGGGAGATGAGCCACCAGGTATTATTTTTCACTAGAGTCCAGGAGCTTCAAGAATATTTTAATCGCGTTTTCCTTTTTTCAAAAAAACCTTAGAACACATAAACACGCGATAAGTATTTACAAAAAGACATTCTCAGGCAAATCTGCTTTCACTAGATAAACAAAATCTTGGCTGTCTGCATCTGATGTCTTGTCATCAAAACCGGATAAGGAAGGAAGATGTAGAATTAATTTCATAAGCCGATTTTAGAAGTTGAATTAACGAAGAGATTCGAAACAGGTAATCAATAAACAACCTTTGTAAGCCATGTTGCTAATCTACAAGAATTATTGCTATGAATTTCATGCAATTGCTCTCGGCTCATATTAATTGACTAATGCTTTTTGTTTTGTACTCCAATTAACGCAAACGCTGTTTCCAAGGTAGGCCAGTCATTCTAAGAAATCGTACCGAAAATTTGCTGACGTGTTAAATTCTATTGGAGTTAACAGGCTCAAGCTGATGAAAAATTTGATGAAGGGTGCCAATTTGCCTCTTTGCTTTGATATTCGGAAACTATGTTGCTTATTTTCATACAAACCTATGATCCTCAATGCAATCGAAGCAAAAGGAATATTTATTTGAACGAAAGGAAAAAATCGGAAAACAATACTGCGTCGAATGTAGAGCCCAAAAGGTAATAGTGTATTGATATCGAATGTAGATTGAGAGATTGAATGGCGCATTTGACTTAGGGACTGCGCTGCTTCAGCTTTAACGTTTTAAGAACAACCAGCCTGAAGCGGGTTGAAACAAAGCCCGGGTTAAAACAAAAACGGGTTGAAAGTTGTCTGTTTCTGCATCGCGTTCCAACTAACCCACTTGAAAATCGAATAAGTTTGAAAACGGGTCTCAGAGTTCAGAGTCAGTTTTAACCCAGGTATCTTTTGACCCACCTACGAGTTAATTGAAACGCCGAAACCCGGATAACTTCTCACCTAATTGCAACAGCAG